GCGAGGGGAGTAGAGCGTACGGGCAGCGGTAGATGAGGACCTGCGAGTTATGCATTACACAAGTGTCGTGGCATTTCTTCCTCTTGACTTCCTAACCTTCCTAATCGAAACGATGCAACAAAGAGCCCCTCATTTACATACCCGGCCGGTACAGAGAAAAGGATTGAGAGGAGCGAAGAACTTTGAAGAGGGTTTTCATTTTGAGATGCGCAAGTAGCTAAAGGGAAAACTCCCTACCCTGAGCCTGACGGCGGTCCCATGCAGAGCCGTTGCTCCGGAAAGGGTCTTCCGAAGAGAAGGCTTTTTGCTGATTTTGATCAGTGCCGATGAGAGCAGACAACGGATACAAGCCAGACAGGTTAACCGAAACGAAGAGAGAGAGTCTCCTGCCAGGTTGTGATGGGAGCCTCCGGGGGACGGTGAGAGGGCCGAATAACGAATAAAAAGTGCGCCTGCTCAGCAGACCCAAAGAGCAGGCGAAGAAGAAAAGGGAAACCGCAAAGGCTGAAGCACTAACTGGAGAGAGGAAAGGAGAGAGGAGAGAAGAGGGCAGAAGAAACCGTTTGCAAACCAAAATAAAGTCGCTTCAAAACGACACCCACGGTGGCCACGATTTACGCGGGAGCGACCCAGAGAATGTGGCAAAACCGCAGACATATTTGACGCATCCTGGTGCAGAGCATTGCATCAACCAAAAAGCAGCACCAAGGCCGCTGTTAGCAAAGCATGGCGATGACAAAGCCACAATGCGGGAGAACACGACTCGCTACATCGCCGAATACATGACGGTAGCGAAAGTGATCGGAACCCACAAGGCAACACGACTCTTACGAGTTATGAAGATGGAGAAGACCAAGACCACCTTCTCGACATCGCGAAACGCATAGCAGATCCCTTTTGGATGAAGCACCGACAAACACAAGAAAGAAACCTGTCTACTGGCGAAAGAATAGACAGCGACAACCCCGCACGGCCAGCCACGGCACATCATTATCAATACCAGCTTTATCAGCTTGCAGAAGAATGCTATTGTCTCTGCACGGCAATGACGTGGAGAAGAAGGCGTCGCAGGTCGCGGCAGCTACCTCGGTCGAGGCGCATGGAAACTGAAGAAAGCAGCCATCATGGAAGAGGACTTCCAACATCCGCTGCACGTCGTGGAAGTTTCGCCTCTGAACATTCAGAAGATTGGATGATGCACTCGACCAGAGATCCGCCGGTGTGTGGACGATCTCCTTAACCTCCTTGGAGCAGACTGCCTTGCACACCGCCCAACGCACACAACAGGCACCAGTTTCTAACGCCAGGGGTCACCACTCCCCACAACAAGTATCCCGAAAAGCTCTCCAGCACTTTCCAACTACTCAGCTCACAAAGTGGGCGTGGCAGATCACTCGATCCAGATGTTTGGTGGTCCGACGCCAAGCATGACGTGCGGCGACTTGGAGCGACTGTACGCACAACTCCTCCGCAGCTCGTCATTCCTACGTATCCGCATCGCAGAGTTCCATTGGGTGTTAGAGCTCATTAGACGAAGGCTGTCTCAGCTCAGCCGGACACCTCTCCTGGTGAAGGAGCCGGTCTGCACACGCCCAACGGGGCATGCACAACTTAAATAGTGGTACGACCTGGCTCAGAAGAACCGTCCACGAGCGATAGCGCCGGTCATGGCAACGAGAATGCCGATGATGACCCTCTACACCGATACCTCTGGAGCCGGTTGGGGAGCGGTGTTGATGCGGGACGAGCCCCAAGAAATCATGAGCGTTGGAGAAGCATGGTCCGCAGCAGAGCAGCGCCACATAAACACGCTGGAAGCGGACACCGTTGTTCTCGCGGTGGATCACTTGCCGCGACGGACTCCTGCAGGGTTGAACCTTGAAAGCTTATGTGGTGAACTCGACAGTATCTCTTGTTCACAGTTTACTTCCAATCGTACACCTGTGTTTTTCCTTTTCGACAACTCTCTTCAGTGATTATCATATTCACTGTAGCTACAGTTGTAGTGCTTTGAAAGATTTGTTTGGGGACAGACACGGGCCCTTTCTCTTTGTTGCAAAGCCTTCAGCGGTCGAGACGCTGACAATGGTACCGCCACCTTTTGGTGTTGGTGCTGCGGCGCGCGTCCGAATTATTTTCATGATCTCCATCTTGAACCGCGAGAACTCTTGCAGGTGCTTCTTTCACTTTCCCGTGCTCGTTGACGGCCGGTAACAGCCAGGTTTTTGAGGGCTGAGGCACTCTGACCTCAAGTCCCCGTACTTGCCGCAAGCGTTGCAGTACTTTTCTTCACGTCGCTGTGCTTCTTGACGTCGCGAAGCTCTTCGAGCTTCTTCATGTACGGGTTCTGCTCTGAAGTGAGCGCTTTGTGAATCTCCTCCTGACTCACACCCGACGTTTCGACCAGTATACCTTGGAGTGCCTGGATGAGATTTGAGCTGATTTCCGCATTACAAGATCTCTTCCACGTCATTCTCGTCGGCAAAACTCTGGCATTCCAATTCCCAGAGAACAATCGTATCCCAAATGTTTGTGCGGCACCGTTTCGAGGTCGGATAACATCGAAGCGCATTTTAAAGGTCGCGTCGCAGGTAAATCTTGATGGTGATCGGCTCATCCGTGTTGAGGAGGCGATTCCACGTTTTTGTGAGTGATATAAGGCTCGAACTTCGTCAGACCCTCAGCAGACGAAACCCGATGCCCGGACCCCTTCGGAATCGAGATCTCCCTTCATCTCATCCACTTCACTGTCGTCAATAAAATGCGGCGCCTCCCCACGCACGGAGGAGACACCTGGATGCTCGTAACCATCTTTCGGAACCCGCAAGATGTTGTGTTCGTGTTGGTTCTTCCGCAACTCAGCACTCATCTGCGGATTGGAGTGAAATGAGAGGAAAATGCTTTTGACGTTTCCGTCAGGGTGGCGCTCGACCTCGTGCAGCTCCCCGCTCCGGCGATGCCAACGGGGCTTTTCCCTTTTCCTTTCGAAAGACACCTCGACTTGTGCACCCCGGTTCGAGGTGCAGTGCCGGCTGACACAGCTCCGCGGGCGTGATGGCCTTCACTGCGGCACGAGCCACGGTGACGCGTTGAGACAGACAAGAATTAGAATTGCCACTGTTGAGCAGTAGTAAACAAACAAAAAAGGAAGCGAAGAGGAAGAAGGACAACGCAACGGCTGATGCTGGTACTAAAGACAGGAGAAGACAGAAGAAGACAGAAGAACAGGCTTGGAAAGCAAAACGGGGGAGGTAGCACTGTCAGCGTCTCGATCGCTGACGGCTTTGCGGATAAGCGAAAAAAGTGGTCCGTGTCTGTCCGTGCCAAGGCTGTTTTACAGTTCAGCAAGTGCTGTTCCACTGAAGGTCACAAGCATTCCGGAATAATGGTAGATGGTGTAGGTAGAGAACGGTGAAGAGGGGGGAGGGAAATAGAATTGACAGTAAAGGTTCGGTAGAAGATGATTCAAGTGGTGCAGCAGCATCCTTCTTCTGCCGAGAGTACAGAAGGTGAGAAACTCTTAACCAGTGGTGAGGTTACTGGGAAAAGATCAGAAATACCCATTTTTGGTTCTTTGGGGCTTACTAACGAAGTGGTCGCTTTGTTTTACAAATCCGCCTCCAAAGCGCGGCAGAAGGAAGTTGGGCGGGCGGGAAGAGAAGCAACGGAGAATTACAACAGCTGAAGACCGTCATCGGGACATAGGGAAAAGGGGGAAAAAGGTTAGAACACAGGATTGCGGATACATTTCACGTCCCATTACCATCCACGCATCCAATCATTCCTCGACCCGGCTTCCACAGCAGCCCGGGAGAAGGCAAACCACCGGGTGTGCGACTGCAAGTCAGCTTGAAACCCGATACGTCGTCGAGTTCACTGCCCCGGTCTTCGCCACTTCAACCAAAACAAAGAAAGAAGACACGATACCACGACGGCCGAACCGAACGCTCTAACGGTCAACAACGCAGCTGACCCAAGGGAGCCGACACCAACGCTTCCAACCAGTAGAAACTGATGACGTGTACCCTCATTTCCTAAGCAAATCCTAGGCAATTCTATCGTTGACGTGTGCCGTTATTTTGTAGGTCATTCTGAGCTTGCGAGGGGAGTAGAGCGTACGGGCAGCGGTAGATGAGGACCTGCGAGTTATGCATTACACAAGTGTCGTGGCATTTCTTCCTCTTGACTTCCTAACCTTCCTAATCGAAACGATGCAACAAAGAGCCCCTCATTTACATACCCGGCCGGTACAGAGAAAAGGATTGAGAGGAGCGAAGAACTTTGAAGAGGGTTTTCATTTTGAGATGCGCAAGTAGCTAAAGGGAAAACTCCCTACCCTGAGCCTGACGGCGGTCCCATGCAGAGCCGTTGCTCCGGAAAGGGTCTTCCGAAGAGAAGGCTTTTTGCTGATTTTGATCAGTGCCGATGAGAGCAGACAACGGATACAAGCCAGACAGGTTAACCGAAACGAAGAGAGAGAGTCTCCTGCCAGGTTGTGATGGGAGCCTCCGGGGGACGGTGAGAGGGCCGAATAACGAATAAAAAGTGCGCCTGCTCAGCAGACCCAAAGAGCAGGCGAAGAAGAAAAGGGAAACCGCAAAGGCTGAAGCACTAACTGGAGAGAGGAAAGGAGAGAGGAGAGAAGAGGGCAGAAGAAACCGTTTGCAAACCAAAATAAAGTCGCTTCAAAACGACACCCACGGTGGCCACGATTTACGCGGGAGCGACCCAGAGAATGTGGCAAAACCGCAGACATATTTGACGCATCCTGGTGCAGAGCATTGCATCAACCAAAAAGCAGCACCAAGGCCGCTGTTAGCAAAGCATGGCGATGACAAAGCCACAATGCGGGAGAACACGACTCGCTACATCGCCGAATACATGACGGTAGCGAAAGTGATCGGAACCCACAAGGCAACACGACTCTTACGAGTTATGAAGATGGAGAAGACCAAGACCACCTTCTCGACATCGCGAAACGCATAGCAGATCCCTTTTGGATGAAGCACCGACAAACACAAGAAAGAAACCTGTCTACTGGCGAAAGAATAGACAGCGACAACCCCGCACGGCCAGCCACGGCACATCATTATCAATACCAGCTTTATCAGCTTGCAGAAGAATGCTATTGTCTCTGCACGGCAATGACGTGGAGAAGAAGGCGTCGCAGGTCGCGGCAGCTACCTCGGTCGAGGCGCATGGAAACTGAAGAAAGCAGCCATCATGGAAGAGGACTTCCAACATCCGCTGCACGTCGTGGAAGTTTCGCCTCTGAACATTCAGAAGATTGGATGATGCACTCGACCAGAGATCCGCCGGTGTGTGGACGATCTCCTTAACCTCCTTGGAGCAGACTGCCTTGCACACCGCCCAACGCACACAACAGGCACCAGTTTCTAACGCCAGGGGTCACCACTCCCCACAACAAGTATCCCGAAAAGCTCTCCAGCACTTTCCAACTACTCAGCTCACAAAGTGGGCGTGGCAGATCACTCGATCCAGATGTTTGGTGGTCCGACGCCAAGCATGACGTGCGGCGACTTGGAGCGACTGTACGCACAACTCCTCCGCAGCTCGTCATTCCTACGTATCCGCATCGCAGAGTTCCATTGGGTGTTAGAGCTCATTAGACGAAGGCTGTCTCAGCTCAGCCGGACACCTCTCCTGGTGAAGGAGCCGGTCTGCACACGCCCAACGGGGCATGCACAACTTAAATAGTGGTACGACCTGGCTCAGAAGAACCGTCCACGAGCGATAGCGCCGGTCATGGCAACGAGAATGCCGATGATGACCCTCTACACCGATACCTCTGGAGCCGGTTGGGGAGCGGTGTTGATGCGGGACGAGCCCCAAGAAATCATGAGCGTTGGAGAAGCATGGTCCGCAGCAGAGCAGCGCCACATAAACACGCTGGAAGCGGACACCGTTGTTCTCGCGGTGGATCACTTGCCGCGACGGACTCCTGCAGGGTTGAACCTTGAAAGCTTATGTGGTGAACTCGACAGTATCTCTTGTTCACAGTTTACTTCCAATCGTACACCTGTGTTTTTCCTTTTCGACAACTCTCTTCAGTGATTATCATATTCACTGTAGCTACAGTTGTAGTGCTTTGAAAGATTTGTTTGGGGACAGACACGGGCCCTTTCTCTTTGTTGCAAAGCCTTCAGCGGTCGAGACGCTGACAATGGTACCGCCACCTTTTGGTGTTGGTGCTGCGGCGCGCGTCCGAATTATTTTCATGATCTCCATCTTGAACCGCGAGAACTCTTGCAGGTGCTTCTTTCACTTTCCCGTGCTCGTTGACGGCCGGTAACAGCCAGGTTTTTGAGGGCTGAGGCACTCTGACCTCAAGTCCCCGTACTTGCCGCAAGCGTTGCAGTACTTTTCTTCACGTCGCTGTGCTTCTTGACGTCGCGAAGCTCTTCGAGCTTCTTCATGTACGGGTTCTGCTCTGAAGTGAGCGCTTTGTGAATCTCCTCCTGACTCACACCCGACGTTTCGACCAGTATACCTTGGAGTGCCTGGATGAGATTTGAGCTGATTTCCGCATTACAAGATCTCTTCCACGTCATTCTCGTCGGCAAAACTCTGGCATTCCAATTCCCAGAGAACAATCGTATCCCAAATGTTTGTGCGGCACCGTTTCGAGGTCGGATAACATCGAAGCGCATTTTAAAGGTCGCGTCGCAGGTAAATCTTGATGGTGATCGGCTCATCCGTGTTGAGGAGGCGATTCCACGTTTTTGTGAGTGATATAAGGCTCGAACTTCGTCAGACCCTCAGCAGACGAAACCCGATGCCCGGACCCCTTCGGAATCGAGATCTCCCTTCATCTCATCCACTTCACTGTCGTCAATAAAATGCGGCGCCTCCCCACGCACGGAGGAGACACCGCATGCTCGTAAACATCTGGCGGAATCTGCAAAATGTTGTGTTTCTGTTTTCACGGAATAAATAACAGACGCACAGGAATGGCGTGTGCGTGAAGGTGTAGTCTCGTTGGTGAAGCCTGGATAACGGACAATTATCTCTGCGTGGTTTCTCGCTTCAGGAAGCGGTTACTCGTTGTAGCTCCGGCTAGGAACTGTCACACCAACTCTCATCAGGTGAGTGTTCAATCCATGACACCACCTGCAACGGCGTCGGGGTCACATCAGTTAACCGGCATGAACCTTGTGGTGTTCGATAAAGTCCCGTTCAGTGCGTAACGAACAGTGATTCATCACGCTCTTTTGCGTTATGCGACGTTCCCTTTATTTTCTTTTTCACTGTCCCCAAGTCGATAGTATCCCCCACTCCCCTGTGCATCTCTTCGGGTAACGGCTAACTAGCGAATGCGATGCTAACCCTTAGTTGTGTGCCATCGTGCAGTACCGCGAGTAATACGCGGGAATCCATGTGCGTATTGCTACACTCGATGAAGGCGGTCATGACAGGGTATGGGCCAAAAAGTCACGGGTGGAGTCATGTTGAGGAGGTCTACGAATCGTTCGATATTGCAGCCACCCGGTACAAGTTTCACGCGGAATAAATCTTGACATGCCAAAGCTTTTCCCCCGCGGTATCTTGGCCGCGCATTGTCCATGTGTTTGCCGGTATTCCGGCTGTATGCAACGGAAGGACATTCAAAGGACTGTTGCGAAGATGGTGGAACTAGTTTCTCGCAAGTTTTTTACTCTTTTTCAGGGATAACGGGGCGTTCTAACAACAAATATTTGTAACTGCAACGCATGTCTCCAGGAGGGGAGGCGGTTTCTTTTCATGTTTGCTTCCGTTTCGTAGCGTTCCCCGCAACCGGTTGCCTTTTAACTTGTGGCGCGTGAAGAGGTAAACTGGCGGAGGCGATGGAATGCGGAAGGGGGGGGGGGAAAGAGGCAATTCTGTGGGTCGAGGATTTTGGTCCAATAATCGCATCGAGCAGGGTGAAAGAACCGCGCTTTCAGTCTTACCCATTCACTGTCGACAAGAATGATTAAAGATGTTAAATGAAGCTTTTGAGAAGTGAGCGTTTGTCATTAACTGTTCTCATTAAAGCAAGCGAAGGGGGACCAAGTGAAAGCGTGGTGATTGAAAGTAGTGTCTCTGCACAAAGTGAGCTTTTTGCGATCGTTCTGTCACGGCTAGGACACGCACCAGAAGCTTGGGCAACACGTTGGTGAAAAAGACACGTAAGGGAAAGTGTATCGAGCTCTTTCGCGCAGTTATGATAAGGTTCTTCGGGTAGCTATGCAACGAACAACAACAAGTTGTATTTTTATTCTTTGTCTGTTCGTTATAGCCGTTACCACAGTCGTGATGTTGTCGTTTTTGTTTGCTGAAAGGAAAACGACAACATTCGAGGCGTGTGCTGCGGCACGAAAGATATTTAAGGTTGGAAATCTTTGCAAAAGCGTTGAAGAAATGCTTGAAATTGTCTCCTTGACCGAAAGCTCGCTCCTACGATTGAAAATAGAGACTCGTCTTTTATATTTTCATGCGTACATGTGTGTAACTTACTTTTGGCTAAGCCGTTGTTTTAAAATAATTGAGTAATGCCAGTCTTTTCCAAGTACCATTAACATCTGTTTTTGGTCAAATCCCATGAGTCTGTTTGGCTCACTCGTTGCAGGATCGAAGTTCTTCATCCTCATGGTGGGACAGGAAAAAAGGAATACCGTGTTGCAAGATTTTTTCCCCTTTCAATATTACGGAACTAAGAAGAAAATTAATATCTATTGCGAGACAGGTTTAATCGTTCGCCTGCTTTTTTGCTGTGAAGTACGTTGCTATTCGTAACGTTACGCGAATCAAAAATGGAACGCAAGGATGAGAAGCTGCATTAATTATCAGATACTGCTGTAGGATGTTCAATTTCTTTGCTTTGCGTCCCCGAACTTGAAGTGATACTTATCGTGATGCGTCCTGTCTCTCTTAAATGCTAATTTTAATTTCTTTCTTGTTTCCGCCGTATTGAAATCTCCCTTTGCTCAAAAAAACCGTCGCTTATTATTATTTAACATGAACCGTTTGCTCCTTTAGCATTTAAACCACCAAATAGAATAGAGTCCGTGAAGTCATGATGGCAGCAAATGGACGCACGAGGGTTGCTCTTTCTAACCAAACCAACCTAGTGCGCGATATTCACCACAAAACTGGTAGTCAAGCCACGCCGTCTCAGCTTACGGAACCCCGTTACGTGGCAGAATATGGCACTGAAATACTAGCATATTTTCTGGAGGTGGAACGGGTTCTCTACTGTGAACGACTGTACATGGATCGACAGTCGGAAGTTACGGATCGTATGCGGAAGATTTTGATAGACTGGCTCATGGATGTCATTGCAGAGTTTAAACTGCATCCAGAAACATTTTTCCTTGCAGTGGACATCATCGATAGATTTCTTTTCTTTTACAGCATCCCACGCACTAAGTTGCAGCTTGTTGGCGTGACCGCAGTCTTGATCGCGGCGAAGCATGAAGAGGTGTGGCCGCCCTCGGTGAACGATTGTGTGGCTGTAACTGCAAATACTTATAGTGCGCGTGAAGTCATTGACATGGAGTTCGACATTGTTACAGCCCTTCGGTTCAAGTTTACTGTACCTACAACGTACCCCATCGCATGCCGTCTTCTGGACGTCCCTCGAATTTCACAGCAAGTTCGCCACGCATCATTCATGTTTCTGGAGAGTGCTGCGCACTGTTATCCGCTTCTGCAGTTTTTGCCGTCTCGCATTGCGGCCGCGTCCGTGATGCTCGCCGCGCTACTCGTGCGTACTAATACCACAACGGATACTTCTCCAATCAGCAAGTTGTGGGAGTTTGAGTTTCAGTCAGCGGCACTCGAAATTGAATTTGAGGAGCTTGTTCCAGTGGCAGAGCAGCTGCTTCCGTTCACCCAACGGTTGTGCTCATCGTCGTCTCGATTGCAGGCACTGCGGCGAAAATACTCCTCCCGTGAGTATTCCTCAGTAGGAACACTTCAGTTTCCAGCCGCTGCGATGATTGCGTGAATTGTGTTTACTTTTTGGCGATAGCACGTGATAAATGAGCTACTGTTTTCGTCCTATTCTAAACTGCTTGCATAGCATTCTTTAGCTCTGCAAGCAAATATAGAGTTAGAATGTTTAATTTGTTAGATGCAGCTGAAGAAAAGGAAAAAGTGTCGCGTCAATATATCTTTTTCTTTCATAACTCTATTTTTCTTTTTTCTTTAGATCAGTCAACACAATTTAGATTTTTAGATACAGGTTCACTCGTTAGCTACCGACATCGTGGTTCTTTTTCCCTTTGTCATGACAAGTGTAAAAGGCCAAAGACAAAAAACCCCCAACCCAACGCAGTCAGATGCGAAAGTAAATTTTCCACACTAAGTAGTATCGCAGATTTAGTGGCGTTATGCTGCCTTGTTTCCACTTCTGCATATTTCGACAACATGATCTATCTCATCATCACAATTAATTGTCGATGCTGGGAAAAGTATTTTTATTGTTGTAGATGTGGACAAACGAGGACAAAAACAGATTAATTAAAAGAAAACGATACAAGTGCTTTAATACTCATCATCTCTTTGGGTTTTATTATTATTATTAGAAAATACTTCTTCTGCCTCAATTTACTTTCTTGTAACACTTTGAAAATCGCTAAAGTAAAAAAGAAGAGCCGCGTTTCTTGTTTATCTTCTCAAAATGAAAAACAGTGTCGCGCGGCAGCAGCCGGTGAAAACGTATGATCATGCACCACAAAGCGAAAATCTGCCGCTAACGATTGGGGGCAATTTCCACGACGACCCTATTAATCGTAACACTCTCCGAAAAAGTCACAATCTCCTGCTGGATCGAAAAGTTGATCACGCGCCGCACACAGAATACACATACAACGGCTTTTCAGGTGACGCTTCCCGTAACGCCACAGGAGCGAAAAATGGTGTCGAAGACGATAAAGTGTGGACTGGGTGGTTTTCAGAGGACTTTTCCAAGGATGACTTAGACGATTTTGTCGTGCGAATGCTTGGATATTTCAAAGAGACCGTACCGGAAAGCAACTTCGAGAAGGAACGCGTCGTGAGGGTTTGTGTGAGTTTTTACACGAAAGATGACAGCATTTCAATTAAACAAATCGGTGAGAGAAACAGTGGCCTCAGGGAAGGCACCATTCTTTCTCGGCGACAGGTACCGAAAAATGCTGCGAACCCGAATGCCATTTATCATTTGGACGATTTTCACGTTGGCGAGGCCGTCACAATTTACAGTCAAGTGTATTACATCGTGGACATGGATAAACGAAGTCGTCGTTACATGCAGGAGGTTTTGAGAATGGAAGTTCCTGAAGGGCTGCCGGTACCCGAAGATAACTTTAGCCGCACGGCTGCAGCGGCCGCGACACGCTCCACCAAACGACTGATCACCTCTGATGACATGGACCATAAGCGCGCTGTTGAGCAGCAGCTTACCGGAATTTACACGAAGCACTCTACGGAGGACATTGCTATCACAAAGGAGTTTCTGAAAAACAGCATCAACGCTCATTTGACATACCTCGCTTTGTGGGATGATCGCGGCAACCTCAGCGGTGACTTGCATTTCTGCCTTCTTAGAGTGTACCTGGAAAACAATACCATCGAGATTGCCGAGAATAAGTCGGAGAATTGCGGACGCTGGGGAGGGCCGATTTTAGTCAGTCGGCAGCGCATTCCCCGACCCTCAGCCGACTTAAGTCAGAGCAGGTACCAACAGCACACTTACGGGATATTGATGAAAAATGATTTTTTGTGTCCTGAAGACCTCCAGGTTGGCGAAACCTACATGATCTACGGCAAACCCTTTTTTGTGTATGATTGTGACGCTTTCACACGCAATTATGTGAAGGAGAAGTATGACGTGGAAGTCAAGCCCGCAATTGACATTGCTCCATTTGTCAAGACCGAAAAAAAGTCTTCTGTCTTCTACCCTCCACCGCCCAACGGGTTCGGGAGTGAAAAAGACACACGCACGAACTGGCTTTCCTTGACAGGCAAGCCGGCAAAACCCGATCACGAAAAGCTGCAACGCGAAACCGGTCGAGTGATGAACTTTTCTGCTAAGCTGGTTAACCCAATCGTTCCGGGCGACGAGGAAAGGGAGTTTGTCATTTCTTTCTATCGTGAGACAAGCGAAGTTGAAATCCTGGAGAAGCCGAAACGCAATTCCGGCATGATAGGCGGCCGATTCCTCGCTAAAGGAGTTCATCGCAAAAACATGCCAAACGGCACCACCGTTCTTTTCACTCCTGACGATTTCCAAGTCGGAAGGACTGTGAAAATATACGAACGCCCCTTTCTGCTCCTCGCACATGATGAGGGGACACAGCGCATCCTGGACGGCACGGACAAAGAGATCACGGAAAACCGTATCAAGTACCTCATTCTCCTTTTGAGGCAGCAGCTGAATTTGAAGTTTACACACGCAAGCGAGGCGTTTTTAGCCTTGGCGCCGCAAGGAACGTTTGGTTACGCACAACTGAAGGAGTTCCTGCGCGCATGCAGCTGCAACATTTCCGACGAAGAGTCTCTTCTTCTTATGCAAAACCTGTTTCCTGGAACGAGCGGGGTGATCAATTACGACGATTTCCTTCGCATCGTTGACGTTTCGTCGGAGTCCATGGACGAGGCTTCTCTGACAACGCGGTCGATTCGGAACGTCGACATGACGAAGAGCGAAAATATGAAAGTCAGTGCAACGTTGTCGCAGGCAAAGCAGCGGCGCAAGCAGCTCCGTGACCTGCTGCAATTTAAACTGATACAGCGGAAGGGAAACGTGCAAGAGCAGTTTCGTTTGCTGAGCGATCACAGCGCCAATTCTCGCCTCAACCGCGAAACCTTCCGCAAGTCTCTCAACTCGGTTTTGCAGTTCAACATGAGTGAGGCAGACGAGAACACCTTGGTGGGACTGCTTTTTGACGGTGCCGAGGACGAGGACGGCAACATTACATACAAACAATTTCAAGAGTTCGTCGACTCGGTGGACATCAATTAGAGTGTCTATCGTATTACCGTTTTTAATCGAAACGTGAGTCCTGAAAGAATTGTTCCCGTACTTTAAAAACTGCTGTTGTGCTTTCTCGATGCACAAAAAAGCCTCTCTTGAAGTTTATCTTTTTCGCTGAAAGCATTCTGCACATTTTACTAACTTATGTAAATAGTTGTTTTTAGCCGGCTGTCCTACGTCATGTTTAGCGATGTGTAATAGTTTTAGACTCCTGTCTGTTTTATGTAGAGGAAAGAAAAAGAAGAACCATCCCCACAACGGCACTTAACGAACACATATTAAGCCGTTTTGGCTCTGTGCTCCTCTTTTTGGTGCGCATGACACCTTTGGGTGTAGCCTTCGGTTTTCCCACTCAAAAGAAGAAAGATCAACATCTGCCTTAATTAGTAAAGCTTTAATAGTCGTTCTAAGCATTGCAACTGTTTGCCAACTTTCTCTTTTCGTTGTTCTAATGTATATATATATATATATATATGTAAAACTCCACTCTCTCTGTTTTCTTACAATCTTCTGCTCTTTGTGGCTTTTCGTAGTTGTTCTTTTTTCTTCATGCTGTGGCGCTCACCAGCGGCGTGTCCGAAGCGTCAGGAATGATATGGCGAACGGCTCGTTTGCTGTTCGGTGGTGGTGGCACCCTAGGCGGCGTCAAAAAAGTAGGTGCAGTTAAGTTGCACTACAGCAATTGGGTGCTTAGCGACCCCACGAGGGCACTCATCAGCTCCCTTCATCACCCGCTCGTCACAGAGTACTTGATACGGCTCAACGACAAGCGTGTTGCGATCGAAAAATGGCAAGAAGATTCAGTGAGCAATTCAAACATTCCTCCACTTCTTAACAAGATTGATTCTTCGCCGTTTGACTACGTGAAGTGGAACACAACGTATCGTGACGAGGTCGATACTGCCCAAAAAGTCGCGTCTGTCCTGCTGCAGCTCGACGAGAACGTTGCGTTGCGTGACCAGCTACAGGCAAAGGCAACACGAAACGAGGGAGATGAGGAGATGCTTGAGCTGGTGAAAGAGGACGTGGCTTCTTTCACAGAGCAGCTGCGTGCGCTGGATGGAGACGTGAACGCGTTGATGGAGCGGCGTATTGGATCGGATGACATGGTTGGCTCGTCCACCAACGTCTGGAATATCAATGTTGAGGGCAAGGCCGGGGGTGAAGAGGCGAGTCTCTTCGCTGCGGAACTGGCAGAGGTGCTCCGCGCCTATGCAGTGGAGTGCCGTCAGTGGCAGATTCGCCCGGTGGAAAAGGGGGACGGCAGCGAGGCCCCTCTCACGAACGAGTTTCAGGTATGCGGCGATAAAGTGTACCGCAACTTTCGCCACGAAATCGGAATTCACAAAGTTCAGCGCGTGCCCGTCACCGACGCTGCCGGCAAGATGCAAACTTCCACTGCGGTGTTCACCATGATGCCGGTGTTGGATCCTGTATCGGTCAACGTGCTCGAGGGCGACTGCAAGATCGACTTTGTTCGCGGGTCTGGTCCTGGCGGACAAGGGATGCAAAGCAGTTCAAACTGTGTTGTCCTGACTCACAAGCCGTCTGGCATTTCAGTCAAGTGCCACCAGTCGCGCTCAGCGCTCGGAAACAAGGAGCTGGCCCTGCAGATGGTTGCTCAACAGATACTGGCGCAGAAGGTCAAGGAGCAAAACAGTTCAGTGCACGAGGCATGGCGAAACCAGTGGAGTAGTGGGGAGCGTTCTGACAAGATGAGAACGTACAACTACCCACAAAATCGCGTGACAGACCATCGCATCGGCAAAGACTTTCCGTTGTCTTCGTTTATGAATCACGGGAAAGGGTTGGAAGGCCTCCACGATGAACTCAACGCCATCAGTGACCATGAGCAGATGAACAGCGTGCTCCTCAAACACATCCAAGGCGAATTTGGAAGCGCTGTCTAAGTATTTCACAGACAGAAAACAATATCACAATTGTTGGAAAACAGACAAGACATCACACACACAAAAAAGAGAAAAACGCAACGGCTCGCCGTCAAACAAAGAGGTCATGATGGGACATGGCCAATTGTGGCATAGATTTGCTCGAGCTCAAAACTGCATGCATCCACCACGCGCAATATACGCACAGTCGTAAAGCCTTTAATTTGACAAATCAAAACGAGAAGCATCTTCAATAAGTGGAGAAGAGTTGCACTTCACAGACTTCGACCTTTCCAGTGAAGGGCTTGTGGCGTTCGCGTACTGCGGCTCAGGTAAACAAATCTCTTCTTCTTTGCGCCTCTGCTTTTGAGCGTTTCCGTCGTGCTGTCAGTACAGATTTTTGCTCGTGTCTTTTCTTTTCTACGTCTTACTGCTCGTCAAGCACCCATACACAAATACAAGGGCTTGTTTTCCGCACCAATCAAGGTAGCTCCCCTTATTTCGGCGTCTGGATCGCAGATCCTCGACGCAGTGGCGCTTTTTGATCTACGCTACATTACGGTTGTCATGCAAGCGGAAGCGAAAGCTGACGCCTCGCAGCAAAAGGTGGTGAGGGAGAACGACGGTGATTCGAAGCCTACACCGAAAGCAGAATCGTTTTATGAGCGGTGTCTGCGCAGATGGATAGGAGTACTCGACCACCTCACCAGCTCTTTCTTGGGCGGACCACGATGCATTAAATTCGCGCAGGTCGTCAACCTCCAGAAATGCACCACCATTTTTATGTGCGTCGCCATGATGCTCAAGTCCAAGAATTTTGCGTCCACTGCCACCACCTACACAGCCCTGCACGGCAGCTACGGACTTTGCTGGTTTTTGAAGCACCTCGTTCTCCCCGATCCACGCTGGGAGTCGAAGATGACTGTCGCCAGCGCCATCAGCGTCTTCGCGTTCGTGCTGGGGCCGTATTGGATTGTCGCGTACAACGCCATCATGGGCGGTGCTGAGCGCACCAACATGGAGCTCTGTGCTGCCACCGTCGTCTACGCGGTCGGGCTAGCGCTAATGTTCGGCGCTGACATCCAAAAAAATGCTGTTCTCAAAGAGCGAAAGGGACTGATCACCGATGGCTTTTTTGCTCGCACGAGAAACCCTAACTACCTTGGAGAGGTGATGATCTATGGCTCGTTTGCTTACGTTTCGGCATCTAGCAGCTCATGGGTTATCGTAGGGAGTGTATGGACCTTGGTTTTTCTGCCGTGGATGCTGCGAAAAGACCAGCGGATGAGCCGCTACCCCGGATGGAAGACGTACGTGGCAAAAAGCTGTTTGTTTTTCCCGCGGCTCCTGTGATGTCCATAGTTGGAAAGCTGGCGGTATTTGCTTGCCAATTGTAATGTAGTCTTCTACCGCGTTACTCGTTTTCCCTTTTTTGTCGCGTTTCGCTGTGTTTATTTAGCGGTACGAGCGACGTCGGTTTATTTTTTACTTTTATTTATTTATCTGGTTCGCCGGTCGACTGAGAAACTAACGTTACAGTTATCCTTACGAAAAGCAAACGAATAGCCCAGTAAAAGTGCGGCGCTTAATCTTTCTTCTCATACATGAATGTAAAAAACGAAGAATCTGCGAGCACTAGAAATAGGGCTGCTAGCGGGTCGAGATAATAGTAGCCTCATTTGTGCATCGCGCCTCTTTGCCGAAACGGAGAAGCAGATGAGAGAAACAGAAGAATAAGCGAAAACACCTTAAGAATCTACTCGGTATCGCAACTTCCATTTTCTCCTTTTCTTTGATGTCTCGTGTAAAATCCTTTTTTTCTCCCTGTCCTTCGACTGTTTGCACTTTCTCGCCCACTTTACCTTCCTATTCCATGAAGAGAAATTTGTTCGTATGAACGGATTAAACAAACAAGAAACCTCTTGAGAAAAAGAAAGAAAACAGTGTTTTCTCTTCTGCGGTTTCGTTGTAACGTCTCTGCATCTTCTATCATTTGTGAAAGCCACTCAGCTCTCAGAGTAATTCCTCGCCTCCAAATGTCTTCCACCACCACCACTGTCCACCGCAACCGGAGGCCGTATCCGCCGCCGGATACCTCGAAGCACTACACTGAAGTCCCGCCTCGCACCGTGAAGCAGCACGGCGCCTTGTACAAGATGATCAAGCGCCTTGAACCCGAGATCGCCTTTGGAGAGTTGGAGCCGGCGGAGAAAGTTTTCGTGACAGTGGCCGGCCTTCTTATCTTGACGCTTGCCCTTTGGGGACCAATATACCTTGTGCGTTATGCGATGTCATGAGTTTTTCTGTTGGTAGACTGACTTTCAATTTCCTTTACGTTGTCTTCTTTTTTTTTTGCCTTTGTTTTATATCTATCTCTTATCTACCGCACCGTTTCTTCTTTTGCGTTTCTCTTGTTCCATGCGTGAGGTTTTATCGTGACGCGCAAACAACTACATTTTATTTACTCGTCTGTTTTCCCTCCGCACCTACTGCAAACATGACGGAGGTTACGGAGGAGCGGAGAGGCTGATTTATGTGCCGTAGCGAAATTGTCAGAGTACTAGAAGCCATCGATCTTTGTCAAGACTTTTTTTGACAAACTAGAGTGTCACGGTTGTATCGGATCCAAGAAAGTGAGCTTTCGTTTGCTTCTCTCTCTTTTTCTGTGTTTTGTGAGCACCCCAATCACGATGAATTTGAGGCTACTCAGACTCACGTCAAACCGGTTGTGTGTTTTTTTATATATACAAGTTGTAGTTACAGCACAAGTGTTGTATTAGCCGTTTTTTCTATTAATTCCGTCATGTATCAGACGCAACACGTTCCCGCTTCTCGAGTTGCGCAAAACAACATGTCTTTTTTTTTCGATCTGCTGTCTTTTGATGCTGTCCCGCGCTGCGGTTATGGCTGAGTGGACTGAAGTGCTTGCACTTTTGAATGAAGTATCTCGAGCATGACTTGTTGCGCGATGTGTACCGCGGCAAAGAGCAGCTCCTCTGATACAGCCTCTTCGTTGACAAGATGAATCTTGATCTTCTGTCGTTCGATGTGCTTTGCTTACGATGTGTTAATGGACATAAAAACGAAATACATCTCAGTTATTTTCCCCCACTTTTCACCTCTTGTCTTGTCTTCTTTTCTATTACAAACTCTTTTTTTCTTGTCCCAAAAGAAAGAGTAGTGATCCAAGCTACTTCTCACAACAAATATTATTCCAATTGAACCCAATCTTTCTCTTTTGTACATCTTTTTCTTCTTGCTCATTTCCACTTTTCGTTTGGATACCGCACGATTCGTCCCTTGCACCTGCATTCTACTCTCCTGTACGTACTGCTCTTCTTGTCACCAAGAGCTAGCGCCAATTAAACGCTTCAGCAATCGCGGATGTGCGTTGTGGAAAAGTGACTTCTCTTTTACTAAATCGAGCTTTCGTTCTTGAAACCATAAAAAAGAAAAAGCAGCAACAAAACTATATTCACTCTATATAAAAGAGAGAAAGGCACAACCCCATCTTCAATGACAATATCACTCCGCTAAACAACAGAAAAGAGAAAAAGAAACACTTCACAAGCACAACTACGTGTTTATTTACGTTAGTCAAACAACTTTTGGGAGAGCAAAGATACTTCGACGAGTTCCCGTGGAAATTTTGCGTATTACTGCCGGTCCTTCGCTTGTAAAAGCAGTGGTGCTCACGTTTCAGTTTCTCCTTTTCTTTTTCAAAAACTACTCTGCTCTGTTTTCATCATTTTTTTCCCTTTTAGTCGGTCTTTCGTTTCCCTTTTTCCCTCTAAACTAACTGATTTGGCTTCGTTTACTGTAGAGGTTAGCACGTGTGTGCGTTGTCTTAGAGGAAGAGCTGCCTATTTCCCTGAAAGGCACATATTGACAAAGAGGAACGCTTCACACGACCCTATACATACACACACATATATATCAATAGTGCCTTTCACAGCATTTCTACCTTAGTTCCCTTTTCTCAGAGTTCTTCTATTTTTCTTTTCTGTTACTGATTTGTTTTCTTCCACAAAAGTTGTTTGATAGTTTCGTCTCTTCTCTTCGCCTTCCACTTTTCATTTTGTTTTCGCTTTCAGAATCGTAAATTGAAATTGTCTCTCAATGTCCACGTCTTACCCTTTCCTCACTCTTGGTGACGTATACGATTACCTGCCCAATTTTAATCCTGATTATGAATTGCAGGTTGGGGATTGGGTCGTAATTCAACCGTGGCGCATCTCAACTCTTCTGGACCCCCTCATCGCCGTCTGGGAGCAGAAATCGGTGGCGCAAGGCGTGACAGCGCCTGGGAGTCCTTGCGGGCCTGCGCCGCAGTACACGTTGGACCAACTCTTGCCAGAGCCCTTGAATCTTCGACGGCGAGCTCTGTCGTGGAATGGCGAGGGGTCGCGCCTGACCCATTCGCGGTTCCCACGATTGGCGCGGCTGTCGATGGCACGCGGGCATTTTTGCCAACGGAAGCGTAGACACGTCCTGGAACTGACCGGGAGGAAGGATAGCGAGGCCGGCTGTGAACACATGGAGGCGGAGAGCGATAATTTGTACTTTCACATGCGTCTTGGTCTTCTTACGCCGTCCCGCCCTTACATCTTCGGTGGGCTGGACATCGTCGAGGTGCTCGCGTGTCCGTCCGAGGAGGACAACGCGGGGGAGAACGGGGCGAGCGAGACCACCTCTGACGCGCCGCGTACAGCGGCCCCCTCAACAATGTATCTGAATCTACTCACCGGAGAGACTTTAACGCGCGAGGAGGCCGTGAGCCGCGTCTCTAACGCGCTGGCGTACGCCTCTGCCACCCCTACGTGGTCCTCCCCCATTGAAGAGGCGGCTGAGAAGGAGTGGCAGCAGTGGGTAGCTCGAAGAGTGTTCAAACTGTCCCTACCGCAACCCTGTAGCTAAGTCTAGCAGTGAAGGTGCTTTTTCGGCTACAGGCGTGCTTATATGCGTATGCCTAACTCTGTGCGCTTTTCTCTTGGTATTTTTGCTTCTTTTCTGTTTTTGACACGAAAGAGCGGTGCGAGGAATCGAAGAATACCATCGCTCGTGCTGTTGTTATTATACCTGTGTGTGTGCTAGTGTGACCACTAGAATTCTTCCTTTTATTCTATTGCAGAGTTCTTTTTTCCCCATCTTTTTCATCTTTGAGCTTCCGCGTTACATCGGAGTTGCAGCAAGCGACCAAGCAAACAACTTCTGTGCGCCAGTATATATATTTTGCCCTCCTCTCTCTCCCTCTCTCCCTCTCTCCCTCTCCCCCTTTCCCCTTTCCTTTTTCTTTATTTCTACTCTTTCTTTTGTTACTTCTATTTTCGTTTTTGTTCTTGATTTTTACCTGTATCCTTATATCTCTTCTTTGATGTGTTTGTGGTGTGAGTAGGAAACACTTCTTCCCAAACACGTTGCTTTGTATATCATCTTGCTTTCTTCTTCGCTGAGCACGCGCGCCACCAGCTCTCCTCCAGAAAGTATGCATTCAGCGGTGACGCGCTGCTCTCACGTCAAGTGTTTCCTGTGGGAGGGGCATCTTGCTCTGCAGTGCTACGCACCTTTTTCTTGAGATGAAACTCACCGTGGGCCGTTGTCTCTAACCAAGTTTTCATTGTGATGATTTGCGTATCTCCTCCACCCCCTTTTTTCCCGATTAGTTCTTTTTCTTTTGCGTCTCTTTTTTGTATGTTTCTCACTGCATAGGTCGACGCCACACTTCAATTCATTTTATACAGCGACTTCTTTGTATCTGAAACGCGTAATACCTTTTCTGAGCTGTTGTTCTCAATGTGCTCTGAACTTTAGGTTTTAACTATTGCTCTCCGACTTACCCTTTGTAGCGCGACGCGACGACACTGCTGCGGTGCGTTGAACCGCATTCATTCAAATTTGTAACGAAGGACGCGACGTAAAACAAACGAGACCTACAACCGGGAGCACCTCGGGAGCCGTATTCCTTTTTTCTCCTTTTCTTTCACTCGTCAATGGATGCGAGAACATTGAAACGGGTAAAGGAAGAGCATCTCACAGAGTTAAAGCCGAGAACAAGAAGAAAAAGGGCTCTTCTCTCGACTTTTACGTGCATTGCGGCTTCAGTGGTCGAAAAGAGGGAGGCTACTGCACCGGAACTGCGTTTTTGCTTCCTTTCGCCGGATGCCCTTGCGTGTCTCTGGAAAGAATCGCCAAACGGAAATAATGATTCAAAAAGTGCCTTCTCCTCACTACACGATGGATTTTACACGTCAACGTTCCGTCATATATGTATGTGTTTGTGTAGGTGTGCGCGAAGGGTGAACAGAGATTAATGGATCATTCACAGGCGAGCAATACAGACATGAAAAGTTAAAGGGCTGACGAAACGTTGCAGCAGCACCCTTTTTTGCTTGTTGGCGTTTCTTCTTTTTCACACTTCTCTCCCCCTTCATCACAAAGGCAGCAGGAAGCACCTGTGAAATGCAGATATCATTTTGATCATTCAGCCTCGTTCTCTTTTCTATACAGATTACAGAGTTCAACCTCTTTTGTTTATATATATAACAGCAGAACACAAAAGATATGTGACCAACGCAGTGGAGCTTGCTTTTCAACGCCATCAAATAGCTGACCGACGGTGGTATGTGAGTTCCTGTGTCGCCATTTCAGGCTGTCAAATGCACAATTGGTTGTCGAGTTGCCGGGGTTTTTTTTTTCTTGCTCTTTTAGTTTTGACTGGTTAATATTACTCCCTAATAGCGGTCTTGATTTTTATTCCACAAAACTAAACGAAATAGTTTTCCCTTTGTCTCTTTAAGTAGATTATAGTGTTCCTTTGTTGCCTTTCTCTTCTTTTCGTTGTATGCGCTAGCAGTACCAAGACGTTCATTGAAAAGATACGCGCCTTTTTTTCCTTTGGCTCTGAAGAGCTCCTCCTCGTTTTCTGGCGCATCATTAGTAGCAGACTGTCGTACGATCGGCAAACGCCGCAGGGCACATTTTCATGGGTCCTCATTTAATATCACCTGCATTGGTTTGCTTGTCGATATTTCATCGATGCACATTTCTTTCTTGAAGGTGTCGTAACTCATACGCCTCTTTTGATTTGAGAGAAAAAGAGCTATAGTTAAATGTAATACTCCTTTCTTGTTTGAAAATGCGCTTTTTATAATTCTAATACGCGTATTTTGTTTTCACTGTTCGATTTTCACTTCTCCGTTTTCCTTTTTTACTTTTCTCCTTCTGTTTTATTATCACGCTTACGGGTTGGTCAATCGAGATGAGGATGAAGAACCATCTTTTGAGCTTTGAGTGCAAACAGGTCTCTGCTGCGGTTCAGAAAAGCAGTCGCGCGAAGATGAGAGATCACTTCACTTTTTGGTTTCCTATTTTTTTGTAGTTTCACCTTCTATCTACCTTTTTAATTGAGTTTGGATGTGAAAGGAAGTATCTATTTTTTTTACTTAATTTGTGTGCGTGGTCCGTTCCTTTATTGCTTATTTGAGAAGACGTTTGATGGCTTTTGCGCACTAACGTGTCAGCGCTCAGCACATCGTCCAATACGTGATGCGTGCTGAAGAAATAATACAACGGGTGTGTCTATATTTATATAGTACGACTCAAGTCCACAAGGGAAGGTATTAACAAAAAGAGAGGAAAAAATGGAGAGAGGCTGCAGTTTACGAGCGACTATGGTCTCTGCCACTTTGGCGGCAACGCGCGAAGACGCACTGTGGGCAGCGTCCGCCGAGATACCGTGTCTTGAGAGAAGAAAATACGTGAATGCTTTTCTTTTCTTGTGGCACGGTGCGAAGCCTAATACTTCCTGTTGCGGAAGGGTGTTTGTTTCGTAAACAAACCTCGTTGGAACCTCTTTCACCTCGCGCGGCATAGCAACAACAACAGGAAAAGAGCCGTTGCGTATACTTTTTTCTCCACTCTCCATCGAATGATACTTTTGTTGTCATGCAGCTGATTAGCTCCGTGGGAAGGTTGTGTAACTTCCAAAGAGGAACACCTTGTTGATTCCTGTTCAACAGTGCAGATGCTTGCGAGGCAAGTAAAGCCGACACAACCCGTACACTCCTCATAAATAACCTGGTCAACGGAAGTAACTCATCGAATTCACATGCAAACACATAAACACATGTCACTAGCGCTCTACCCAAAGGAGCAATCAAAGTTCAGCGACAACACTGCTAAAGCGAAGTTTTTATTTGTGCTTTGGGCATCGAATCAATAGCCGCACGTCAAGCGCAATCATGCTAAGAAAATCTTTCAGGTATTTCTCCCGACGGCTGTCGTCTGGAGTGACGAAGAACACACTCAACCCCCTCGAGGCACTCACCCAAATTCAGCTTGGCATAACGCCGCCTCTCGCTGTGCAGCGCGGCTTTTTACTCGACCACTACGCACCGCAGCTGGAAAGTCGTGGTGTGACGGAGGCCAAGCTACTTGCCATGGATGGGCGGCTTTGCGCTCAGCTCATGAAGCAGCTTGTTTACGAGCGATACCTATCGGTCCCGTTCCGTGTGTTTAGCTTCGACATGGAGTTTACGGGCCCACCGGTGTTCACTTCAGATGGTCCAACGGAGGACATCACGGAGGTGGGTCTGTATTCGCCGCTGCTCAACGAAACGTTTTCTTGTCTGGTGCAGCCCGCGTGCGGCCGTAAGCAGGGTCCCGGGGTGGAGGAGCTGACGCACATCTCGGACGAAATGCTCGCAAAGGAAGGAATTCCGTTTGTCGAGGCGTGGGAGCGCTTTCTGAACTTTGTCCAGACGCCGCAGCCAGATGAGCTTCCCGGCTCTGAGGAGCGCATCCTGCTGCTCTCTCACGGCGGCAAGCTCGCCGATGTCTCCCTCATAAAGTGGACACTCGAGAAATTTGGGCTTGAGCTTCCTTCGTCGTTTGTCTTTGGTGACACCATCCATCTAATCCGCGACGCGCACCGTCGCCGCCCTGTCACGGTGGACAAGCACCCGCCTTCGTGGAAGCTAGGAGATTTGGTGCAGTGGCTCCACATACCCCCGACGCTGCCGGCGCATCGCGCTGGCAACGACGCGTGCATGACGTGGGACGCCCTCTACCACACGCTGCTGCGCTACGGCGACGATGAGATGACGCCGCGCGAGCAGCTTATCCCGCGCTTCTTCGACGAGGAGGCAAAACGGCGGATGCGAGAGTCAATTTATCGTCACAAGCAGGAGACGGATCCGTTGATGGGAGATGACACTTTTCTTTTAGCAGACGCTGCGATGGACGCTTCGCCGACGACTACTGTTGCCGCGGGGGAGGCGGGTGAAGCGGGTGAGAGAGGGGAGGAGCAGGCGGCGCTGGGTCACGGTCGGGGTGAGAAGGTCAAGAACCCCGCCACACCTGATTTAATGGACCTTGATTTTGACGACATCTTCAAAGAACAGAACGCTGTGAAAAGTGGCAGCGCTGCCGCCATCGAGGAGTTCAAGTTGGATGACGACGTGCTCGCTACGGAAAGGACCACAGTTAAGTATGAAAGCCAGGATGATGCGCTTGAAGAAGATTCATTTTTTGAGGCAGAAGAGTATTCCACCCAGTCGCAGCGAGGGACACGAAGAAAACAACCGAAGAGGAGCCTCAAAAGCAAGACAGCCAACAGTTCGAACGAGACAAAAGACAGCAGCACCGACGAAGTCTTTCTTGTTTGAGAGGTGAAAGGAAGGAAGAAAAACCTTTCAGTCTCTGAGGCACCACTTCCAACCTTTTGAATATTTTTTTTTTGCGTGTTGAAGCTTTTGTCAGGCCTGCTGCTACATTTTTTTTTTTTAAGGGAAGCTGTCGCGCCGTAAACTTCGCTAGGCGCCAGAGCTTTACACGGTTAAGTTTATTTCCCATTCCCACAGAATCCATTTTCAGCAACAAATTTTTTTATCTGAACGTCACCCACAGCAGCACTCTCGCATCTTTGAAAGTTGAAAATCGACGTAGCAGCATGTTTTCTTTCTGCGTCAAGTAAAGGTCTCATTAGGAAAGAAGAAGAAAGGTCTTTTTTTCTCGCTGACTCTCAAGCAGTCATTTCAAAAGAAAAAAAGAACCTTTTAAAATGCAGCAACTCATTTAATGCGTCTTTTTTCGCTCTCTTTTCTTCTTTTTTTTTTTCGAAGCAATCATTATTCGCCGCTGCATCACTTCCCTTGAGAGAACTTCCACAAGAAAGAAAAAAAATATACTGAGCCTCCTTCAGTTGTGTTCCGCGGCATATTCGTTTCGACACCAGAAAGGTACGCGTACAGGCAGACACACATTTGCAGCCTGTAACAATGTCTTTTAGAGAACTGCGCTCCTTCTCGGAGACGATGCGGCTGCTCGGCTACCCTCGTCTTATCAGCATGGAATCCTTTCGTGAGCCGAATGTGGAGCTGGTTGCCGACTGCCTCTACTGGCTGATCAACCGCTATGAGCCTTCCGCAGAGGTGACCTTTAACATTGAGCGCGAGCAGAACCGCGTGACATTTTTCAAACAGGTGTGCGAGGTAGCCCTCGCCAAAGGCCGAATCAAGCTGAACGTCAAGAAGCTCTACCAGGCGGACGGGCACGCCGTGCAGGAGATGCTGAAGCTGGCAAACGTACTCAAAAAGGCGATGAAAGCTACCGACGCTGACGAGCCGGACTTCACCTCTCTGCAGCAAATGGCGGCGCAGAAAAACGTGAGTGATGCCAAGGCGGTGCAGCAGCTGTGCAGTGAGTTGACCACCGATGGCAGCAGTCTCTTCTTTCTCGTGGAGGGAGAGCTGAACTCCCGCGCCGACCGGCAGCGCATTCTGTCGCGCGCGACAGAGGTCGGCGAGTTTGAGCGGCGCCTGCGGGAGTTGCTGTCGAACGTCACACAGCAGGTCGAGCAGTATCAGCAGAGCATTGTCAATCTCAACGCCGACGAGGGTAACCTCGAGCAGAAGATCGAGAACAAGAAAACCCAGTTTGAGCGCGCCCAAAAACAGTACCGGAGCGCCATGGCGACGAACCCGGCATTTTTGAAGGAGTACGAGAACCACGAGAAGAAGCTGCAGGCCCACTTCGTAAGCTACCTGGAGCAGTACCGTAATTTAGAGTTCTTGGAGAATCAGGTGGCCAAGTTTAACGCCAAAGAGGATACACTGCTGGAGGAGCAGGAGACAAAGCTGAAGGTAATGCGGGAGCGGCTGCGCAAGGAGGAGTTGAAGAACATTCGAGGCGATGGTGCGAATGCGCCGTCGCAGCACCGCCCCAGCGGCCGGCGCGGGGGCGGTGGTGTTGTGCCGATGATGAGCGACGACGACGAGGACGCCTCCGGCCCGCGCGGCCGCGGTGGCGCGCGCATCCGCAACGCGGCGGAGGAGGGCAGCAGCGTCGATGACTCGACCTCATCTGGGGAGGAGACCACAGACAGCGACGGTGGCAGGCCGCCAGCGCGGCAGCACGCCCAGCAACAGCAGCGGCCGCAAAATGCACTGGGGCGTAGTCGCGCTGCGGGCTCTGGTAACGCGGGAAGCAGTGACGACAACAACGATGAGGAGTCTCTTGTCAATCAAATGCGTCGGCCGCGCGTGGCGGGTGGGAATCGGCCGCCGGCTGCGGGAGGAGAGCGGCCGCGGCCGCAGGCACAGGGTGCCAAGGCCGATGATGATACGGATGGTGCGGATGACTCCGACACCGATGACAGCGAGCTGACTTCCTCCACCAGCAGCGGCGAGTTTAGCTCTGACGACTCCAGCGATTACAGCGGCTCCGACGACAGCGACATCTAACAAAAGTGGTGTCTGCGGGGAATGAGGACGACAGTCGCACGATAGAAAAAAGCCCTCCACCTGTGGTAACGTCAGTTGCGCAATTCTTTTTTGTTATTGGCGCAACCGCGAGCTTCTGCTTTCCTGAACTAACGATTTCCCACACCCAGTTTTGTATTTTCTTCTTCTAGAATTTGCGTGCGTCTTTCTTCCATGTGCACTGACACACACGCACACATATGCGCCTGAGCGGTCGAGCGCATCAGCGGCGATGCTTATTGAAGCGCGTAAATCTTTCAAATTTCCGCCGTGAAACAAAGAATCCTCCTCTGTTACCGCGAAGCTCACATTGCAGGACTGGGGAGAAAAGTCCTTCGCGCTTTTTCCCCTTCTTTTTGATCTCTTTTGAAAGACCGGAAACAGCTCAATTGTTGAGGCACATGATAAGAGAGCCCTGCTTCTACGATGCTTGTGGTTTCAGAGCTGATGGACTCTGATGTGCCCGTATTGATCAGGCATTATGTTCTCTTCAAGATGTTGTGATGATGTGTACTTTCTTGCCTCAAGAAAAAGAGAAAAGTTCAATGCGTAGAGGTGAAGGCGTCGGCGTTTGTTGTTTAATGTTCTATAGTACCCGCCGACCTCTTCTTGTTTCTTATTTCTTTGTTTGATCTCAGACAAGGCCCTACGACTTTCCTGTGTCTTGATGCTCCGCACCATCAGCAACATCAACAACAACGAGAGGCATAAAAGGAAAATGTGATGGCCGCATTTTCGTGTCTTTCTGTCCGTGGTTTACCACACAGCCACGTTTCTTTGACGGCCATGGAGGGTCTGCCTCGTACCGATGTGTCCTTGTCGTCCCTTTCTCGCTCGTTAATCCCTTGTTGTGGCGTACTGTTTTCTTTGCAGATGGTATCTTCTGCGTGTCCATAAAGGAATCCACCAACGTAGGCCCTTTGGAACCAAATACACGTCTTTTCGACAGGCACTTCTGTTCGCATGGCTTCTTCTTCATCCATATCTTTTGCTTTGCTCCCGGCCCTTCTTTCTTCTTCTTTCTTTGTCTACAACCAACGAAACGCCGCACTCATCTCGTTGCCGACGTGTTCGCTCTTACTGTGTGGAACATAAATATATATATTTTTTCGTTTAAACCCCTCTTCACATCGATTTACATGCAGATTTTTGAACCTGTAACTGGAACAGAGATAAAGCGTCGCTTTCCATCTCCTTTTCTTCACTAAGAAGCAAGAAGCCTTGATAGTGTCAGGTGACTTCCGGTAATTCTCCTTGAGCGTGTTCACTCATCCTCTACGCGACTTTCAAAAATGCAGCAGGCACCCTCGGACTGCGTTGCGACCTTCAAGCTGATCCTTGTCGGCGACGGTGGCACGGGTAAGACGACCTTCGTGAAGCGCCACTTGACCGGTGAGTTTGAAAAGCGCTACGTCGCCACCGTCGGCGTGGACGTGCACCCGCTGACTTTCTTCACCAACCGTGGCAAGATCTGCTTCAACTGCTGGGATACCGCCGGTCAGGAGAAGTTTGGTGGTTTGCGCGATGGCTACTACGTTGAAGGCCAGTGCGCCATCATCATGTTCGATGTGACCAGCCGTAACACCTACAAGAACGTCCCCAACTGGTACCGCGATATCACGCGCGTATGCGACAACATCCCGATCGTGCTGGTAGGAAACAAGGTAGACTGCGCTGACCGCCAGGTCAAGGCGAAGATGATCACCTTCCACCGCAAGAAGGGTCTCCAGTACTACGACATCTCTGCCAAGTCGAACTACAACTTCGAGAAGCCGTTCGTGTGGCTCGCGAAGAAGCTCGCCAACGATCCGGACCTGACGCTGGTGGAGATGCCGGTGACGGAGGCGCCAGAGATTGCCATGACGGCCGAGCAGATGGCCCAGCTGGAGGCTGGTCAGGCCCTCATTGAGAGCGCGCCACTGCCGATGGGCGATGACGACTAACACTTTTCTTCTCCAAAGAAAAGCTTCTTCTCGTGTTGAGAAAAAGAAAGGTAAACCGTAAGAAGGGGATGCGATATCTCCTGATTTAATTTGAAGTATTATTTAAAAAGGCCGTTTTTTTCATGTTTTCGTTCTTTTGTTTTGGTATTAAAGAGGACTTATACTGGTGATGGCGTGTGTGTATTTGTGCAGGTATGCGTGCGGGCAATTTGTGTTTCATAGAGAAGAAACGTTTCTTTTTTCTTTTGTTTCCACTTTTCGCTTCAGTGCCGTCCTCTTTTCTCTTCGCTTTTTGTCGTGCCGAGCGGAGGGGGGGGGGGAAGAAAACGGAACGTTGTGAGCCTAGTGTCTTTATTTAGAGCGCCTGTCCGTCTTTAAGCCCGGTTGCCAGATACTGAGAGGAAAGGGAAAAGCGATGTGCTCGTGGAAGAAGGTTTTTATATTTCTTTCAAGGCCCAGTGCAGAGATAAAAGCTGCGTTTGAAACGTTCATACACGCATCACGTGCCCACGCAATCACCCGCAATCACGAGTGGAGAGCAGAAAATGCTAGAAAAAACACACGACGGTAACCACATATATGTAGCGCCCCTCAAAAGGAAAGCGGCCATCAGCGGGTTGTAACCTTCCGATGGGTGACAATATAACGCGTTAAAAGAATGCCGTTAGCGCCGACGGAGCTCGAGGCTTTGCGGTGTTATTCGGATTAAAGAAAAACACACACGCGAGAACGGGACGTCTTTTTCAGCGAACCGCCGCAAAAAGAATATTTTTCCTCTTGGCGTTTGCCGTTCTCGTTGTGCCTTACTACGAGTTGGCTACAGGTCGTGTTATCTTCCAATGAGACGAGAGCGGGGCAAAAGAAAAAGGAAGGGCAATGATTCCCCGCTTTCTCACAGCCGCCTCGAACGCTGCAACTAAAAAAACAGATCGTTGCCACCTGCCTTTTCTCTTTGGCACTACGGGATAAATAACTCACCTCTATGCTCTCCCTTTTTTTTGGTCTCCTTTCTTCGATTGCCATTCCAATGCCTCCAGCGGATTGGATCACCCATTTGGTGGTGCAGTTTATTTGAGGATGATGAAGCGGTGAGCACATCGTAGTCAACTCAGAACTAGCAGTAACCGCAAAAGACAAAAAACGCACAGTCGCATTTTCAAGTATAGTGCACGACAGGCACATCGCGACTCCCATAAATACATCAACATAGACGACTGACAGCATAGAAAGGAAGAAAGCAAATAACGCAACGTAATAATCACGGTGGCTTTCTTCATTTTTCTCGTTTACAGTAATGCCGAGTGCAGTCGAAACGCGCGATGCGTGCCCGATTGTGCGCACACACCAGCGCTTTCTACTGCGTTCGCTTGAATTCACACAGCAGTATGCTCCGATGTACCGCTGCCGCCTTGAAGCGCAGTACACACCAGCAATTCGAGCTATTCAGCACATCGTCACGCAGCACGCAGCCAACGGCGTGAGTAGTGCCGGATTGCTGGATCCGCGGCGTGTGCTGGAGCTGCAGCCTGGCGTTCCGGCTATTTGCGTCGGTGTAGTCTACAAGAACATGAAAATGCTGCCTCGGTTTCTGGATGAGTATCAGCGCGAGCTGGTGCGTATCGACGCCGGCGACGAGGACAACGACGACGACGGCGGAGGTGCGGTGGAGTCCGTTCCCCTAGACGCAAAAGACGCCGTTTCGGGGATGATGAACGAGGAAGGGGAGTTGAGCAACGGCGGCCAGGCCCTTGCGGCGGAGAATGAGCAATACAGTGTTTGCAACAGCGCGGACGAATTGATGCTGGAGGACAGCAGCGGTCGCGTGCTGTTGCAGGGGCTAAATCCGGAGCGCTTTTGCACGGGTGTGGTGCTCGGCATCTACGGCAATCTGCTCGCGAATGGTAGCATCGCAGTCATTCGTTACGCTTTCGCGGGTGATCTGCGCTCTTCCTACGTACCCCGATCATTGGCGCACATCACAGACAGCGCTATCGAGCCTTGCTACATTGCTTTCGTGAGCGGGCTGAGCATCAATCTCCCGCGCGACGGCAGCAGAGAGGAACACGCCGCCGTGGCGAAAGCGCGTGCCTCGTTGGAGTTGTTGGTCGATTTCCTCTGTGGAGGCACGAGCAACGCCGCGTTGCGCACAAAAGCGAAGCACGTCACCCGCTTGGTGATCGGCGGTGACAGCATTGCGCCAACGGACGAGCTCAAGCTCAAGAAAAAGGTGAAGCTGGACCCGTCCGATCACGTGCGGATGAACGACGACAAGGCGCAGGCTGGCATTGTCACCTCCGCCGCGTTGATGCGCGAGCTCGACGTGGTGCTAGAGCGCGTGGTGAGCTCGGTCGAGGTGGAGATGATGCCGGGAGACAACGACATGTCGGATGCTTTTCAGCCGCAGCAGCCCTTGCACCCAGTGCTGCTTCCGAAAGCCGCGCGGCACTCCACTCTGCGACTCGTGTCAAATCCGTTCTGTTTCACGGCGCTGCCCCCGGCCTGTGCGTGGAAGAGCGGGGCGGAAGAGGGATCGGACAAGAAAAAGCACAGGTCGGAGGTGAGTGACGGGGTGAACGTCTTCGTCACCTCTGGGCAGAACATCAACGACGTGGCGCGTGAGTCGCGCTTCCCCACCCGACTTGATACGATGAGCCTTGTGATTGAGAGTGGGTGTGCGTGCCCCACTGCCCCTAACACCCTCTTCAGCTACCCGTTTTGCAAGCGTGATCCTTTTCTGTTCGAGCGGACACCGCACTGCATGGTGGCGTGCGACCAACCGCGGTTTGAGACGCGCTTTGCCACGCTGGAGAAGATGTACGCGGAGACGCACCACAGCTACGCAGGAGCAGAAGCAGCGAAAGAGGCGGGAAAGCAGAAGACGGAGTCGGCAAACGAAGAGACCGAGACGGAAGGTGCGGGGGCTGGTGTGCGATTGATCTGCGTTCCTTCGTTTGCTCGTTCTGGTGCGCTTGTCTTGATGGACGTCAATTCGCCCACACTAGAGACGACTGCTGTGAACTTCACCGTTCCATGAAAGAGTGAGTGAGCGAGAGAAAACAAGAAAAGGAAAACACGACGCCACATTATTTGAATGGGTGATGACGCGTTTCAGCGTATTGGACTGGCACCTGTGCGCAGTTTGACCTTAAAAAAAAACTTCTCTCCTCTTTTTTGAATGCGTCTAAGCATTTTTGATGCCGCCAAAGAAAGTGCTTTGTTCTTATGCACTTATCATTTATATAAGGAGGATACAACTAACACACTTTTCCTTTTCTTGGAAGGACCATCTCTCAAGTGATGTCTGCAACGATGATAGTGGCAAAAGAGACAGCAAAAAAGGGTTTCGCCGCGGAGAGAAACTCAAATTCGGTCTTTGCAATGTTTTTTTTTTCTTTTATGTCTGAGGTGAGCTGCAGCGCTCCTTCATTAGGCCTTCCCTCTTACTGTTCCTTTTTTTTGTTTTTATTCTTCTCTCCTCTCCCCTCTCTTCTCTTCTTTCTTTTTGCGTTTGAGAGTGGGGAAAGTTAAGGATTCTTGCGTTCTGCGCTGTTGCGGAACAACAGGTGTGATCCTACAAAGCGCTTGCTTTCTTTTATATACATACGATTTAGCTTTCGGACGCACAGCAGTAAAGCGGCGGTGCAGCATGGAGGACGAGGAAGCGCTCCCCACCATCGTCGTACCCGGCCCAGAGCTGCGCGAGAAGGTGGATGCCTTCGCTGCGCGCCTCAGCAGCCTTGACCGACGCAAGGCAGACGAGATGGTGGCCAAGCTGCTTGCCTCAAGCAAGCGGAATCAGTTTTTGTTTGTCGACACCTCGCACATTTTCTATCCCTATTTCCTCAGTAAGCTGACAGAGTACCGCCAGCATCCGGAGCTGCGCCCGCAGAAGGCAGGCGAGCAAAATGCAGGCGAAAGCGCAACTGGTGGTAGTGCAGCCGCGGCGACGACTATAAAGGCCGGTGCTATTACCCGGACAATGGGCGGGACTGCCGGGGTGGAGAGCGACCCGGAGCGAGAAGAACTGCTGCGGCAAACCGAGGCAGAGGCACGTCGTTATCTGGAGGACCCGTTCCCAAATCACTTCTCCCTCGACTTACGGGGTGGTACGATCGATGTGACAGCGTTCTTGATGGACGTGCTGTCCACCTCGGCGCAGTACACGGCGAAGTACGGCGACAAGTTCCTCGCCGCCGTGCAAGCCAAACAGCGGCACAACCCCCTCATGCATTTCCTGCAGGAGGACGACGTGCGACACAGCACGTTTTTGAAGCTTGTCGAGTCCTACCGCCGGGTGCTGAACTTCGACGAGGAGGAGGTGGAGAGTCGGTTGGAGAACTTAGAGTCGCAGTCGTACCTACTGGACACCGTGTGCGAGGAGAAGAAGAAGTACGCGAAGGCGGCTCTGGCGCGACGGCGGGCGGCCCTCCTGACGGACGAGGAGCTGCGGGGGCGGCTGCAGTGGACGCTCTTTTCCGTTGTGAAGACTTTTCGGCTAAGCGATCTGCAGCTGGACGGCCCGGTGCCGGAGACGGCCGCGTCGAAGAAGCATCACTCAGCCGCGTTCTCTGCAGCTCCAGCGCAAGTTTCCACACCTGCTGTAAACGCTGACCCTACTGCACCTCATTCTGCACCGACTTCGGCGGCACCATCCGCTGCCGTGAGCAGCAACACGCTGCGTCCTCCTGGTGGCATCCCCGCCTTCCCACCTGTGTTCATGAGCGCTTCTCTTGTAAAAGGGACAAGCAACAACGGAAAGCGGCAGCGCGAAAAGGGTGGAGTGCGGTGATCGGTTTTGGTGCGGCAGGTTGTGTTTGGTCTTGTTAAAAGAAAATGAGTGGCTGCTTTGCTCATCTGTTGCTCTCTACGTTTGTGCTGAACGGAACACCTTTTCCGTTTTTAGTGTACTACGACGCTTCTCGCATGGCCGCATACGCGCCTACACTTGCCAAAGATAAAATAAGTAAATACATTGATACCGCAGTAAAGCGAAACGCAGAACGGGGGAAAAGCCGCATGCTGAGCGAATTCTGAATTTCACAGTCAAACGTAAACGGTGCGTCTGTCTCGTCGGCACGCGTGCAACGCCTTCGGCGAGAAAAGGCTCCTCTCTTTTGTTGTCATATTGAGAAACGGAGTCGTGCCGGGGAAAGGACGCGCTTCAACTTCTCTGCGCAACTTTTTATTCCTCCCTCTTCTTCTAGCTGTTGACCTCGACGGCGCGGTGCCGAAGAACAGAAAGAACAAAGCCCAAAAAGAGCACAGCAGCGATGGGAAAGTACGCGGTCGTTGTTATTGGACCGGCGGGCTCTGGCAAGAGCACACTGTGCAGCGTCCTTGCGGAGCATTACACCAGCATGCACCGCTCCACACACATCGTCAACATGGACCCTGCGGCGGACGAGCTGCCCTACGAGCCGTCGATTGACATTCGCAACCTCATCTCGCTAGACGACGCCATGGAGGGAAAAGGACTTGGGCCAAATGGTGGACTTGTGTTTTGCATGGAGTACCTTGTCACGGCCGGTGCGACGTGGGTGTCCCAGCAGCTCGGCGACTATGCGGAGGACTTCATTATAGTTGACATGCCAGGACAGGTGGAGGTGCTGTCGAACCAGCCGGCCGTGCCAGCGTTCGTGCGTCTCCTCCAACAAGAAGGCTATTACACGACGGTGCTGTACCTTTTAGACGCCTTGGCGACCACGGCAGACAGCGGCAAGTTCATTGCGGGCTGCATGTTCTCCTTGTCGAGTATGGTCTGCTTCGACTGCCCTTTCATCAACGTGCTGACCAAGTGCGATTTGCTGAGTAAAGAGTTCAAGGAAAACGGCGTCCTGGAGCACTTCTGCATGTGCGACTTTGACTACATGGACCTCTCGCGCCTGCCTCCGCGCTTCCGTGCTATGTCTCGCCAGATTGGTGCGTTGCTGACCGACTTCAACCTTGTTACATTTAGGCCGATGGACATTGAGGAGGTGGGCTACATCAGCAACCTGTGCAGCCTTGTGGATGAAACCCTGCAAGTCGCAGACGAGGCGGAGGTGCAGGACCACGATTTTGAGGACATGTAAGCGGCCAGAGAATGGGAATGAGAACAAGACGGAGAGAGACGCCATCGCCTTCTCGCGTGCATCTCCGCACGGACCCCCATCTGCTATCGCTGATGGCTTTCTCTGCTCAAGGTAAGGCATAGTTAGCGTTGAAAGGAGGGAAAGTGAAAGATGTGCTGTGACATCCACACAGCAATTATTGGCGTCCGCGCTATTGCTTTCCCTCTTCACTTTTCGCTTTTAAATTGCACAATCAGATAAGTCGCTTAATTGCATTCTACGATTAAAAACAGCAACAACACATCACAGTATATATGCATTTTTTTGGTGACGAACATGAGAGAAAGAGGCGAAGTTTTGTGTATGTTTTGCTCAGACACTGCGAATGCAGATGCAAGCATTTTCGCGCAACATATATGTGTGACCCATTACTTCTCTAACAACTCCTCGAAGCGCGGTGTTCTCTTTAGGCTTGCTTTATTTCCGACCCCTTTTTTTCTTCTCCTCTCGGATACACTTACGTTCTCTTCCCGTCTTTGCGTAGTTCAGAACACACGTTATTTGGCGCGGGCTGTTATATATATATTATCGTTCCACAGCTTCGGAACTCAAGCTCGTACGCAAAAAAGTAGACATGCGGGTAACGCGGCTGTTCTCCGCTGCCGGCTTTGCCGGGGCTGCCTGGACAGCGACGCCGCTGCGGAGACAGTTCTACAATATCGGTAACCCCAACGAGAGCGTGCTGGAGCTGCGCCGCAAACTCGACGCGCAGATGCGCGAGAAGCTGCCGCGTTTTAAGACAATCGAAACGGAGAGCCGTCTGATCGTTCAACTCGCGCGCAGCCATCAGCCCGACGAGCGGGAGGAGGCGCTGGCGCTTGGCGAGGAAATGTGGGGGGAGCTGAACGACGATAGCTCGCCCATCCCCTTTTCCTCCCGCACGGCCATGAAGATATCCCTCTGCTCCTCGTTGCGCCGCAGTGCGTTGATGAGCAAAAACAAGGTGGTGGCGGAAATATGGACCGTCCGCTTTGCAGAGCGCGCGGCGATGGTGGCACCGCGGGACTTCGTGGACAGTCCGCCAGCAGACGGGAGGGTTCGCGGCTGGCGTGAGGCACGGGCACAGGCGCGCCCCGGCACCGGGATCGACGCGGACGACTTAGAAGCGGATGCCCAGGAAGATGCAACGGCGGACACGAAGAAGGACGACGCGACCAAGAAGAAGGTGAAGGAACCGACTGTTTTCGATCGATTTCGCCAACAAAAAATGGTGGAACACCCAACGGTGGAGCTGGCCTTTCGACGCAAGCCTGGTCCCGGCCCCCGCTTCACCGGATAATCGGCTACGGCATTTCTTTCCTTCATTTATGGGCGAGGTGCAGCACACATGTCCGCGTGCGAAGCAAAAGACCTTCCTCACAGAACCTTTTCGACACCAAGGTTTCACAGTTTATCCAATAGCGAACAAACGGGTAGAAAAGTACGCAGTGTCTTACGTCAACGCCAAAACGGGGAAGCGCGAATTCAAGCGCAACACCACAATGACTGCTGAACCGATCAAGTCAAGGTGAAGATGTTCCTGAGAAGCCCACCCTTTTTCCATGCTTTTATTTCCGTCCTGTTCCGCTTGCTCCCTGCGTCGCGATGAAAGCTTCACTCCTCACCTTCGTTTTCTCTCCTTTTCCGTTTCTCAACTGCAAGTCCTTCAAGAAGGAAAAGCACATCATTTGGAAGACGAGACGCGGGCAACTTACATTCGGCTTGCGCTTTATTTTTTCCCTTCTTTCCCTTTTCTTTTTGTGTGGTCTCTCTCGCAAACGAAGCGAGTGCATCCGCTTACTGTTTCCTTTGCGTGTCTGCCGGCAAACGAATCGGCTGAAAGGGAAAGCATGTCTTCCTCTGCGACCGCAGCGGACCCGTCGCGTGACCACGTCACCGTGAAAGGTCACTTCACCAGCCTCTGCGATGACTACACAAGCAACATCGTGAACACGACCCTGGCCAGCACGGACCCCCTTCTCAGCGCGGCAATTCGAAGGCTGATCGCTGAATTCGAGCAGTTCTGGCGGCACCTGTCCGCTGTGGGCGCTTTCTCGCCTAATGACGAGTTGGAGGATTACTCCACCACCGCGTTGGAAATGGTGTGGACGCCGTACATCATCGCCGACCTGTATCAGCGCGTTCAGGGTCCGGCTCCGTCAGCTAATGATGGACGGGGCGGAATTCAAGCTGCAGAGGGACGGAGTGCGAATGCAGAACGGATGCGCGGCGAAGAAGCCTTGCGTCACGGAGAGCAAAGACAGATCGACGACGTCCAGACGACGCAGTCGGCGGGCGAGACTGCCCGGTTGACCTCGCACAGCTTGCAGGAGGAAGGCCTGCGATCACTGACCCGGCAAGAGGCACTCGCCCGCTCCCACGCCTGGTTCAAGATATTTTTTGAATGGATGCAGAACGTGGAGTTGGTGGATGAAAAGACGTTGAACACGTACTCGGTCTACCGCCCTGATCAGCGTACCCAACGCATTGAGCTTTCCCGCACCCTTACCAGCCTGAAGGCGGCGTGGAGGGCGGAAGAGGACAAGGTGGGCTATTTGCGTGCGAAGCGCCGACGCATGCGGGAGCTGATGGAAGAGGACGGCGAAGCAGCGGAGGAGACGGGTGGTGAGGAGGAGGAGGCACTGCGCGAACGTGCACTGGCCCGACTGAAGTGGTCCATCTACGAAGCATGCCATCAGCTGCAAATTTCGTCGCGCGAGCTGAGCATGCTGGAGGCGCTGGATCCCGCACAGCGGGCTGCAATCTCGAAGGAGTATCAGGCCACCATGGACGCCGTGCGCCGCGGGGAGCTGTCGCTGGGGCGGCACACCTACACAATTTTATCTGGTGGAATGATGACGGCAGGCACGATCGATCAGCCGCAGCAGGTACGAGCCAGCGACATCTTGCAGTCCGGCGGAATCACGCAGACGATGCCCGCCCCGGCAGCGACATCGTCCGTTGCGCTCGGCAGCGTGGCGAATCAGCGGCTCTATCGTCAGCAGGTGCGCAACGAACTCATGGTAGACAGAAACGCGCCCACCATGACGCTGCAGGAGTTTGCGGCGATGGAAATGGCGGACATCCAACGTCAAATGGACGAGGCCCAGGGTAGGCAGCAGCAGCAGGCAGAGGAGGATGCCCGTATTGGCCCGGACGGCGTGGAGGAGCGCAAACGACAGAAGGACAGCGCCTGGGACGACTGGAAGGACGATCACCCCGCTTTCGGGGTTACCAACAAAGGCAACTACTCTTGAGCAGATCACGGGGTCTAAAAGGCTTAAAAGTGGTTCAAGTTCATTGCGTCGCATCGATTTATTTGACGTTTACTCCTTTCTCCAGCTACTCTGTTTTATTTTTGTTTTGAGTTTTTGTCAAGACAATGCGTATCTCAGAACTTCCCCGATTTGCGTCAGCTATTTTACCTCGTTTAATTTATCCCTCCGCTATTCACGAACGATTGAAACATCAACTACAGCAACATAACGTGGGAAACAACAACAAAAAAGAAAAATCTTTTATTACTGAACAGACGTTAAGGTGTGTGTGTGTGTGTGCTGCATTGTGTTATGTCGTAGCAAAACGAGAAAACTGTACCGCTGGTTGTATGCAAAGCGAACAGCGGTGGCATCTACTCGGCGACACGCCGTTGGCAACTCTTGTGTCAGCTTTAAAAAAGGGCGTGCATGCGCACTTGAAGAAGTGTCGTTTGCCGTTCCGTGACGAGTATGCGTTGCAACTCATCCATTCTATCTTGCTCGTGCCTTTCTGTTTCTTTTTTCTTTTTTCTTTGTAGCACCTAACAAAGAAGATATTTTTGCTCGTAGTGGAAGTAAATGTATAATGAAAGAGGACAGAGGGAAAAACACGAGCACAACTTCAGTGGACTCAATAGAACACAAACATACAGCCCTATTTACCGCTCCTTTCACCCGTTGCATACACAGGAGTTTATTTCACCTAGCATAGACAATTGTAATTGAAGTAAAAAGAGGAAGAGAAGTGTGCTCTCGTTAGATACTGCCTTCCATGAAAACGACGGTGGTACGATGCGCCGCATCTACACGAGGACGGCAGCGGTTTCAGCCGTCGTGGATGTCGCCAGGCCTCACCTCGCACCAACAGCTCGACGCAGGAGTCGCTGCCCGCCAGCAGGCCGGGTGGAAGGCTCTAAAGAAATCAAAGCGCCCATTTGACAACTACTTCCGGTCACAGTTTCGTTTTTCACCGCGTGTGCGCCTCCCGGTCACGCTGGCCTCCGGCGTCGTGAGCAGCTACGACGCGGTCAAGATGATGACGGACCCGAAGCGGTCGTGGAGTACACCGTGGGAGCGCGGCGGGAGCGGCGCCCGCACACGACGCAAGCGGCAGGACGTTCTCGAGCCAACACACACCGCGTTTGGCGAGGACGCAGTGGATGGCGTGCTGGAGCGACTGATTGAGATCCGCTTCGCGTGGGATCGCGAAGATGGCGTGCTCTGCACCAGTCTCGTCCCCAACAATCTGTACCCCACCTCGGCGCACTGCCGGCCCTACGTGACCGAAGTCGCGCCTTCTCAACTGACGTCGTCCACGGCTCTCACTTCGAAAGACGCCAACGCCGCGTCTTGCCATGGGGTCGACCCGCACAGCTCGGAGGAGGATGGAGAGGTCATCATGATTGCCGGGGCCCCCGTGCGCATTCAGCGACGCACTCCGTTGCTGCGGCACACGCCAGGCCAGCCAAAGCGTCCACACGTGCACTCCCAACTTGGTTTCAGCGGGGTCGACACGGTGCCCTCGATCGTGCTGGACGTTTCTCACGGCCCCTTCGTCACCTCCCCCAGCGCACCGCTCATGACTCTCCGCTGGAAGGCCGAGCACCGCGATGCAGCGAGCGCGCAGAGCTCCCTGCAGCTTCTTCGCCGCGTGCGCCGCGTGCCTGTTGTGGGCCTTGCCCCTCGCTCCTCCTTCCTGCTGCTGAAGGCGCTGTCGACGGTGGAGGTGGAGGAGCCGGCGTTGGCCGTGTCCTTGGCCATCGCCATGGGGGAGAACTACAACGGATACTCCGACGTGGAGTGTCTGGAGGTGCTCCGGTGTCTGCGCCGCCTCGCGTTTGTGCGCGGGTTGCCCGAGCTCGCCACACCCGACATCAACGCCGTCGCCGTCGCTTCGTCCTCTCTTTCTTCTACTTCAGGTGATGGGGCGGCGCGGTTGCCACGGCTGTACACGGAGGCGGCGCTGACCGACTCGATGCTTGCGCAGTACGTACGCGATGCCGCACCCTTTCTGGTTGGAAAGATTTGGGGGCGCTTGCCAGAGCAGAGCCGTCACTTGCTCCAACGCGGCTACTTCCTCGATTGGTTCGACTTGATGCGTCTGGCCGTCGCGGCGAGTGGGCCGCAGCGTCTTCCGCAGCGGCTGCCAAACCCCGTCTCGGAGGCGCCGTTCGCAGCGAAGTATTTGTTTTTTCACCACACGCTGGGGCTGAAGAAGAGGGTACTGCGGGCGATGGTGGCGGCCATGCGCGCTGGATCGAATGGGAACGCCGCGTCATCTCCGGCAGTGGAGTCGCCGTCCGAGCGTAATCCACACCAGCACACGATACCGGCCGTCGATGGCCGCGACGGCAAATCTGCGCCGTTTCGTGGTGCTTCCCCTCACTTCGTCGATGAGGTTAAAGAGGAGGTGGACACGCCTCTTATTCTGTGGCTCTGTGCCTCGCTGCTCGTGCGCATCGTTGCGGAGTCCCTCGGCGATGTCGTGCGACACGTGGGGGACCTCCTTTACCAACACGCGGCCCTTGCCGCAGAGCGTGCAGAGGAGCACGAAGATGAAGGACGATCCTTCAACAAGGAAACGCCGCCGTCGCCGTCGCACAAGCTCTACCACCCTTACCCACGTTTCAGCAAAGGCGTGCATCAGAAGATCGGCTGCCGCAAACCGAAGCATGTGCGGGTGCGTCTGCTGCCTTTTGAGGCCTTTCCACATGTGGCGAAGTGCTTCTCGTGCCCCTACGCGTCTGTTACAGAGAAGGTAGAGGCGCAGGAGAGACGGCGACACGATCGCTTGCGACAGAAACAACTCAGCACCAGCAACAGCGAATGCAGGCGCCACCACGCTGCATCCGCCTCGTTGGCAACACCCCCGCGCGGCAACGCAGCAGAGACGGTATCACAGTCTGGCAGAACCGAGATGCAGTCCGCATTTGCAACGGTCTTGGCGGAGTCTCCGCCTATGGGGCAGCAGGTCAAGCGCGCGTGTGCGGCACTGAAGTGGAGCACCGCGGTGCTGCAGGCGTGTCGGGCACTGGTGCGCGGCCTCCCCGTCGTCCCGCCCCCGCCGGTGTCGGTGTCGTGTGCTCGTGCGGCATCCTCTGCTGCCGCAGCGCCATCCGTCTCAGCAGCGAAGCGGACGCGAAGAGAGGCAGAGGCAGATGAGTGGGCACGTGAGACGGTGTCCATGGAGGTGCGCCACGCCCTGTGCTACCGCTACGTACGCTCCGCCGTGCGGCTACACATGGATGCCCTCTTTGTCTTTATCCCGTGGGAGGAGATGGCGGCGCAGTGGGAGCCGATGCTGACGGCGGGCAGCAGTGCCGGTGCCGCAGATACCACAGGCAGCGATGTTTCACGGACAAATGAGGAAAGCAGCGACGGCGCCACCTTCACGGCGGACGCGCTGGAAGCGTTACTGTCCGGGAACTCAGTGAAGAAGGAGGAGGACCCAACCCCATCGGACAGCGGCGCCGCCCCCGCCCCTCTTTCGGAGGCGGAGCAGCGTTCACGTGCGATGATGGAGGAGCTGCGGGAGGGCTTGGAGGAATTTCAGGTAGCCGTGGCCGACGTCCTGGAAGCGCACGAGCGGTTTTTTGAAGCGCCGAACCAAAACACTGCTCCGGCGTCTCCGTAGTCGGCAGCCGACGCTTCGCAAAAAGCAAAAAAGGCAACAAACAGCAACCGCAAAAAATAAACGAATGCAATGCGTTGCGATCATAGATGGTGTATCATCACAACTTTTTACCATGACCGAATAACGACAGCGTAACTTCGAAATATACCTATGCTTCTTACGCAAGCGTCCTCGAAAGCACTACTTGACACTAAAGTGGTCAGCATTTTTTTCTTTCCGTGTTTATCGAGGCCCGACGTGAACTCACTGCGCATCCTCGATGAGCGACAAACACATCATTTGAAATCTCGTGCGCACTTCTGTTGTGCCACGATGACACAAAGAACGAAAACGATGGTTTCTTTGTTCCTCTCGCTTCTCACTCGTTCTTGGTTTTTCGACGCCCTTGTCACGCTCCATCCTTTCTACATTGCAGGTCACGTCTTTTCCTTTTTTTGTTTATGTCCGCAACACTGAAATAAATTTGGGAACAGGATTGACGATAAACGCGATAGAAACAAGAGAACGAGCGACACAAAAGGTTTAACACTGCCGCTCCTTCTTGTCCCCCCCAAAAAAAGCTCTTTTCCTTTCGATTCGGACGACGGCAGACGCGATGGCGGAGAGCGAGGAGGACAACCTCAACATTCTGACCTCGTGGGCACCCAAAGCCTACCAATGCTTCGCCGCCGAATTTGATGAATTGGAACAACTGAAACGGCAGTATGAGGAAACGGCCAGTGGGACACAGCATGAGTTGGAGGCGCAATGCCGTGCCGAGGTAGATATGCAAATCCAAAGGGAGTACCCGGACGTGTACCCCCTTCTTTCGGGCATCTCCTCCACGCCGTGGCCTGTCACGGCCACCCCCACTTCGCCTCCCCTTGCGCCAACGTCCTCTGCGGGCGGCAGCTCCGTCAAGCGGCAAAAGGGCAAACAGGTTCAGCAGCAGCTCCAGGCGGAGGTGGCGATGGTCACCGCCAGGCGCGAAGCTCTCCTTCATCAACACATTCAATCCGCCATCGTCGCACAGGACCGTCAGCCAGCTCGACAACTCGCGGCGCGCTACTCAAGCGAGCTTGCCACGACGCAGAAGCACGTGAAAGCGTTCTTAGAGAAGGAGGCGCACGAACTGCAGCGCTTCACGAGTCGCCCGCTCGCCTCCTACGCGCTGGGCGAGGTGCTGGACGCGCCGCCCGTGCCCCCAAAGGCGGTGGTGGCACCAACAGCGTCCGCGGCAGTACTCGCCACCTCGTCCTCGCTGTCGAATGCGAAGCGATCGCGTGCCGCTTCCATTAGCCGGGCAGCGTCGGAGCGTGGCAGCGCCCGCTCGTCACGCACCAAAAATTCAGCCGCACGCCCTGCCGCACGCAGCGGGAAAGGTGGCAGGGCAGGGACGCGGTCCCGCACGCACAGCATGGCGGAGCGCAAGCAGGAGGCTGCGGTGGAGACGGACGAGAAAGGCGAGCAGGACACCACAACTGCTGCGGAAATACCGGCTTTTCTCATTGACGCGCATCAATTCGCGGTGGACTACAACGAGATGCTGAAGAAGGAATACGGCTACCGGCCTGCCATGACAAACACGTTTCCCTGCGCGGCGGACGCCAACAAACCAACGGCTGCAAGCAATGACGGTGAAGGCAACGCGCACGAGGCGGCTGGTGCCGCTGCGTCTGCGTCTCCAGTAATCGGCGCCACGAAACCTTCGCAGCAGGAGAAGCTTCGCACGCACGTGCCCGGGAAGACCACCAAGCGTGCCGTGCAAAGTGGAGCCGCTGCTGGTGAGGATGACAACGGAAGCTGGTGGCTACCACCTATCCACGCAGCGTCGCAGCAAGGCTTCACAGCAGACAGCGCAGCTCTGCGCTCCGCACGCGACGCACCTGCACCGAAAATGAAAGACGTGGAGGCGGTGGAGGAGACGAATCAACGCTTCGCGCACTCTTCGCCCACACTACGACGGCCAGAGAAGCCCACGGGCACGACAGGCAGCCACAACCACCACCTCCGCCACGACAACCACCGGACGCAACGGACAGACGGCGCCGGTGCGGCAACGAAGACGCCTGCAGCTAAGATGGGCACCAAGGGTGGCGGCTTCGCTTCGCCGGTCGCGAGCCTACTCGACGGAATCGACTGCGTTGCGAAGGAGAAGGGCTTGCGCTTCTCCAGCTACGCCGGCGTGCTCACCCGACAGGTGGTGCGCTTTGTGAACCGAAATGCGCACCGCACGCGTCTGCGTTTGAAGGCGTCGGCGCATCCGTGGTTTTCCTATCGGTGCACACGCATTGCCCCGGCTGCCGGCAGCGTTGCCACCACGACGGCCGATGCCGTCCCTCCGGAGACCCCGCTGAACTGCGGCGGGTTTGTGGAGGTGGAGGTCATCTTCTGTCCTCAGTCGATTGAGGCGTCCACGGCGGTGGTGGAGTCGGTGCTGGAGATGGGTGTGGCGCGTGAGATCAACGACCGCCTCAGCGAGGGGGCGCAATGGCAGTTTTTGAACATTTCTGTACACGGCCAGGTGGTGCTTCCGCACTTCGACTGGTGGCGACGGAGCAGCACAGGAGGTGAGAAGGAAAATGCGTTGGGGAGTGACTCGACAGCGAACGTTTTGGCCCTCAGCGAGGAAGGTGCGCAAAACGGTGCACCGGGCGACTCGTTCGAGTCGGGCACGATCGTCTCGCACGATCACCTCCTCTCTTGCGCAACGCCACTCTATCTAGGCAACGGCGCTGCGGTAGAGTTTGGCGACGTGCTTGTGCTGAGCCGCACGCAGCAAACCCTTCTCCTTGAAAACACCGGCTCAGAAGCGGTGGTACACCTCCTCAGCTCATCGCCGGAGTTCGCTGTTTCGATGGCTCCGGAGGTGGCCACCACGCTTCCGTCTTCACTGGCTGTGGCGCTGCAAGTGACGTTCTGCCCCTTGAAGGAGGGCTTGTGCGAAGCTACGCTGACCGTCGCGGTGCGTGCAAGCAGCGACCCGGCGAGCGCAGTTATCTCCGAGTCCACCGTGGAGCTGCACGGCATTGGTGTCGTGCCACGGGTTAGCATCACCTCTCTTGCGTCGCAAGTGGTGCAGGAACGCGTGTTGCCGCAGTGGCAGGTGAACAGGACGGAGGCGCCGTTGCACACGATACTGAGGGACACGGTGCCGGGTGTGCCGTCTGAGGTGACAGTGACGGTGTGCAACGAGTGCGCCGTGCCGCTTGCGTTTCACTGGGAGGGTGACAGCGATGTGCCGCACAGTGAGGACAGCAGCGAGGAGCCAACGGAGGCCGTCAAAGCAGACTCGCCGGTGCCTGCTGCTGTGGCGGCTGCGTCAACCGCAAGCACGAATGTGACCACCCTCGCCGCACGGTCTTTTATGTCGCCTCCCTGTGGCACACTCGCGCCCTTCAGTACGAGCACTTTCGTCCTCACCGTCACTCCGGCCACGCTGCAGCCTCTGCAGACCTTGTACAACCTATTCCTGGACGACATGCCCGACCCTGCCGCTGCGGAGAGCACGGAAAAGCTGCCGTTTGTAGATGCCGAAGTGGTCGAGTTTTACCGTCGTAGCCGACTCATTCCGTGCACCGCGCAGCAGCAACAAGATAAGGCGCCCTCATCCATCTTCGACCATAATGCCAACTTGGAGGACGACCCTGCACACTTCGACGCGCAGCAGGTGACGTACCTCGACCCTGTCACAGCGTTTTCTCGCTTTCAACGGTCTGCAGCCGAGAACGCAGGCGGCGTCGCAGCGAGGACACCCCGCGGTGTCTTTGCCACCAGTTTTCTCACCTACCAACAGCCGTCCCTGCCCTCGCTGACCATCACGCCTGCCGTGATCGAAGAACGCGTGGAGTGTCTCTTGACGTGCCGCCACACGCGCACGGTCACGATGCACAACAACGCACCGGTAGCGCTGCACTTTATTCTGGACCCCACCGAGGCGGAGTTCACAACCTCGCTGCAGCAACCGTCGTTCTTGTCGAATCTGTACGGCTCCTGCGGTGCAGCTCCGCTGCTGGCCCCCACGGCAACGACGTTTGAGCGCTGGCGCGGCTGCTTCCCCGCGAGCGACGGTATCAGTGCGCAGTGCCAGCCCCGCAAAGGCACCATCCCCCCTCACGGCAGCATCAACATCACGGTGCACTTCACCGTCGAGGCGTGCGGGCCGCACTACGCGGTGGTCCCGTGCTGGGTGCCCGCCGCGGAGCAGCTGCGCGCCGTCCTCGCCACTGCCGGCCCCGCGGTGCGAACGGCGTCTGCGTCGTGTCGGCCGTCGTTGCCGACGCACCCCGGCAGCGGCAGCAAGGGTCAGCACCCGCAGCCGGGCCCCGCCGGGCCTCCGCCGACCGGTCGAGGGCGGCCGATATCGCCTGTTGCTCTGCAGCTCACGCCGGAAGACGCGTCGCTTGGAAATTACCGTCTCAGCGAGCGACGACAGCCGTCTCGGCTCGGTTCCGGCAGCGTCGGCCACACCGTCACGACGGTGTCTCGCAGTCCTGCGGAGGAGGCGCTGCGCGTCATCGAGGATGGCGGCTGCTACGCGGTTAGCGTCACCGCGACCGGCGTGGGCGCCACCGTGAAGGCGAGCACCGACTTGTTAGACTTTGGCCTCATCGAGCTCGGCCAGGAAGCCGCTGCGTCGTTTACCGTGTCCAACCCCAACTCCATCCCCGTCGTGTTCGACCTGTGCGATCCGCTCATGCGACACCCCCCACGCTTCGTCTTCATTCCAGAGTCGTTCCGCCTCGGTGCGGGCAACACGGTGGAGGTGACGGTGTATCGCAAGGCCGTCTCCACCGAAGATGCGCAGACCTTTTTTGAGCTGACGGTACGAGACGGCGGTGCCTCCATCGCTGTGGAGACGCGCGCCACTGTGCAGCAGCCGCTACTGGTCGTGGACGCGCCGGTGGTGCAGTTTGGTGTGGTGCCGGAAAATGTGTGGCAGACGGGCACCTTCCACGTGTCCAACCGCTCCGCCATTGACACGGAGTTCACGGTGACGCCGGCGACACCGCTGCCGCCGTATATCGAGGTGGAGTACGAGAAGGACGTTGTGCTGCGTGCGGGGGAGCAGCTGGATGTGCCCGTGCGGTGCCGCTTTCAAGCAGTTCGAGCGTCGTTGCCGCCCACCTCGTCGACCCGTCGCGTCAGCAGAGATAAGAAAGTCGACGGCGATGGGGCGTTTGCCTCTCCACACGAGGCGCTCCCCTCGAAGCACAAACAAGCCGCGGACAACTGCTATTCCATCCTGCTCCGACTCGTCTCGAAGCGTAGCCGGCAGACGCTGCTGGTGGAGGTGCGGTGCGACGCCGTGGAGAAGCTTTCCGTGTCGGTGGACGTTGCGACGGACGGCGTGCAGGACGGCGAAGCAGCATTACCATCCACCTCTGCCGCGGCGTACATCCGCGCCGTGTTGATGAACGGACTCGAGGCAGCCCTCCTCGCACTCGATCAAAACGAGGCGCAGGCAACACACGCCGACATTGCTGCAGTGGCCACGGCACCTCCACCGGCTACCGCTGCGGCAATCCCTTACTGCGATCCTGTGCACCTTGTGGACTACATGCCGGACGACCTCCCCTTGTCACGTCGCACCGTCCACCTTGTTTTGCAGAGCTACACGGGCGGAGAGGCGGCGTTCACGGTGGCGGCCCAGCGCTACGCACCGCAGTCGATCGAAAACATCGGTGCCCAGCACATTCTCGACAAGAGGGCGTCGGTAAACGCAGCCGCCGCTGCAACGACCAGCAAGAAAGATGCGAAGGAGGCGAAGGGGGACGACGACGATGCCGACAACGCCTTCGCTGCTGCGGACTGCACAAGCGCCTTTGCAGAGGACGAGACGGCGGTTTCGCCGCCCGCCTTCTGGACGACGACGGTGAACGGCGGCGCCACGGTGCAGCAGGCGCAGCGGCAAATCATGGAGGCGACGCAGAAGGTCCTGGGCGACGGCGCTGGATGCGTGACGTTGCTGTCTTCCGCAGCGGGGGTTTTGCGGTCTCATGGCGTTGTACACATTCCGGTCCATCTGTGGTGCGCGCTGCCCGGCCGGTATGTGGAGCACTTGTGCGTGCAGGCGGATCCCACGCTCCCCCTCCTACGCATCCCCGTTGAGTATGAGGTGTACGGCAAGCCGATTGTGCTGGATGCTACCACCTCCGGCCTCACCAAGGAGGGTGGTCGTGGAGGGGAGGACGTGCTGCTGATGCCGCCTGTGATCGCCCCGCTCGGGTCTTCGCGGCGCACCATTCGGCTTATCAACCGCGTCTCGCGAGATATGGATGTCACGGTGGAGATCTTTCCCTGTCCGCTTGGCATGTCCGTGCATGCCGTGGACCCGGACGCTCCGGCGGACAAGGTAGAGCTGAAGCTGGTCACCATGACGGCGGAGGACAAGGATAGGGAGAAGAGCCGCATTGGCCAGGTGACGGCCACACCGTTCAAGCTATGCATACCGGCCCATGCGAGGCGCGAAGTGGTGTTGGAGTTCACGCCGGCCGCCGTGCTTACAGAGGGGGAGGCCACAAACGACGGGGCTGCAGCGAGCAAAAGGGATGCACGCATAAAGAAAACGATCCCGGCAGCCGGACACCGGCGTAGTGACGGCAGGAACGAAAGCGACAGCGGCAGCGACGAGGAGGCGATGCTGCTGCCGGAAGAGAAGTGGTGGCACGGCAGCGTGTGCATCGATGCCGTGTTGGCGCACACCGATTCGAACGATGTCTTTCTGGTGGATGAGTTCTACACCATCTACGCTGACCGCTACCCATCGCGGCGCGTGGCGCGTCCGATGACAAGTGCGCCGGCGGGGTCGGGGAATTCGAATTCGACGGCTTTGCGGCAACGCAGGTGCGGGTGCTGCGACCGCTGCGCTCGCGTCCGAATGACCGGGTGGTGCGGCGCGGCCGCATTGTTTGGCCCACCGAGGCAGAACAGCGCGTTCTTGACCGCTTCGCAGCCACGGCGGCGACGTCGATGCAGTTGGCGGAGGGGAGCGCAAAAGCAACAGGAGCGACAGCGGGCGGTGGCGCGACAGCGTCCAGCGATGACGACAACGATGACGCCCACGGCAACCCGCTGATTGATGCGTCTTCCTTTCCGCAATCCTCACCGGCACACAAAGGCAGCGACAACGCCATCGTCGTCGTCCCGTCGCTCGACGTGCTGCTGCGGGAGGCGGAGGAGAGACAGGCGTTGCTCGACTTCATCTGTGCGCGGCGCCGGGCTCTACAGGAGGAGGGCAGCAAGTACTTTCCGTCGATTGAGCTGCGTTTGCGTGCCCGCTGCGGCCGCCCACACCTCACCGTCGAGCCGTCGGAGAAGTGCGTGGAGTTCCCTGCGGTACCCCGCACTGAAGAGAAGTCCGCATCGAAGCTGCGCTGCACACGCACCGCACGACTGACAAATCGCAACAGTGCCCCGCTGCGCTTCGCGCTGTCGTTGGTGTCGCCCTCAGATGAAGCCAACGCGATGGCTTCGCCCTCCGCGGAGCTCTTTTCGATTGTCCGGTGCGCGCTGTGGAAGTCCGGTCGTGATGAGGCGCGTGAGCTGTTCTCACTTTCTTCTAGCGCTGCACAAGACGGGGCCGCAGGCGCCGAAAGACGATTCAACCCAGACGAGACGCACGTGTACACGTTGGACAGCATGGACGCCTTAGACGTCACAATTGACGCGCAGACGCACAGCGCGGCCTGGCATCATCACCTGTCGCAGCAACACCACTGCACTCCAGCGACGAAGGAAACGGTGGAAGGCATGCTGAAGGTGCAGTTTCTACTCACGTCGACCGTCTCCAGCATGACCAACACACAGAAGACTCCCGCCCAGTTACTCCCGCTGCGCATCCCGCTCATCAAACCCAATATTGAGTGTCGGCCCGGCGTGATTTGGTTTCGCCCCGGTCAGCAGCGCCACGACGGCCGTGCGCAAGTGGCCTACACTCAAACCTTCACGGTGTACAACACAAGCGCGGCCGCTGCGCGCTTCCGCATTTACCCTGTTCCGGGAAGCACGGCAGATATACGGAAGAAGGCTGCCATGGACACCTTCCGTGCTCAGCAGCAGCTGCAACTGCAGCGCAGCGTGCTGGCTGCCTCCGTTGCGGCTTCCCCCGCGGTGGCGAGTGAGCTGGTGACGGCGAACACGATGACGACGACGGTGGGTGTGGTGGGCGACGATGTGCATCACTCCCTCATGCACAAGGTGAAGGAGGTGGTGAAGATGCCAGCCACGGCCCCACCGGCGGAAGGGCGGGCGGATCTTGTGTACGTGGACGACCCTGCGCAGTTTACGATCTCGCCGTCGGAGGGCGTCGTGCCGGCGGCTTCGCTGGGCGGCGAGCCGGCGGAAGTGAAGATACGAGTGGACTTCCGTGAGTTCTCCAGCATCCGTTACGAGTCGCTCTTCGCGGTTGCCATAGAGGGCGACCCTTCCGTACCCCCGACGTATGTCGTGGTGCGTGGGGACAGCCGGGACACGGAAGTGTGAGCTCGTCTGCTCTCTCTCTTTCCGTCGCTAAACGCACCGCTTTGCCGAGCAAGCTTTTTTTCCTTGTATGTTGCTCTCACCGGCGTTGGAGGTCATATTAAGTGTGCGCAACGCGTCCGCAGGCAACGAGAATGAATGTATAGTAGCTTTGTCACGAGATGCCAATGTACATGAATTTATTTAGTTATTGATTTATTCCTAATGCACCAAGCCAATGTGAGTTTTTTTTTGCATCTTTCGTCTTTCGCCACCCGACCAAATACATTTACCCACACGCGAGAAGAGGACCGGTTCATGAAGGCCACTGAATGAAACGTAGAAGCGGAAGCTAAATTATCTCTGCTTTCTTCTAAATCCCTCAACGTGCTATCGCGTAAAACTGCGAAGGAAGCTACAAACCGTTGATGTCGATCAGAAGCTGTCTTCTGTTTCTATTACATAAGACGAACGCTGATCAGCTCGCGTGCAGCCGTCTGCGGCTTAAGTTGGATTCTCACGTTGCTGCTTAGGCATCGCTACCCCTCTGTGTCTTGTTCTGATGCCCGTCTTATTGTCTTCGACCATTAAATAAAAGCTTGTATATCTTCATACAGTTGAACAGGTCAACTATCAAAACATACATCTGGTGTTGTTAGCAACAGCTTATATCCACGAACGTCGCAGGGTTGCTGCCTTCGCATCTCGTTCGTGGACATCACAGCACGCATCTTTTTTCTTTTTGTTGTTAAACATTGTGAGTGACAATGTACGGCCAACCGGATCCGTCCAATCCGTACGGGAACACCTACGGCGGCTACGCAGCTTACGGCTCCTCGGCGGCGGGAGCCAATCCAGCGTCGACCCAAGCTACGGCTGCTCCTGCTGGTGGGCACTACGATCCCAGTCAAGCATACGGAGCGTCAAACAACTACTATGGGCAAGCAGCTGCTCCGCAGCAGTCAACACCTCCACAGCAGCAGCAGCTGCAGCAGCCCTCTGCTTCAGCCCCCGCACCAGCCGCGGGCTCGGCAGCTTCGCCGTCCGCCTACGGCTACAGCGGGTACGGATACCAGAGCCAAAATGCCGCACCGAATGCAGGCTATCTCTACGGTAATGCGGGGGCCGCTGCGCCTGCGGCTGCGGGAGGGCAGTCGGGGCTGAGCTCCGCACCGCCTGCACGCAGTTCTGCTGGCTACGATCCCTACGGTACATCGAGGCAGCCGTCTGCACCGCACCCCACGGCGTCGTCTCCGTACGCGACAAACGCAGCCACGGGCGCGGTTCCTGCAGGTGGGGCGTACCCTCCGCCGAGTCGGCCCGCAGCGCCACCACAGAAGCAGCAGCAGCAGCCTGCCCCTGCCAATGTGAGCAACAGCAGCAGCGGCTATCGAGAGCCGCAGCGCCCCTTAGCGCGCAACCCGCCGCACCGCGTGGTGAACGTGCGGCTGGTGCCCAACCCGGAGCGCAGCATCGTTCGCACCTCCGGCGCCCCGCAGGAGTACCTGACCTGCACGAACGAGCCGCCGCTGGCCACCGACGACTTCGTCGGCGTCGACAACGGCAACGCCAATCCGAAGTTCTTCCGCCCCTCGATGCTCTGCACGCCCGTCCAGGAGCGTCTGATCAAGGACAGCCACGTCCCGTTTGGCATCATCCTCGCCCCGCTGAGCCAGCAGCTGCACAGCAAGGAGGTGGTGAGCGTGGTGAAGCGCAGCACGGCGCCGACGCGGTGTCATCGCTGCCGCGGATACATGAGCTGTCACGCGCGCTGGCTCGAGATGGGCCGCAAGTGGGAGTGCCCACTGTGCGAGGTGGTGAACGAGGTACCGGATGAGGAGTTCAGCAGCGTGGATGGGCTTGGCCGCCCGATCAACCAACCCGACCACCCCGAGCTCAGCTGCGGCAGCGTCGAGTTCGATGTGGACGAGTTCCCCGAGTACGCGCTGCGTAGCGAGGACGGCAACGCCCTCCCAACGCGACCGCTGCACCACCTCTTCTTGGTGGACATCTCTCGTGATGCGGCGCAGCGCTTCCTGCCCGACTACGTTGAGGCGATGCGTAGTGGGCTGCAGCGCATGGCGGAGATCACGCCGGCCTGCAAGGTCTCCTTCATCACCTTTGCCTCGCAGCTCCACTTTTACGACTTGCGACACCCCGACATGCCGCAGCGGTGCGTCCCCGACGTGGAGAACCCGTTCGTGCCGCTCCCCTTCACCAGCCTGTGCTGGCTGGAGGTGGGCGCCGACCTGGACCGCATCGAGCAGTTTCTCGACCGTCTCACCACCGTGGCAGCGTACGTGGAGGAGGTGGAGTGCGTGCTGGGCGCTGCCGTGAAGGCGGCCACGTTGGTGCTCGCCGGTCAGCACGGCGGGCGGGTGATCATGTGTGCGCATCGCTACCCGCAGCGCGGCCTCGGCTGCATCGTACCGCGTGAGCAGCACAAGCTCTACGGCACGGATCGGGAAAAGGAACTGCTGCGTCCCATCGAGGGTTTCTGGACGACCACCGCGAGCGAGGCGGCGAAGCAGCAGATCTCGTTTGATCTTTTTATGTTTTCATCCGAGTACACCGAACTGGTGACGCTGTCGAGCGTGTGTCACGTGACAAACGGACGCGTCTTCTACTTTAAATCCTATGACCCGCTGGTGGACAACACAAAGGTGACGGCGTCGATGCAGCAGTTGCTGACGGAGGAGGCCGGCTACGCTGGTATCTTGCGTGTGCGGTGCAGCACCGGTCTGCGCGTGCAGCGCTACCGCGGCCATTTCCTTGCGCAGACGGTGCAGGACATGGATCTCGCCAGCATCACGAGCAGCTCCACCTTTTTTGTAGAGTTCGCGCACGAGGGCAACCTGGAGAAGGGCAACTACACCCACTTCCAGGCCGCCCTGCTCTACACAACCCGCTCGGGTCATCGTCGGGTGCGGGTGCACTCGTGCCGCATGCGCGTCGCGAGCTCGCTCACCGTACTCTTCCGCAACCTGGACATGGAAGCGACGCTTTTTGGCTTCATTCAAGATACCATTGCGGAGGCAGTGAACAAGGGACCACGCCAGGCCCGTCAGAGCATGACGGATCGCCTCATCAAGTCCTTCTCGAGCTACCGTCTTTACTGTGCGGCCGACGGTGGCAACAGCGACTACGGCGACGCCAAGCCCGCGGCGCGCGACAAGAAGAACACGCTTTTAATGCCGCCGCGGCTGAAGCTGCTTCCGGTGTTCCTGCTGTGTCTCATGAAGTCCGACGCGCTCACCGAAGGCACCGTGGTGCCGGTCGACAACCGAGTCGCCAGCGTCTTTGACCTCGTCTCGATGCCGATGCACAAGCTGCTGAGCTACCTCTACCCCTCCCTCTTCAGTCTCGAGGACCTCGAGACGGACCCGCGCATTGGCACGCTGGTGGAGGAGACGGGCCATTGCGTTCTGCCGCATCATCGCCAGCTCGTCTTCGATAGCGTGGCGCGCGATGGGGCGTATGTGCTGTGCGATGAGCAGGCGCACCTTGTCTACATGTGGATTGGGTCGCAGGTGTCACCGAAGCTGTCGCAGCTGCTCTTCAGCACCGATGACGCCACGACGGTGTGCACAGCAAGCGGCCCCGGCGAGGAGTGCTTCGGGGAGCGTCTGCGCAACGTCCTGTACGCGTTGATGCTACGCGAGGATGGCATGCGGCGCCTCATCGTCGTGCACGAGGGCGAGCGGGCCGAGGACGCCTTCTTCAAGGAACTCAAGGAGGAAATGGGCACCAGCCCGATGGGCTACGACGAGTACCTCACCCACATCCACCGCACTATCCTCTCCTCTTCCATGGGCGGCTTTTAACGCATGTGTGTGTGTGTGTGTGTGTGTGTGTGTCTTTGTGTGAGCAAAGATTCCTAGCCGCCTGAAGGAAATTGGAGGGAAGCGCGAACACGGCAATAAAACGCGTGTGCGTGTTTCTTCAAGGTCGCGACGTGCGGGCGAAAAGATTTCTCTGGCGCGGTTTTGTATGTGGTTGACGGGCTCGCCTGTTCGTCTTGCGAAGGGAGGGAGGGGAGGGCGGCGTTGATGTGAAGAGCAGGAAGAAGCGTTGGTGCAGCGTTTATTTTGGTTGAGTTGGGCAACACACGGTTGATAATTCCCTTTTTTTTATTGTGTCGGTTGAAACGGAAAATATTCCTCCCCCTGTCGTTCCTTTGTACAAGGAAGAGGTGGCGTATATATATATATATTCCTGGCGGCTTTATGTGGCATGTGGTGTCCGTGTCCGATTTGAATCTGTTTTGGCTTTGTTCTGCACACCTCTCTCTCTCTCTCTCCGAGTTTTGGCTGGTGTTGCCAATGGCGTGTGTGAGGTGGCGCGTGCTTGTGCTGGGCTGCGTGTGCGCACAACCAATTTTGTGTGCCTGTTGTTTCTATCGGAATCAAGGCGAGCAAACAATCGCGTTGGCAACAAACACACACACAAATACAGACATTTCATTACCGAACAGAATGTCGTTCACAGCAAAATAGAGAAAGTATTTCCAATGAATCCGGCTCGTGCCGGATAGAAACCAGCATTTGCAACTGCGCTTGTCTTCTGCGCTCCTTTGACGCGTGTATGAAGATAACGTTTCTCACGGGAGTCCATCGGCAATGCTCGATTGTTGCCGTAGCTCCGAGAGCGAACAATTGGAAGTCAGGATGACCGCCTTGACATTTCTGCGACTCTGTGACCACGTTGACGGCTTTAACGACTGCGAATTCTGTTATCTGTTGCCTCCTCGCTACGTTGATGTTGAAGTCTCGTTATTGGATGCTTTGGAGGCATTCCGTCTTGGGTGTGTGAGCGCAACATCGATTTGACAAGTATATCTCTTTCTTTTCTAAAACCTCTCTGATGTTATGTATTTGTTTACTAGTTTTGCTTACAGAGGAAGCTCTCACACCTATCGTCGGAAAAGCCTCAATTTCTACATTTGTTGTCCACCGCTTTCCCGACTTCGACCCAATTAGAGCCCACGTAGATTTACCTTCACTTAGACCGAGGACTAGGCCGCGCCGCGGTGCCCGTTCTCTTTTTCTTTTCCTCTTCCACATGTGAGTCGAGAATTCTTTTCTTTTTCACTGTGGACTCGGAGCGCAGCGTTCATCCCTGCGGTTGGCATCACTTCTTATCGCCTCAGTGCTGTACGCACACCGGCTACCCAGCTAGAATCCGTCTGTCACGCCTGCTTGGCTTCATTATTTTTGTTGGGGGGTTTATTGAAGTACTGCTCTGATGGCTTCCTCCGCACCGGCAAGACAGTAATAATAAAAAAGGGAAAGAGTAGAAGAGAGCGGCACACTTGTCAGCCGCACTTTTTGCTGCCAGCTTCTCCGTTGCCGATGGACACACGCTTCCACTGTGTGTACCTCCTCACTAGTCTCGACCCCCAGTGTGAAGGTGACTTCTACATTGGCTACACCGTAAACCCGCTGCGGCGGCTGCGGCAACACAATGGCGAGCTCGTGAACGGCGCACGGCGGACGAGCCGGCGGGGGCGGCCTTGGACGATAGTGTGCTGCGTATCTGGCTTCACGGAGGACAGGGTCGCGTTGAAGTTTGAGTGGTGCTGGCAGAACCCAACGGTGTCGGCGCGGCTCAAGCACACGGTGGGGATTCTAAAAGGCCTGCGTCGGTTGCCGTACGCCGTGGGCACCCTCCATTTGCTTATCCGCGCTCCCCTCTTCAATCAGCTCGACTTGACGCTTCACATTTTCGAGCCGGACCTGCTGCACGGGGCACGGGCAAAGGTGGAGGTGTTCCTTGCTATGCGCGGGGGTGCGAAGCCAATGCAGGGGATGCCATCTTCACCGCAGAATCGTGCTACCACCGAGGGCGAGGCGGCCGGCGCGGCTGCGCCGATCAGCACACAGGTCTTGAATGTGTCTTCCGCCTACGGGTCTGCCTCTGCGCCGCCGTCGTCGCTGCCGCTGCTGCCACCGCTGGAGCCGTCCTCTCTCTTCCACGTGGAGGTGCTCACTCGGCACGCCTTCGAGGACGCGTATCTCAGCCACGATCGGTGCCTGCTGCTACCCAGCGTTGGGGCGCTGACTGGCGGGGGCGACAGCTGCAGCTACGCGACGGATCGAGAGAACGAGGACAGCTGCCTGAGTGCGTCGTGTCCGTACGATGTCTCCGTGCTGTCACAGGCGGCGCGGGCGGAGTGGACTAATGCGCCGTGCGAGCCGGACTCTGCCGTGGCGAGCGACATCGATGGCGACGACGGCGCCGCACAGTTTGTATTGGCAAATTCACTCGCACGGTCGCGGATGCCTTCGCCGGACTACGCCCGCGTGCGTGGCGGCACACCAGAGATGCTCCTAGGCTACCGAAGTGAGGAGCGTGCGGGAGGGGCGTGTGAGGAGAAGGTTGATGTACTCGACAGCACCTCCGCCTCTCGCTCCAACTCCCGTCCCCCCAGCTTGTCTCGGTCACCCTCTCTGGCACAAACGACAGGAGGCGGCGGCGGTGTTGGCTGCTCTGCGGTGGCCGGCCCGTCGCATCCCGGTGCGCCGTCTTCTCCAGCTTCTTTCGACGCTTCTACAGACGCCAGCGCTGGCCGCTGCCCACGCATTCCCCTGCGCTTTGCCCACTACAGCGAAGCAGACTTCGCCAGCGCGCATGCAGATGAGCAATACCGCCTGCATCACGGCTATCTTCCGTGCAGTCTCTGTGCGCTGCCGCTGCGGCCGCCGTGCGTGGTGCACTGCACCCGCGCTCCTTTCTGTGAGCTGCGCTGCCACTTAAGCTGCCTCGCCATGTGGATGCTCTACGCGGAAGAGGCAAACAGCTCAAAAGGTTCTGCTGTGCGTATTGCGGGCGCGGTGGCGGCCCACGAGCTGCCTCAGCAAACGCAGCAACCCACTCCGTCTTCTCCAGCAGCAGCTACCACGGCGTTGTCAGCGCCGGCGCCCTTCCGCCGCCTCATCCCCGCCCAGCCCAGCCCTTGTCCTCTTTGTGGTGTGTCGCTTCAATGGGGTGTGCTGGTGAAGGAGTTGAAGAAGCGAGTGGTGCTGGAGGGGCGACTGCAGGCGGCGCAGCGACGCAAGCGCATTGAGCAGCGCTGGCAGACTCGACTCGCCCAGATCAATGGCAACCGGATGGCAGACAGAGAGACGAAGCGGGGGATTCAACCGAAGAAGCGACTGAGGATGGAGCTGTGTGAGTCTTGCAGTTCAGCTGGCAAAACCCCAACGAGTTGCGCATCGCCGCTGTCGCAGGTGAAGGTATTCGATACTCCTCTACAGACTCCTCTGCCAGACGCGTCCACTCCCCCGCTGCTGTCCTCTCTGACACCGTCTTCTATGACGCCCCAGCCGACTTCTTCGCCACAGAACACTGATAAAGGGTTGTCGTCATCTACAACACTTGCGGCTCCTGCTGACTCATCTCTGTTGTCGTGGACAGCCTTCAGTGAAGACGATTGGCTTCTGTAAAATGAAAAAGGCGGAGGTGCACATCGATTCCCTTTGAAAAACACTGCTTTCTTTATCGTTGGAGCAAAGAGTACCTACCCCCGCACATCCAAACAACCAGACAAGAAGAAAAGAAGAGAGCTGACACCCCTTTGCTGTTAAACGCACGAAGTGAGGATTTACAATTTCCATTTTTTTTTTTGCCTGTTGCAACTCACGGGACGTCTTTGCCGTTGGTATTCCTTTTTAAAAGTCATGCTTCTCTGCATTTGCGTGCCTCGTTGCACATCTCCGCTCATCTCGGTGATGCGCATTACCTTCTTGTTGTTTTCTTCTTCACTTTTCATCTTTGTCCACTCGTGCTCTTACGGTGCCTGCAGGGGGTTCGTGCTGTCTTCGCCATCCTGCTCACACATCGGTACCAACGCAAAAAGAGAAAAGAAAAAGCTGTTCGATGATAGCTCGTCGCTTCTCTTCTCCTCACTGACACTGTGCTACGCTCCTTTCACTCAACGGATGCCTTTCCAACGGAGGTAAATACGTTCCACTGACTCAGCGACGCACCCAACACCATACAAGCGTTTGTGTTCTTTTCTTCTTTGTTTCCTTTATTAAAAAGAGAAAAAATCAAGTACTGAGGAACACTATCGTTTTTCACCGTATCTAATCTGAAGTATTGCTTTTGCACCATCCGCAATGCGCTGTGAAGAAGACGAGTGGAAGGGTGTCGCGGACAAGGTAGCGAGCACCGCCATCCCCACCTCCAAAAGGCTCTTGCGAGTGCCCACCCCTGCCATTCTCGAAGCGAACCCCGACACCCACATCTATCGCTTCCCTACTCAGATCGACTTCGATGTGACGAGTCACAACAACGTGGCGAATCGGCGTCGTGGTCGCTACGTGATTAAGTTAGCGGCCACGTTGTTTCTCGCCATGCAGGCGGACTTCAACACGCCGGGCAGGTGCTCCGACGCGATGGCGTACTTGTGGGGGCATACGCGGCTGGCGCAGGAGTACCTCCGACGCAACCGCCCGCTACGGACACCGTGCGCCTCCTACACAAGTCAGCAGCTGATCAAAGCGGAGGGTCAGTGGAAGGCCGCGCTGGGGCTCCAAGTGCTGGAGGCAGACGGGTTTCAACGCTGCTGGCATGAGCTGGAACCGTTCTTCGAACGCTGTCTTGAAGAGCTCCGTAAGGTTAACAAGGGAGTTCCCGTAAGCAAAAGCCCCAATGGGAATACAGTGCCACCTGCGCAGCTGAGCAGCCTCGCAGAACCGCTAATGAACACACGCGCCTCTGTTGCTGCTGCCGCTGCTGTCGCCGCTGTCGCTGCTGCCGCGAAGGAAATAGTCACACCCGCCGCTCCTCTTTCCGCCGTGGAGGCGAGCTCGGGCTTCTGTAGCGCAGCAAAGCAGACCGTCCGCCGCACCACCCCGTCCCTCGACCTCGCCAAGGTGCCTGCCCGTGGCGTTGCGGTGCTCTACGAAAAGACAGTCCGCTTCCTGCGGCTCGCCTCCACGGCCCGCCGTGCGGGGTACGCCAACGCCACTCCCGAGGAGGCGTTTCTGGCGTCGCGAGGGTGGATGCCGGTGCGGCAGGTTCTGGACGGCGTGTACGCGGACCTCAGCTCGGACAGCGCACTGAAGACGCTCTGGGCGTGGTGGCTCACGGTGCCGGCTGATCAGATGGTAGTCCACTACCTGTCTCTTCTCCTGCTGCTGCGTTTTTCAGGGGAGCTGCAGTTTTTGCAAGATCAAGTCTGCCGCACCGGCAGCAACGGTGGCGGCGTGGAGTTCCCTCTGTCCTCGGTAACGCACCTGCGCGCTGCGTGGGGGCACGACGACAAAAGTGTGGCCGCAGCCGTCATGCAGGAGCACAGCCGAGTGCCACTGCGGTCGCTTGTGGACGGAACTGCCTCCGAAGCAGCACCCTCCGGTGCGCCGCAGCAGCCGCGTGCATCGGGGTGGTTTGAGTACTGCAACGACGCCAAGGTTCTACGAAAGGAGATGGTCGACGTGGGAGGCCGTGTCTTCACCCCTGAAGGGCCGTATCAGCTGCTCCTCCCTCGCGACGTCTTCGCCGACCTCTGTGCACCGCTGCGGCCGGTCTCCCTGCAGGACCCGTCGTCACCGGCTGCATCTCTCGCACCCCTCATGCGCCGGACCAAGAAGGCGAGCAAGCCGCCGGATGGCAAAGGCAGCGCCGCGTTTGGTGTCACAAGCACGGAGACGTTCGTGACGCAGGACGAGTTCGAGGCGATGCTGCACCCCTCTTCGAGCTTTGCCATCGCCACGGCGGTGGCGGCCATGACCTTTGCCGCCTCCAGACTCGCCCTGGTTCAGGTCTCTGCGAGGTACTTTACGAGACAGGACGAAACCGTGTGTGGTCTGGAGGTGCCGCTGCGGATGGTGCACGCGAATTGCTCGCCGCACCGACGCGGTGCAAACAACAGCGACAGCTGCGGTGTCGTCAACGAGGCACGTGAAGGCGATAGGGCATCTTCGCGGTTGTCGGCGGTTGCGGCGCCAGGCTCGACTCGGTCGCTTCTCGTGTTGCCGCATGGGCTGACCTACGGCCTGCTACAACCGACTTCGATGCGGAACGTTGGTGCCGCACCGCCGTCGTCCTCACCTCTGCGGCGCGACAGCTTTTTTCCTGCCGCCGCGTGCGTTGTGGACCCCAACGCGGTCTACGACGTCGCGATCACCGGCGGCGGCGGTCCGTGGGTGAGGGTGCTGCGGCCGCCCACCAAGTTGCTCGTTGACCTCCGCATTGCGTCCTTCTGGGACCTGTGGCAGTGGTACGGCTTCACCTTGTCACCCTCCCCCTCGAACGTCCGCGGAGAAGGTGCTGCGTGTAACACACAGCACCCGTCGTCGAAGAAGAAAGGTGCGCTGACACTCTGGCCCCGGCGGTTGATGGTGGAGGACGAGATGAACGTTTTGGTCAAGCCATCCGTGCCGCTGTCTCTCCGACCGGAGGCAAGCAGCAGATCTCTTCCACCGCCTTCTTCGTTCCTTTCTTCCATCGCTGCTTCCGTGCGTAGCACTGCCTCCCCCCAGGTGGAGGGCGGAGCAGAAGATGACGACGACGACGCTGAGCAGCGGCACGGCAGCGACAGCGGAGGGGCTGCGAATGCGGGCGGTGGTGCGGAGACGACGGACGTCGCCGCGACTCCCGTTGTCACGCCCACAGAGGAGACATTCGACGCGATCCCTCGCTTTCCGTGGGAGTACTTTCCCGCTGCGCAGGCGGAGGCGCTCGTACTGCGGCTGGACGCGGCGTACAAGGCCGGCTTGAAGGAGGCGTGGGAGGGGTGGAATGAAACCGGCCTCAGCGTCTTGAAGCCGCCGTACCCATCTGTAAGAAGCGGCCTTCCTCTCTCTTCTGGCGGACCGCGCTCGGGCACACGCGGTGGTGACATTTTAAGGTCTTTGATCGCCGCCGGTGCGGAGACCTCCCCGGCGACGGCCGTTCCTGCCGCAGTGCCTGAGTGGCAGATGCGTGAGCACGCGCTCTGGGATGGGCTAAGCCGGTGGGTCAGCGCGGTGCAGAAAGGGTGTGCGATGCCGACCTTCTCCCTCCTGCTGCCACCCAACCTCGACCTGCAACCGCCACCGTCGCAGTCGGCGATCTCGTTGACCAAGCGAAGACTGGGCACCGTGGGCCGCAGAAAAGGAATGGCTGCGCTGCGTCGCCTCTTCGGTGCGATGGACTCGCCGACAAACTTCTTTATCGTCGAGGAGCGGGTGTACGCACCGCAGCACAATTTCGATACGTACGGCGTCTGGGTACTGGAGGAAGCTGCGACGGAGAACGAGGCGAAAGACGACGTGAGTGGTGCTTCCGCCGCGCCGCCGAGGGCGTCTGACAACGGTGGTCACCTCAGCTGCACCGACGCCACGAGGGACGAGGTGCGCTGGGCGATTGCTCAACGTCCGGAAGTGCTACTCGCCGACATGCGTGACAATCACGACGAGAGGGTGGTCGGCATGTATCTGCAGCACGCCTGCGTGCTGCACCGCTCCCCCAACAGCCCTTGCACTCGTGGGAGGTCGACGGCGGGGGGCGAGATGGGCTTTACTGCTCTAGCTCAAGACGGCGTAGGCGACTCCGCGTTCTCTGCCTTGCGGCTGCTGCGCTTTGTCGGCAGTGGCGCTCATGTGGAGGGAGTGGACGAGAACACGTTGCACGGAGCGGGCGACGCCACCGCTTGTCCGTCTGATGCGCATACGAGCGCCATTGGCGCCTGCCGAGCGCCAGGTGGGATTATGGAGGAGATTTCGTTGCACTCGCCGCTGCGCCACGCCCACTGTGGCTGCCGCGTCTCGCCGTTTGCGTGCGATGAACTGCTGCTGGGGGCGGCGTGGCCGGCAGAGGCCATCGTGGACTACGTCCTCGTCCCCCCGCTGCGAGAGGCTGTTGAGGTGTACTACGCCAAACGAAGCGCGTCTGCTCAAACTCCATCGTGCGAGAGACGAAGCAGCAGCAGTGGTGCGATGCGCGACACGTTTTTCTGGTCTGCTCCTCCGTCTGCCACGGCGGTGGCTGCCATCATCAGCGACCTCCGTCGTGAGTTGCTGCGCGTCCTCACCGATGAGGTGGCGATGGAGCAGCGGGAATTCTACGGCGATGGGCTGCTCGACTACTGCGTGGCCGTCACGACCCTCTCCTACCGCCACGCCTCGTCCAACTTCGCCATCTGGCGCGGCGGCAACATCACCGAGTCCAGCACGAACAGCGAGCTCGTGATGCGGGCGCTGCCGACGATGCTGCGCGATTACTGGATGTCGCGCCGAGGCATCTGCAACGACAAGCGCCTGGCGGACTGTGTGGAGAGTCTCTTCGGTGCGCTGTCCATGGCACTGTGGGTGCTGCCCCTGCGCCGGCGACGTGCCTTCGGTGCAGAGCGCGGCGACGACAAGGACGCAGTGGACGCGGCGACGTTGGGTGGGGCCGTGGGCACGGACCAGGACGTGCCAGCGCCGGACGCTGACGTGCTCATCTACGTCGCATCCGCGCTGCTGCAGTTGCTGAGTGGATCCAGCAAAGACGGGTGAGACGGTGAAGACGAATACACGTTTCACGTGACTTATATATATATGTCACCGCCGACCGGATTCACGTTCCTTCCGCAAACACGACCGCGAAGAGAGGAGGAGTGCTTGCGTCATTTTGCCAGAACGAAAATGTTGTTTTCGGAGTTAGAAAGAAAAACTGTGTTTTTGCACCAAGTGCGGGAGAGGATGCCATGCCCACATACTGCGATGGATTCCAGCCCAGTTCCAACGCACGTGCGCGTGACACCACTGGGGGAAAAGGGAAAAGCAGCCGAAGAACGTTGAGGCACGGCAACGCGCATGATGCGTCCACGTCGAGAGATGAAAAGCTTCTTCTTTCTTTTTCCCTTTCTTCCGCCATCATCATCGACAACGTATTCGAAGCAGCACCTAACGCATCACGCAGATAAACGCACATACTACTTTGGTTTTTCTGTACCTGTTTTTTTCTGGGCGTTTCACGGAAGACGCATATTAATGTTGATGTGTTGGCCGAGAAAACACAAAGTGTTGCTAGATTGAACGTGCGTGACACGCCGGTGAGCTTTTAATAAAACTTGTTTTACTCTCGCATACAACGGATCGTACACGAGAAAACGTGTATCTTCCGTGCCGCGATTGTACGCAGCTATATATGACATTGACGTAAGGCCTCACACACCCAAGCACCCTCACCTATCACTAACCGCGCAACAAAACTTCTTGTATTTTTCCTGTGCTACACTCAGTAGAGGTGCCGCTCTTTCTCTCTTTTTCTTTTCTCGTCTCCCTATACTACGTAACAGCCATGACGACTATAGGTGGTGGCTCCGCGGTCGGGTCGAGTAGTGCCTTCGACCTTGACGAGATGATCAACTATGTTATCCAGTGTAAGCCCCTCAGCGAGCAGCAGGTGGCTCGTCTGTGCGAAAAGGCAAAGGAGGTACTGGAGAAGGAGAACAACGTACACGCCGTCCGCGCGCCTGTGACGGTTTGCGGCGATGTGCACGGCCAGTTCCACGATTTATTGGAGCTCTTCAAGATTGGCGGACTCCCGCCGGACACGAACTACCTGTTCATGGGTGACTACGTAGATCGCGGCTACTATAGCGTAGAGACGGTGACGCTGCTGCTGCTGTACAAGCTGCGCTATCCGCAGCGTGTGCACCTTCTGCGCGGCAACCACGAGTCACGTCAGATTACGCAGGTGTACGGCTTCTACGATGAGTGCATCCGAAAGTACGGCAGCGCCAACGTGTGGACCATCTTCACGGACCTCTTCGATTACCTTCCGCTGACGGCGCTGGTGGAAAACGACATCTTCTGTTTGCATGGTGGTCTTTCCCCTACCGTCGACACGTTCAATCACATTCGCAACCTAGATCGCGTGCAGGAGGTGCCACACGAGGGTCCAATGTGCGACTTGCTGTGGTCTGACCCGGATGATCGCGATGGCTGGGGCGTGAGTCCGCGAGGTGCGGGCTTCACCTTTGGCCAAGGCGTCACCGAGGGTTTTTGCCACAACAACAAGATCAAGACGATCGCTCGCGCACATCAGCTCGTGATGGACGGCTACAGTTGGACCCACCAAGACCAGCTGGTGACAATTTTCAGCGCTCCGAACTACTGCTACCGCTGCGGCAACCTGGCTGGTCTGCTGGAGTTAGATGAGCACATGAACAAGTGCTTCTTCCAGTTCGACCCCGCCCCGCGCCGCGGTGAGGCGCAGGTGTCGAAGAAGACACCCGACTACTTCCTCTAAAGAGAAGAAGAATAAAATCGACGACGATGGAGAGGAATACGAAGAGGAGAAACGGGACATTCGTTATCAGACGCAATAAAATTTGCGTCGGTATCGCTATTTTCTCTTCTGTTCGTTTTTCCCGTTGTGTCGCGATGGGCGATAGAAATGGACACACGCCCACGACTCCGTGCGCTCCCGAAGAGCGAGCTTGTGTCTCACATCAGCGCGGTTCTACTATCTGTGTTGAAGAGCGAAGCAGCGATGTTGCCAGGACAACATTGGAGCGACATCAACAGCAACGAAAACGTTCCCAAAGGAGGTGCGATTGACCTTTTTATCGCTGTCGGCTACGATGCAGAAGCATTGATTATTGATGTTCTCTTTGCACGCACTGAAACAAAAAGAAATGGCGTGATATGTGTTGTGTGTGTGTGCGCGTGGCAACTTGTGTTGTTTTGTTTCTGTTTCGATTATACGTGTCCAGGCCGTGACGGATCTTTATTTTCTTGTTGGTTGCCGCTTCTTCTTCTTTTCCCTTTCTTATTCGATTCAAATCAGAGATAGAAATTTTTATTGTTTTCAGGAAAAGAAGCAAACGGGCGCGACAAAGCACTGCCTGTCGGTGACCCCCTATTCTAAATCATATTGCGCGCTGGAGTAATTCAAGAAGGTTGGATTGGAGAGGAAGAACACACCACTCCCACCTTCAAAAAACAACAACAACAGCAACAACAAAGCAAAAAAGAAAAGGCGTGTCATTCTAATCTTGGAGAAGAATTCCGCAATCACTTCACTGACGAGAAGGTGCGTTCGAGTGTGGAGAAGAGTGGAAAGTTTCTCTGTTGGCAAGCGATCGATGCAGTTTTGTCCGCTGGCTTTCTTCGTGGGTTATTTCCCCTTGACAGCTTGTGAGGGGACGCGTGCTCCGCAGTTTTCTTGGGGTTCCCCAAACAAAGAAAAGAAGCAGCAAATTGCGTTCGTACTGCGTTTCTTCATCAGTTTTTCTCCACTTACTGACACACCGACTCGCCAAATTGAAGCAGGGAAAAAAGAAAACAGAAGGTGCGGCTGTGCGCTATATTTCCTTTTCCACTTCATGCAGTTCTTATTTCCCTTAAAAAAAAAGCATCTCTTTCTTTCCCTCTCTCTTCTAGCTCTCTTGCTATGTTACGGTACAGCAATGAAAAGATTTGCGTGCCCTGACTACGTTTGATCCTTACACACACACACACTCATTGCCGTGCAGCTAATACGAGCTCAATCACGAAGTTAAAAGGGCACATTTGCCGTACAGTCGTACGTCGTCTCTCTTCTTTCAGCCTAGTGTCCCTGTGCGCTAATCAATCCGTTTCGTTTCGTTTTGTATTTTGTAGTTCCTTCCCTTCCAAAAAAAAAAGAAGAAGAGAGGAAAAATATGATCATTCCAGTTCGCTGCTACTCGTGCGGGAAAGTCGTAGGAAACCTGTACGAGCAATATCAGATGTTGTTAGATCAGGACTACACCGAAGCCGAGGCGCTCGAGGCGCTGCACCTGGAGCGCTATTGCTGCCGTCGCATGATTCTCTCTCACATTGACCTCATCGATGACCTCGTTCCTTACAGCGTGCCTGTGACAGGCACAATGCAGATGATGGGATCTCTGCAGACTTCTACGCCGCTCCGTCGCTGAAAAGAGCAGCAGCAGCAGCAACACAGCTACACCGCGGACAACGAAGCGCGTCTGGGGGTGCGAGGCATATTAACAGAGGAAGGCGGCAACGACGCGTGACTTACTTCGTTCGAGCGGAGCGTTATGAAACAGCGCACACGGTGTTACCTTTCTTATCTTTTTTTCTTGAAACCTCTCTCCGGCTTACACGTGGGGGTTTCGTTAAACACTATTCTCGATTAACCTCCATAAATATATATCTTTAATATGCAAAGCGGAAGAAGATGAGCAACCGCAACAACGGTCTTCTCTGCGAGGGGAGCAAAGCCTTTATTGTGGCTGTGAGCACCAATGGGTGTGCTTGTTGTCCAGAGAGGGTCCAAAGGAAGCCTGGGGGAAAGGTGTGTGGCGGTACAAAGTGCCCTATCGCATATTTACCCTTACTTCTCTATCTTCAGAGATGTCAACAAATGTTGGTTTTTTTTTTTTGCTCGACAGTTTTCTTTTTGCTGTTCATCGCACTGCTGCGTCGAAGCGGACACGGCCGGTTTTCTCCGTTTCATAAGTTCCTTTGAAATGACGTAAAACAATGAAAGTAGCCTCATCAAATTGTGTCAACTTACGGTGCTCTGACATTGCCTACCAAACCGTAATAGCTGTCTCGGCTCGGAGGTGCGCCTTCTTCTTTGTAGAGTTCGTACGAAGAGTTTTGCTCGAGCCACAGCAGAAGGCAGCAACAACAGAAGAAACAGACAAAATGCGGTGCTGCCGGGAAGTCCGTGATAATCCGATCAACATCGCATCTTCGTGTATATGTGTGGGAGGAGGTGATGGGGAGTGGGAACGCAGCCGGTGCGTTCCTTCGCTTGCCTTCCTGGGGGTCCATATTTCGGCTTGATGTGCCTTCGTACCCTGCAGCGCACGCACCGCTTCTTGTTTCCTCCCTTCTTCTCCTCTCCTCTTTTCTTACACCACGGCAGAAACCGTCACTTTCACATATTTTCTTCTCCATGATTTGTAGATCTCAAACGTGTCTTCTCGAACAATTTCGGTGACCATACTTATCACGTATTCCGATTTCGAGCCGCACTTCAGCGTCTCCTCACCTGTTGCCGCCTATTGGGTTACCCACAGACAGACAGCCACACATACACACATACATACGTGGTCTTGTAAATATTCGGTCGACGCAGGTGGCACCGAATTTAGGCAAACATGGGCCCACGAAAGAACAACGCCGCTGCCGCCGGCAAGGATGACGGCTCTGCGATGGGGAAAATGCGAAAGATCAATCCAGCAGGGGCGAGCACGAGCACAACCGGTAACAGCACCAGCAACCGACACCTCAACACCAAAGCCGCTGTCGACGATATCGGCTACACGAACGAGGAGCGTGCCTTTTTAGAGTCCCAGCTGACGCTCTTCCAGTCCAGTAAGAACATGAATGAGGCCAACACCAGCAGCAACGCAGCCAGGACCGATTTTGCTGCGATGACGAAGGAACGATGGCTGACGGGCCTGCCGCTGCTTCTCTCCGCAACGGAGAAGCTGCTTCAAGCGGCAGCGGAGCAGTACCAAATAACGTGCAAGAATAGAGCCGCTGCTGCCGCTGCTGCTGCGGCGACGCAACGAGCGGCGGGTGGCGCCGGTCCGACTTCCTTGCCGCCGATCAACACGCATGAGAAGGAAGCCAGCTTTTCGGACGTTGGGAAACCTACGCCCGGTATCGGGAGCAACAATTTGTCGATCACCGACGGAGCGCTGCCGGCGATGAATGCGAGTTCAGCTGCACCGCGACCCACCCCTGCTGCCGGCACCGCGGCGCAGTTCACTGAGGAGAATGCGTACATTCGCTCTCAGGCGCAGCAGCTGCAGTGGTACCCCTTTACCTATCAACGTTGGCTGGAATTGTTGCTTGAGCCCGGGAAGTACCACACCGCGAAGGATGAAGGCCGGCTTCGGGGTGATGCCATTCAGGCGTCGCTGCGCCGGTGCATCTTAGTTACCTACCCCGCTGTTGAGGGTGGGGACTTCATCTAGGAAGGCAAGGGAAGGCGGAGTGATGGGGGCCACCGAAAGTGATGAATCAAAGAAGCGGAAAACACGCAAGGTTTCTCGCTTCTTCATTTGCTGTTGCATCCAACCTTCGGTGCAGCTGTGGCGCGCGAAGAATTTGAAGTTGCGAGAGTATCTTCACACTTGCGAGGTCGGCAATCTCGGCATTGACAGTCTTCTTCACTGCTTCATTTTCACTGTGCTTCAATCGAGATCTGCGAGTAGAGACACGTGGCGGTGAATGGTTGTCTGTTGTCTGCTTTTTCCCTACACCTTTGTTGGTCTTCCTATATATATATATATATATATATATATTCATAGGCGATGCTGAAAGGACTACGTATGCGCATCGACCCAAAGTGACGGCGACCTATGTATATGTCTCGCCCTTTTGTTGTTCTTCTATTGCGTCTTGTTGCAGTGTGGCGTTATACATATATTGCCAACATCTCTTTCCGGGGCCCTTGCGCGTTGGTCACCTGAATGCGCGCTTTCGTGCCTCGTGCACGCTATTGAAGATCGCAGCCATGACGGCAAAGTACTTTGTTTTATGCACGTGTATTATCAACAACGCCAACACTTTCTTCATTCCGTGTCTTTTGATCCCAACGACTTCCGCAAGTGTTGTTGGTGGAGGCGGGGGTGTAAAGCGGGGGAAAGAAACGGCACTTTGATGAATCTTGCAAAGGAAAATCGCTGCTGCTTGTCAACAGAACTGCACAGGCTGCGCAGCTGTCGTTTGAATGACAGTTTGCGACTACTCCTCGTCACTATTCGTTTGTTCGCTCCTACTTTGACAAGCAATATCAGCATCTATTCGTTTGCCAGCGCTTGTTGCAGACGGCTTTCACAACCTTACAATGGCCGTCGTCGTCACCACGTAGAGAAACGTAAAAGAAAAAAGGAACACACTGTTTCAGATACGAATACTAGTATGGATCCGCATGTATTTTGCGGTCCGGAGTTCATTCTCGAGGTACCAAGCCACAGCGTGAAGGATGTACTGCAGCGTGTAGAGAGCACCGTGGCCACAGCACCTGCAGACAGCGCATCGGTGGAGTCCAATGATAGCCACAGTAAGCCAAGCCCTAGTAGTGGGGCCTCACCAGCTCCAGCATGGACGGTTCAGCCGTCCCTGCTGCTGCGCATTCAAACTGAAATATACAGTTGCTGTACTGCCGATGTGCGTCGACAAATTCACGCACAGTTGGCGTTGAAAGCATGTGTGGCGAAGGATGTTCGGGCGGCCATGGCGATGGTGTCGCGTCGAATGGCTCACTTCAACCGCATTCAGCTTCCAGCGGACTACGCGGATGCTGGACACAGCACCGGCAGCGTGTCGCGCGCGCCCAGCACCGTTGCCTTCGTGGAGGTGAAGCCGACGAACGCGATGAGTGCCGAGGAGGTGTCGTCGATCGCGCAGTCCGTCCGTGCAGCCACCACCTCCACTTCTTCGGCCGCACCTTCTCCGGGTTCCGACGTCTCGCCGGTTTCTTCCTCGGCGTCCTCGTCCAATACACTGATCTACCTGTTGCTGTACATCACCGACTCGCGTGCGGCGGCGCAGCTGCACATGCTCTGTCTGCGCAACACCTATCTAGCCCTCCCAAGCAGCTGCCGTCTGCTGAACTACTTCGTCTTCGGTGGCCGTGCCGCTGCGATTGTGCCGCGCCAAATCCTGCAGAAGCGCGAGTTGTTGAAAACTCATTTCAACTTCGACGCGGAGTTGTGGGGCGTGCTGGCGGCCAAACTCACAAACGACCTCGTCGAGGAGGTGCGAGCCTGCGGAAGAACGCAAGATACGCAGCAGGGCAACGGCCGTCTTCTCACCGCGTTTGAGCGTCATGAACAGGATGTGGCGGCGGTGCTGCGCTACTGTGAACAGAAAGTTCACTACGCCGGCGTCTTCGACGATGACGAGGAGGCGAGCCCGTTTCTCATCGCGATGGGCCTCTGCTGGCGCCTGAGTCTGACGATGGACGACGTGTGCCGGCACTTTGCCCGCCACCCACGGCGCGTCATCCGTGCGCTGGCACTCTACCTCGCACGCTACGTTCTCGCCCCGGAGGACTACGTGTACTTCTTTCTGCCGTCGCTGACAGATGAGGTGATCATTGCGTGCACCGAGGACGCACAGGTCACTTACACCATGAAGGACCTGAGCCGTCAACTGCTGACGAAGAACGACATCGTCGACGCGTGGCTGCCGATGCTGGCCAAGTACTGGCAGGATCAGGTGGTGGCGCCATCCATGACCTTTATGGAGGCATGCTGGCAGTTACAGGGGCGCGGAGATGAAAGCCGCGACGCTGCAACAGCAGCAGACGCATCGTCGCCGACATCCTCCGCGGCGCTGTTTCGCGAGACGGACGGCTCCACGAAAGCCGATGAAGCCGACGGGTTTGCTGTGCGTGGCGCAGGGCGCGGCATCGCGGCCACCTTTGGCTTCCGCAGCATTGCGGAGATCGCCGAGCACGCTGCCCAGCACTCCCGCGTCCTCGTTCCGCAGAGCATGGCGACGATCCTGAAGCGGCGTCGCGGGATTGAGGAGGAGGTGTTTGGTGTGAGTGCCGGTGCCGGTGGCGGAGGTGGGGGCAATGACGCGGCGGTGGACGCGCTCGATGATCTCGACGACGACGACGATGACTTTTTAATTCACGTCGATGTGCGGGGCGACGACGAGGACGAGGACGGCGGTGATCGCCGTGTTGGCGCGCCGCCCTCGAGGCGGGCCCGGCCGGATCAAACAGGTGGCACTGCGTCGCCATCGGCTGCTGGTGGCCGCGGTGGTGCTTTGACGGACCCGCATCGTCGAATTATGCGCGAAGGGCTGAAGCTCACGCTGTCGCTGCTGGGACGGCGCAAGCTGTTCCGCGACAACGACGAGCACTACATCGAGTTTTAGCAGGTGCACGACTTGTGGACGGGAAAAGGAGGGCACTGTTTCCATTGCACAGGGGCGTGATCGTTTAACGGCTGGTGCAACTAATAATAAAAAGGAAAGCACACTTACCCGGAAAAGGCGCTTCGTCTTCCTTCTTTCTCATTACGTTTGTGTATCGGAGCTGCTGCAGAAAGTGCTAAAGAAAAAGACAAAGAGAGCGAATGCGTAAGCGAGAATAGTGCAGAACTCGCGACATTTCAACGAGAGCTGTTTGTGCTCCACCGTCGCCTCGCCGTCTCGTTCATTTCTTCGTCGGCCGACCTTGTGGACTCCTACGTCGTTCCTTTCTCTCCTTTGCCCCCTCCTCCTTCCTTCCTGTCTTACTCGTGCATTGGTTTCCTAATGCTGCAAGCGGATGCCCTGAAACGATTATTTAGCGCATTCAACCGCTTCTCAAAAAACAATAACAACAACAACAGCAAACTAACAAGCAAACGAATACAGTCTTGTCGTGCCACACCACCGTCTTCTCTATTTTTCCCCTTTATCTTCCCCCTTTGAGTGACCCTCACACGCAGATCTCTTTCTCTCTACTTATACACACTATCGTACGAGCAACCAGTGTTCCGGCTTGCCAACCCGACCCCAGGCAAAGAGCGCACCTCTTCCTCGCTGGGTGTGCACGTTTACGCACGTCAGCCCGGTCGTTTCTGGCGTTTTCTTTTTGGCGAGGAAAGGCATCCGTGCACCGCCTCGCAAGCTTCGACTCAGCTGTACGAAAGAGCTACGTTTTTGTTCTTCCTCGTTTAAAGCGAAAACTCCAGTAAATATATATTTATTTATATAGAGGAAGAGATGTCGTCCAGCGATTCTCTTCGGCAACTCCGCGAGGAGCAGCGGCGCCGCTTCGAGTCTGCCAAAAAGTCGGGGCATCTGCCGGGAATCAAGAGATGCGCCGCCTGCCACGAACCAACGTACAGTGCGGCGGTGTGCCCCGTCTCGGGCCACTATCACGACCTCGATAAAAAGAGACTGGTTGGCGGCAGCGTTGTGAACACGAATATCATCTCCTCCGCTACGCTCATGGCGGCCATTGACCAGACGCGCGTCAAGTGGGTGCCGAGCCGCACGCAGCTGGTGAAGGTGGACGCGCAGTCCATCAACATTTTCCAAAGCTTCTCGGCACAGATGGAGTGGCACCTGCAGCGCTACGGCATCTTGTACGGCACCTACGACAGCGCCGCGCAAACAGTCGAGGTGCACGCCGTCTACGAGCCGGAGCAGCACGGCAACGCGTACACCTTTGAGGCCATCCCCGACCCCTACGTCGATAAGGTGGATCACATGGCGAAGGAGCTGGGTTTGCGTCGGGTCGGTGTCGCGTGCACCCACAGCGTCCGAGACACGGACGAGGTGCTGCTGGACTTTAGAGAACTGCTGCTGTGCGCCAAGGAGCAGTCTCGCTTCGGCGACGAGTGCGTGCTACTGACGGTGGGACCGAGCGCGACGCCCTCGACGGCGGAGACGGAGAAGATGACGAGCGCCCCTGGGGAGTCGCCGCCCTCGACAGGGCTGGCGAGCGGCAGCGCCAGCAATGCGAACGAGCCCGCCTTTGTCGTCTCTTGTCAGGCGTGGCAGACCTCGCCGCAGTGTGTGCAGCTGTACCGCCTGGGCGTGCTGCAGGAGGCCCCGGCCGGAGAGGCGGCACTGCAGACGGTGGAGCAGTCCCGCAACGTGTACTCGACGATGCCGCTGGAGGTGGCGCAGACGGACACGGACCCGAATGGGCATCAGCGCTTCGTCACGAAGGCGCCCAGCACAGAGGTCGACACGCGCTGGTTCACGAGCTACATCGCCGTGCAGCAGTTTGAGTCGCCGGTCGTGCGTGGGGCGTTCATGCGGCTTTCCCGCCCTGGGATGCCGCCGCCGGCTCTGCAGAATCTGCGCAACTACCTGAACGATCCGAGGCGCAAGGGTGTGTCGTTTGCTGAGTCTGTCGCTGACTTCCACGTGTTGGTGTACTTGCTAACGCAGATCTTTACGTCGGAGGAGGACCTGCATGCGTTGTGCGCCGTGGCGAAATCAAAGCAGATGAGCGAGGTAGCGAGAAACTATGAAGCCATCTTGAAGGCAATGATGTCAGCGCAGTGATGTGTCGGAAAGCAGGGATTTATATTTGGTTTGACTTCCGTCGTGGTTTGTGCGGTTACTGGACTCCTTTGACTCTGCAAAGTTTCAAACGGGAGGGGCGTAAAGCGCACACCGTCAACATCGATGGGCAAACCTGTAGCAAGAATACACATTTATCTCTGCGGTTCCAATGCTTACCACTCGCCTGTCCCGTGTGATGCTCTCCGGTGGGTGAACGCAGCACGCGCCTGTTCTCGCCTCTTCTTATTATTTTACGACCCAACTACACATATGTGGAGGGAGGGGGGAACTAAATGAAACAATGTATCAAGAGCGTTAATTCGATGGTAGAGGAAACCGTTGAAAGACAGCGTCAAGCGTAAAATGGAAGGTATATGTATGACACACAGTTTGTGTTAACCGACTTAAAACTGTACCTTCTCTGTGATGGCGTTGCTTTTAGACGTGTCCATCACTCGCTGCAGCACCCGCGCATCCCAGATTCGATTGCGTCTTCCTCTTCCTCTTCCTCTTCGCATCCGTATCTCCTTTGAATGCTCTGTCTTGTCCCGTGACGATAATTTCAATTGTTCTTATGTTTTTACTGTTGTCGTTAGAAACGTGTGGAATCAACTGCAGCAACCGCAACGCCGCGGAAAGCGCCATCTTTAACGTGCACGCCGTTTTATGCGAAGCGTTGCAGCCGAATTGATATTCTTCTCCTTTCATCTTTTCCTAATTATTATCACTGCGCCACGAACTTCTGGAAAAGGCAGCAGCACCCACCGACCCACGTAGCGTACGTACACAGAAAACAGTGAGTGCATACGTGCGCTGGCGATGCTGTCCTTCCCCAACCCCCCCTCACCCCTTTCCAGGTGACACTGTTGCCCGAGCAATTGCAGTCGCCATCGTCGTCGTCAGGCGGTTCGTCCTCCTCCACCGCCGCCGCAACATCCACCCAACGCGCGCTGGAGGCCTCCCGCACGGAGAGCTGGACAGCTGCCGCGTCAATGCTCCACAGTGTTCTCGACCTCGCTAGCAACTACCGCAAGCCGCAGGTCAAATTTGCATCCTACTCCCCCGAGAAGGTGATGCGCAGCGTGCGCGGCATCGTCGATGACGACCGGTGCAAGGAACTGCTTGCGATGCTGCAGGAGGCCGTACGCGCCTACGCGGAGCGCTGTGTCGAGAGAATCGCGGAGCTGCGTCGTAATCAGTCCTTCTCCGCGGTGGCGGCCGCTTCTCCCACGTCGACACCGTCGCCACATAAAGCGATCACTTCAACGGGTAGCGCCGATGAGGACGAGGAGGCACAACAGGGAGAGGTGAAAGAGGACGCAGCGTCAGCACTGGATGCGGTGCGGACCCTCGCCATCTTCGTCACGTACTTCGAACGGCTGCAGCACGGCATCGCTGAGCTCGCCGCGGTGTGGGTCTACGCAAACCAGTGGTGCTCCCTGCAAGCAAGCCGTGAGATCCCCCGCTCCCTCACCACGGCGGGCAGCCAAGAGGCGAGCGATGTGTTTCGCAACGTGCCGGAGCTGTTCGAGGTCGCCTTAAAAGGTTACTGCGCAGTGTTGAAGGCGGAGTTGGAGGCCGATACGGCGACACTCGACACGACAACTTCAACCGCCACCGCGACGACGACGACGACGACAACAGCCACTGCCTTGGCGGTCTCCACGACGAGCGAGGTCGCCCAACTGAAGTCCTCCGCCACTGCCGCAGACGCGAGGATGGGCGTCTCGGAGCTAGAGATGCTCGCCTGCCCGCCGTCGTTAGAGCACCTGACCACTCCCCTCCGTCGCCGTCTTTTGTTTCTCTTTACGCAGCTGACACGCGAGTCGCAGCAGTACAACGCGCTTGTGGAGCCGGTGGTGGTGCGCCTGGTGCGAAGCCACTTCGAGAGTGTGGCGCACAAGTGGTGGGCCGAGGAGTTGAGCGCAAAGAAGTATTTCGAGCTGAGTGAGACGGCGTTGAAGCACGCGGACACGGTGTATCAACAGTTTCTCCACTCGGGCACCATACCCTTGGTGGAGGACGCCATCCAGGCGACGCTGATCGGCAGCGTCGGTGCCGAGGTGCTAAAGCGCGACTTTGCGCTGTTGATGGAGCAGGAGCAGTTCCACGCACTGCGATTGGCGTGGCGACTTCTTTCGTCCAGCGCACACGTGCGCAGCGCCCCGGCGGTCGTCACGCTGTTCCGCGAGTACCTTCTGGAGTGCGGGCAGGGGATTATGGAGGAGTTGGTGCCGAGTTCGGCGAAGATAACACCAGCTGGTGCACAGGTCGCCGCACGTGAACGGCCCTTCTTGGCGGTGCGTCATTTAATTGGGTTATTGGAGCAGGGCGGCCGCACCGTGGAGAAGTGCTTCCACGAATGTGAGAAGGAGTTCAAGGTGGCGCTGCATGAGGCCCTGCAAACCATCCTGGAAGCCTACCCGAACGCCTTCTCGGAGCAGCTGGCGGCCTATCAAGATGCGATTATGAAGGAGGTGGAGGTGGGACACGTGCCCGTGAGTCTGTCCGCCGCCGCGGCGGGACCGAAGACGCACGAGGTGGCGCGCGCTTCGCTCTCCCCGTCGCCGCTGCAACATCACCACCTGCACGACGAGGAGAACAGCGGGCCACATGCGGCTTCCACCGCCGCCACTGGTGGGGAGGCGGAAGAGGTAGAAGAGGAAGACCGGTCGCCTCTGCGCCGCCCGCGTGCTGAGGCGACTGCTCCGTCAAGCACCGCCACCACAACACCGGCACAGACCAGTGCGGCCGCCGCTGCCGCCGCCGCTGATGAGCGCCGGGATGAGGAAGCGGGTGCAGGAGCAGGCGCCATCGAGGAGAAAGATGCCGCTTTGGGTGCTGCGGCCTTGCGCCACGCGGCCCCGCTGCCCGCCGAGGCAAAAGAAGCCACACCCGTGCTGCGCCGCATCGCGTACATTTATTCCTACCACCCAAAGAAGGACCTCTTTGAGGCGGCCTACTGGCGCGACTTTGCTCGGCGCTGCCTGCACCCGCACCGCAAGGTGGACGTGGCGGCAGAGAACGCCTTCATCTTTTACCTGCGCGACATCTGCGGCCTGTCCTTTACCTCCAAATTTGAGGGCATGATGACGGATCTCGAGTCGTCCTCGCAGCTGACGGCGCAGTACAAGACGTGGTGCCAGGAGCAGACGCCGTCGTCTGCGGTGCTTGCCGATGAGGAGGAGGAAGGAAGGAGAGAGGACAGGGCTGCGGTTCGTACGGCGACGGAGAAGGTAGCGATGACCGCTGCAGCTGGCGGTGCAGCGGTGGAGACGCACCTGCTGATTCTCGCGCAGAGTTTCTGGCCCAAGTACGCCCCCCAGCCCCCACAGCTGTACGTCCCACCTCCCCTGCAGCGTGTTACGAAATCCGTAGAGAAGTTCTACACCGGCCTCTTCCCGAACCGTCACCTCACCTGGCAGCACCCACTCGCCCACGCCACACTGCGGACGCAGCTGACGCCTCAGAGCCCGGTGTTCAGTCTGACCGGGACGTACGCGCAGTGCATGGTGCTGATGCGGCTGGACGCGATGCTCGACGCGGGGGTCACCGCCGTGACGGTGAAAGCGCTGTGTGACGAGGCCGGGTTAGACTGCACGAGCACCGAGGTGCTGTGGTCCCTGCAGGGGCTGTGTCACCCGCGATTCCGTCTTGTTCTGTGCAGCGGCAAAACGACGGCATCATCGCCCGCGAGGGCAGCGAATGCGAAAGAGGAGTCAGAAAGGGAGGGCGCGGTGAGGGCTCCGGCTTCTTCTTCTTCGACGACGACAACAGTTCAAGGGCAACTGTCTCCAACCGATGTGGTGCGACTGAACCTTGACTTCTCCTCGAACACGACGAAGGTGCGCATTCCACTGCAGACCCGCGCCCGCACGACGGCGCCGGCCGGGATGGACGGCAGCGGCCGTGGTGCCCGCACGGTGGACAACGACGGTCATCTAGTGGAGGTCGCCGTCGTCAGCTGCCTCAAGGCGCGGCGTAGTGTGTCCCACGCTGACCTCGTTGCCGACGTGAATGCGCGTCTGCCCTTCGCGGTGTCTGTCCCGATGCTGAAAAAGACGATGGAGAAGATGATTGAGCGCGGCTTCATGGTGCGGGGGAAAGACAACACCTACCAATTCTCGGCGTGAGCAGCGGCATCCGCAACGCCAGGAAAGGGAGAAGAAAGATCAAGAGGGAGGGTGGGAGCGTGAAAGCGACAGGTTTTTGCGTGTGTGTATAACTGTGCGGCAGTGAGGGCATTTGCGGGGTTGGCGGCCGTGGAGGCAAATAAGGCAGCGGTGCGCCAGTGGTTCTCCTTGGTGTCGTGTGGGTAAACGGGGGAAAAGGCAAACGAACAGCTTTCTGTGCTGCAGTGGTGGACTACTCTTGGTTTGCTGCGCCTCTGGACAGTAGTGACTTCGATTGTTTAAACACATGTGAGATGTCGACCTCTTTGTTTTCTTTTCTAATGGTGGTTCTTTAAAAATTCAACTACATCAAAATGAAAAGAGAACAGTGTTGTCGTGGTGAGGTCCTCTGACCATCTTTTTGATTTTCACTGCTGCTGCTGTTACCCACCTTCATCCAGTGTATGCACCCCATTAAATAGGCGCTTTCGTGGGCTGTGTGAAGACGCCGCCGTCGTCTCTTTTTTTATTCTTTTCTTCTTTCCCACTCCTTCCTTTCCTTTCGTGGTGATATGGACGCTTTCTCCCCGCGCTTTTCTACCCCCCTTTTTTCAAAGCAAATCCTACAGCATCTTCTTTCGTATTTCTAAAAAAAAATAATAGGTTTATACACATCTCTGCCTCGCCGCAAGAATTGCTTTTGCACGACGATATACACACCCACACTTCCACCATTGTCTATACAAGCAAAGGTAAAATTCCTTTTCTCCTGTGTTTGCGCAGAGTTCTCTTCTCGAACAACGCGAAGGAGAAGGAGCAGAGGCGGGTATTCAAGAAGTACGCGTACGCGTTTCCACTCGAAGCTGATCAGCTTAAAAAGTCAAAGCACAGACAAACAGTAAGTCGTGCCACTTCTTCACGCACAATGTGGTCCATGTTTTCGCAGGACTTCACGGACTTCGCCAAGGTGTTCCAGTCCGAGTCGGCGGGCTTTGTGGATTACTTGGGTCACATGGCCGCCGACGTGGTCGGCCGCGGCGACGTCTACGCTGGCGATGAAGTGCTAAAAACGACGCAGAGCATGCCGCTGCCTATCGAGCTGCTGCAGCGCCTGCAGGAGGCGGAGGCCACCTACAGCCTGCCGATCCAACCAGAAGAAAAGGACGCCTTTGCGGTGTGGAGGACGGCCAACCCCCTCAGCAGCGTAAACGCGCAGCGTCGCCAGGCTGCGGAGGCGTCCGACGACCTGTCGAAGAGCGAAGGCGGCTCTCCTCCAGGCAAGGTAGGGATGAAGTCTCCGCCGCCAAGGCCGGCAGTCATGACACCCAACCGCCGTTCGTCAGAGTGGCCCGATGAGCCGAACGACGAGACACGGCAGCGGCTGTTGGACTACAACGACGTCGTGTTGCAGCGGTACATCGCGCTTGTCGGGGATGCCGTGAGTCCGCGTTCGAGCATTCCGGCCTCCCCAGCCACGCCAGACACGCGACGGCGACTGACCGACCCACCGTCCTCCACGAAATTGAACGACGACGACGATGGGGCGGCGGGTGGGAAGGCGGGCGAGGAAGGCAAGAGCAGGACGGCCGTGGGAGGGGGTGTTAAACCGCCGATAGCGCCGTTGTCCCCCTCTCCCTCGAGGGCAGCGACTGCGACGGGCCACGTCATTAGCGAGGACGACTTCTTTGATCGGTACTTCTTTCGCCTCACACAGTTGCGGGTCTCGGAGGCGCAGCGTCGTCGTGATCGGGCGGCGCTAGACTCGGCGGATGCCTCGCCCGTGGCGGCCTCCGCGCAGCGTGCGGTGACGACCGACAACTCTGTCCATTCCGCCACGCCGACCTCCCCGCAGTCCCCCAGCCCGTACACCAACGCCAACGACGCCAGCCGCCGGAGCAGCAGCGACGACTTTGATGCGGTGCCGCTCTTTGCGAAGCGCATGATGACAGCCGCGAGCGGCTTCGTGACGAACATCGACAACGCGCTCAACAACGTCGTGGCGGCGGAGACGTCGCAGTGCAGAGGTGCCGGTGTGAACTTCAACCGGGTGGACTCGGAGGACGAGAGCGCCAACGTGGACCCGAGCGAACTCCAGCACTTCCGTGGGACGAAGCAGAAAATTGCGGATCTTGAGTCGCTCGTGCAGGAGCTGCAGGAGACACTGCGCCACGAGCGTCGCCGTGTGCAGCAGCTGACGGCTGCGCTGGTGGCTCACAACGTTGAACTACCTGCGGAACTGCCTGCTTCGACAACGAGTACCCCAGCGAAGGGCGTCACGGCAACCGTGACACCGCTGCGACATGTCGACCCCACACCGGCGCCCGGTGCGCCTGCTGCGGCTGCGAAGGCCAAATCTGCGGAGACGTCGCGGCTTAGCGGTGGGGGTGCCTCTCCGGCAGCCTCCACTGCCGCAGCGGCTTCACGAGAGGAAGGTACCGCCGACGAGGCCGATGCTCATCATTCGCCAGCGGAAGCGCGGAAGGGGAACGGCGTTATATCTGTCGGTAGCGAGGAGGAAGACGACGACGAGGCGTGGGTGAGCGTGAGCCCGTCCGCCGAGCAGTCTGTACCGTAGCGATGCAGAGAGGCGAACTGCGCGCAGGTTTTCTAAACGAATGTTCGAAGAACGCAAAAGAGGTCTTTTGGGCTCTTGTTGTTGCTTCCCTATCTCGTGCCTTTTCTTTTTCATGTTTTCTTTAAAATGATCGATGCCCGTAAAAGTTTGCGGGCGCGCATCCTCTGCTTCGAAACCGGCTAGTGTGTCCCGCGTTCCACCGTCCCGCGTGCGATCGTTCTGCTTTCGGCTCTCTTTTTTCTGTACCTTACCCTCTCGCTCTCTCTATATATTTTTACTTTCTTTTTGAAACCAGCGACGCCGAATTCCGTCGTCTCCCCCCGCTTTTGGACGTTCGACTCACCTTTGTTGTTTTGGCGAGCTTCTTCCTTCTATTGTTTTGTTTTGTGTGTTTTGTTTGCGGAGACTCACTGGAGGGGGTGCCGCAGTTAGTACGTTTTTTTCTTTTCTTATTCCGTGTGCGTTGTTCTCTATCTCTCTTTTTCTTTTCATTGTTGATGCTTCACTGTATATGATGTTTAATGTTTGTTTGTTGTCTGCTTGCTTTTGACTGTTTGTGTCTTTCTCCTCTTTTTGGTGGTTCTCATCTGTTTTTCTCACGTCGTGTACCGATAACAGCAACCTGTTGCAAGCGTGGAGTTGTGGCAGCGATCACCTGCGCACGGAGCAGCGTCTGTGTAGCTCGCTACGTACAATAATCGATGGCTTCACAGCCTTGCCGGAAGCCGCCTTTGTCAACCCACGACATCGTCGCGACAACACAAACGAACAACAACAAAAAAAATAGTATGTGATGCTCCTGCTTTTGAACTGAGCTGCGCATCGTGCCTTCGGGGCTGTGCGTGCGAGAGCGGGCATCTGCCTTTTGATCAATGGATTTCATTTCAAAGGCAGGACGCAAACAACGAAACATATGAGGGGGCGCAGCTTTTGAGCTGTGGAACGTGATGAAATTCAACATCCCGCAGAGGGGGCGCTACTGCTACTCTTGTCGCGAATGCCGCGGCTTCGTCTCTATTGTTTTGTTGCGATTGTATGCGTGACAAGAGACGCACTAAAAGTCACGTAGACCGCCCCAGCTAACAAGTTGTCGATTCGTTTTTGTCTTCTCCCACTGCTCTGCACCTTTTGCATGAGAGAATACTGGTCTACTTATCTTTCTTCTTCATCTTTCCTTCATCTTTTCTCTGTTGGTGCTCTTCACCAGTGCTCTTTTCTGTACGTAAACGACTGCTTATCATTTGCTGCTGTGGTCAGCTCCCAAGCATTGCGACCGGGAGAGGAGAGACGCTGCACACACACACACACAGGCAGAACATCGATGTGCGCACCTTATTGCGTTTTCTCACCCTTTATGTTTCTTTGGGACTGAGGCGCAATCCAACGTGCTAACCTCCCTTCCCTGCTTTGTGGTATCGAAACAGTATCAACACAAGCTGGGGTTTGTCTACCTTGCTGTTGCATTTTCTCTCTTGCTGCTTATTCTAATCGTTGTGCTGACGAGTGCGTGTGCTTAGTTTTTTCTTTTTATTTTTGGAGAGCTCCTTCGCCTTCATTTCCCATCTCATTTGGCGTGCGGTAGTAGCTGGAGGTACCCCTTCGACGAAAGTGCCGCTGTGCCTGTGTGCGTGTGTTCATCGTACTCCGCTTTCCATCTGAGGGAGGGAGAACAACACGGAAGTGGAGACGGAGAGAGAGAGAGGGGGAGGGGCGCGGCTGCGAGCACAACACTGTCCTGCCTATATCTTTCGCTTCGTCCACCTTCGCTCGTGCGTCTTTGGCGCGATGCTGCTCAGCAAACAACCGGGTGACACCGGCATCTACGCCAGTGCCACCTCCACCCAAGTGCGACTCTACTACGTCCTTGACCGCGTCTTACCTTTTGTCGGGGACATAACGGCTGCGGCGGAGGCGGTGGGGGAGCTGGGCAGTGGCGGCGCAGCAGTACCCGGGTTTCACCTCGACGAGATCAGCGTTTCCCGCCGCATCGCTGCCGCGCCGGCGTGCGTGCCACGGGAGCATCTGCGCATGTTGTATCGCCTGACTGCCAACGGCACCGGGGCGAGCCGCCCGGGCGGGGCTTTTCGAGCGGACGATTATCCTCCTACCGCCTCCCCGCTTTACCCAACGTCCAGCGTCAGCAACACGCACCGTCATACTTCTTCTTCTTATATCCCTACCTCTGCCGCCGCCGCACTCTTCCATGAGCACCCGGAGCAGCGACTGCCTGATGAGGCGTCGTCAGTCCATCGCTGGGGGTCGCCCCTCATACCCTTCCACACGGTGCACTGCAGCAGCAGCGGCAGAACGACAGCCACCGTCCACGGCAACGGCGCCGACTCCGCCTTGGGAGGGAAGTACCACAAATCGACGCAAAAGTGGGCAGCGCCGCCGACGGAAGCGACGGCGAGTGCGCAGGACAGCGGGGTGACCACGGGCCACGCCTTTCCCGTCCCCATTAACCATGGCGCCTCTGCGACGGCCGGTGGAAACATTGATCCTGTCCCACGTAGTGGACGCTTCGCCAACTCCCCCCACGGCGTCCTTAGCACATCTGCTGCTGCCGCCGTCCCTACCACCCTCTCCCTGAGCTGCGCGACAGACTGCCTCCTGTTCTTTCTCGCAAGCAGCGAGGGCCACAGCTGGATTGGCCGCAGCGACGCCACCACCCTCTCGGCGCTGCGTGTGTCGACGTCACTACCGTTGCGCCGGCACGGCGGTACGGAGGCTGGGTTGAACGGAGGCAGCCGGTACACCGGTCTGAACGGTGCCGTCAACGCCGCATCCTCCTCCTCCCTGCGTCCGCCACGACCTTTCTCGAGCGCCTTTGGCGTGCACGGCAACACGTCGTTCCCCACGCACAGCCTCACCAGCAGCGAGCGCATGGCAGCCACCCCACCCAACACCGTCGTCGACAGTTCGGTGGTTCCCCACGCCGCGGCTCTCATCGACTCCGGCAGCGAAGAAGACGAAGTGGTGGCGGAGGAGAACGATGAGGACGACAGCGTCGACGACGGTGGTGCCGACGCAGCACGGGACACCACTGGCAGGTGTACACACCGTCGCGGCAGCTTCGCCGGTCCCACCGCACGAACCTCTTCGACGGATGGGCTGGAGGCTTTTCCTGGCGTCCCGCCGACGACGATGGTACTGCCCGCAGGTCGCACCTTCCCCCGGCACGACCGCACCATCACCGCCTCCGGGTGGGACCCGCGCAACTCCGCTATTTTGGCCCTAGGCCGACAGGGCGGCATCGTGCAGCTCCTCGATGTGGAGTATCTGACCGGCTCGGCGGCCAGCACGCGGTGCAGCTCCACCACCAGCTCTGCCGCGACCGAGGACACCGCTGAGCCTCGCAACTCGAATGTGAATGGAGCAGCACGTACCGTGACCAGTGGTGGCGGTGGTGGTGGTGCGCGTCTGATGCCGTACAGCGGAGCTGACCACCTCAGCTGCAGCGTCATTCAGCAGCGGGAGATGGTCGGACCCGTGACGGCGCTGGACTGGATGCCGCAGTCGCACCTGACTGTCGTGGCTGCTCGACGCCGCGACGGGCTGGGCTGCTACGCCGAGCTTTTAGACCTGCGGGCGTCGCATGACGGGGTAACCTACCTCGGTGCGCCGCCGGAGGTTTTCGGCGTGCCGGTTTGCGCACGCGGGACCGACAGCGCCGCCCCGTCGGTGCTGTGCAGCGCTGAGCACGTCGCCTGCCACCCGTCCCAGCGCTACGTCGCCACCGTCGGCACATCTCGCATGCGCGACATTGTGCAGCTCTGGGACGTCCGCATGGCCACCCAACCCGTGGCCTATCAAGTCTACGCTCGCGCCGGCTACACGTCGCTCTGCTGGTGTGCGGCGCAGACAAGTGTGGTGCTGGGCACGACGCGCGACGGCGGCCTGCGCGTGCACCGCTTCAAAGAACTCGCTTCCCACACGGCGACCACCACCAACAGCGGCTCAAGCGGTGCTCACTGGAACACCACCGGGAGTGGGGCGCCGACAGCCGCTGGAAGTGCGAGTCACCGCAGCCGGCGACGCCGTGGCACGAACAGTGGCCCGCAGCACACTTTCACCGCCAGCGCGGGGGAGCCGGAAGCGTTGCGTGAGCGCTGGGGTGTCGGCGCCGGTGGCCACCCACGCAACAACATCAACAGCTACAACAGCGGCACTGAGGCGGAGGCGGAGGACGACCTCCTCGACGACTCCGGCAGCTTCCGCTCCGGTGCTTCCGTCGAAGGGGCCGGCACGGCGCTTTCATCGACAACGGAGGGCAGCAACGCGCTGGTGCAGGTGAGCGTGAAGGCGCAATCGGCGCTGAAGTGCCGCCTGCCCTCCCGCGTCCCCGCCGCGTCGGTGGCGTGGGTGTGTAGGCCTTCCGCGGAGGGGCTCTCTGCCGTTGCGGGAGGGCAGGCAGGTGAGACAGGCGACGTGGCGAGCGCCTCCCCACTGCGCCGAAGCACCCACGGGAAAGGGAGTGCGTCGCGTCGTCGACACTCGGGCGTTGACAGTGAGGAAGACCGGGATGTGGCGGGTGCGGGCGGCGAGGGCGAGGGCAAGGCAGTGCGCATCAGCGGTGTCATGGAGCGCGGATGCCGTACCGACCTCACGCAGCTACTCCTGTTGAACTCCAAAAACGGCGAGCTCTACGCACAGGTCTTTAACCCACGCGGGAGTACCGTGACGATTATGAATCAGAACGTGGGACTGGTCGGCAGCGGCCCCAACGCCTTTCTTGTGCGATCCTCCATGGCGTACAAAACGGCGATGTACGCGTACGAGGAGGCGGTGATGCGACAGCTCGAGCGGCAAGCGGTGCTGGCGGCGGCGACGTCGGCAACGGCGGAGAGCGATGTGCCGTCGTTGTCTATTGGGCCCACGACAGCGAACAGCGGCAATGTCGTTGGCTCCGCAGGAGGCACGTCGCCGCTGCTTTCCGGCGGTGCCAACGGTGGTGGTGGCGATGTCGAGGCGAGCAGCGGCACTGCGGCAGCCGCAGCGCGACGACGGAAGGATCACCCCGTCGACTTGATGGGACTCGGACTGCTGGACGAGGAGGACGAAGACGAAGAGGATGAAGACGAGGACGTGCGAAGTGCCGATGGCGCAGGCAGCAGCCACCACCACCACAACACAACCACTGCCACAGATGACGTGAACACAAACGTGGCGGGTGGTCCGCGCGAGCGCCACGCGGAGCGACAGGCCGGTTGCGACGGCAATCTGAGCTACACCAGCCGGAATGGGGGAGACGCGGCCGCGGGGCAGAGCTATGGCGGGACAGCGGAGGTCACGGCCGGGGTCTTGCCCGGCGTGCCCGACCGTGCGACGGTGCAGGCGAAGTTGTTCACTGCGCCGGCCGTCCGTGCCTCGCAGACGCGGCGTGCGGGTCCGGCCCAGGCGGCAAAGACGATGCCGCATCGGAGAGAAGAGCCAAGCAACGGAATGTGCAATGGGGGACGGGGTGAAACGGGCGCTGCCGCGTCCGAAGACCCGCCAGCCCACAGCGCGTCAGCCCCTTTGACGGGCGCCCCGTCGCGCCCTTCGTCTCCCACCGCAGAGGTGCAAAAGCCGGAAGATGCGTCGGGACCGGCCAGAGCCGCGTCGTCTCAGGCAACCGTCCCGCAGGAGCTCAGCTACTGTCAGTTCCACCGCGTTGACCGAGCACGGCTCATCTGGCGCCGCCTGCGTGGTGGGTTTTCGTGTGACCCAATTCGCAACCTGCGCGTTCTGTTGAACGAAGGCATTGACCGCGAGGCCTATTCGGCGTTCTTGTATGGCTGCTGCGTGTCCATGCTGCTCTACCCATCCTCCACCGGCAAAGGCGATGCCTCAGAGAACCAGGATGCGACGGACACCCCTGCCACCGCAAATTTGAGATCTTCTTTTCCTTTCATTCTCGGCGCACAACGCGCTGTCCCTGGCATGCTTGAGCTGCTCGTCTCGGAGCGGCGACTGCGTGCGCAGCTGGGACTGCGAGACATGCGCTTGACCTCACGGTTCCGTCCCTGTCAGCACAACGCCACGGTGCTGGCAGAGGTGGCGACCTCAATGGAAACAGAGTCTGTGAGCTCGACGGAGGCGGCGGTCGCGGTCTCAGCATCTCCGCTATCTTCCACCGTACCCGCAGCGATGCGCAGAAACCCACTCAACTTTGCCGCACCGGGGCTGCCGGGGCTGCCGAGCGCGACGGACAGAGTTCATAAAGGTTTGTCAGGCTTCTTCCACAGGCCCTTCGAGGCTACCGCCGCCACTATGCAGAGCGGAGGAGGGCGACTGCCCACCCCGGGCTCGTTAGCAGTTGCTGCCCACGTGCACGTCGGTGGTGATGGTGCAGGCTCGGCTGGACGCGGCGCTGCAGCTGTGACATCAACGACGCCAATGCTGCCAGGCTGCACTAGGGTGAAGTCAACGACCACCGGTGGCAGCAGCATCGTCACGGAGCAGCAGCAGCCGACACACGCGGCCGCGATGGGCATGTTGCACCAGCTCATTTTGCAGTCCATGGGCTGGCTAGAGCCGCCTGTGCAATGCAGCGTCGACACGCACGACAAGAGCGCGAGTGGCGGGGTGGGTGATGGCGGGCCTGTGGGGGATACAGCGGCGTCGCACAGAGGCCTGGAGGAGGGAGGGGGGGAAGTGCGGCGCACAGCACCGCAACACGCGTCATCCAGGCATCCGCCGCGGCACCCTGCCGAAAAGTTTTTTGTTCAAGGTGATGGTCTTGGCCAGCAAAGTCTTCAGGAAGCGCTGGAGCGCCGCGTGACGGTGCTGGTCCTGCTCGACCGCCTAAAGGACGCCGCAGAGCTGCTGTCCCTGTACAGCACTCACAATCCACAGTACCCGAGTATTGCCCTTACGCTTTCCGCGGCACAAGGGCAGACCTCCGCGCTGCTCAACCTGACAGTCCCGGAGAGTCCCGGCGTGACATTTTGGGCTCATCTCTTGCTGACCTATCTGCAGCTGCTCATGGATCGGCAACGGCGCGCAGAGTCACAACCGATAAATCCCGCGGAGAGTCGATACGCAGACCAGCGGCAGACGGCGGACGCATCCGCCGCGGGCACTGCCGCGGAAGAGGCGGAGGAAGTCGTTCCAGTAAAAACGACGACGCCGACGACGACTCGTTTCGACAGGTTATTTACGGTGCCGGAGCAGAAAGCGGTGGTGCTGCGTCTCCTGCGAGGGCATCCGCGCCTGGCCACACCTGACAAAGTAGCCCTGGCTGCTGCACTTCTGCTGCCTCCTCATTACCACGGCGCGCACGTGAACAACCTGATCGAAGTGCTACAAGTCCTCGTGCACCAACAGTATCGCGCGTGTGCAGGGCTGGTTAGTGGGACAAGCACCGGCTGCGGCGCCGCACCGCCCTCCAACGCGCCGATACCGACTGACTCTTCACCTTCACCGCCCGTGGCACGGACGCAGCGGCATGTTGACGGGAAGCGTGCTCTGCCGTCCTCTGCGGTGGTCCCCGCATCTACGCCCCTTAACGTTTTTCACGCGCCGCGACCGCAAGGCCGCCCGATAGCCCAGGAAGGTCACCTCGCCGACGTCTTTGCAGCGGGGGCGGGGGGCGCGGTGGACCATTTCGCCCCCATCTGCGGCTGCTCGCTGCTGCTCGTGACGGCGGTGGAGGCGGCGAGCACCGACTGCCGTGCCTTGCAGCGGTACGTTGACGAGGCCGGCGACACGCAGACGACGCTGTGCTACATTGCGGTCTTTGGCAATATCACCTCCTCAACGTTTCGGCTATGGCGCGAGGCGTACCGGCGGCAACTGAATGAACTCGGCCTCTCCCTGTGGCGTAGTCAGTTGGACCTGCAGTGCGTCAAGCTGGCGCGGGCGCGCGAGGGAGCGGGGGGCGGTGCGTCGTGGGTGGGTGGGGTGGGCGGCAGCGGCGGGGCAGCAGGGATCGGCCCCGACGCCGAGGACGGCCGCAAAAGTGGCGGCGCGGGAGCCCGGATGCCGGGTGTGCGCGGCGGTGTGAGTGGCGTCGACAGTGCCGGCCCGCCCAGCGCCACAGGTGCCGCGGCGACGCTATTCCACTCCGGTATGCCGGTGCCGAAAAGAGTTCCCGCTGTCCTTGGGGCGCTGGGAGGAGACATGAGTGCGGCCCCAGCTTCTTCGGCAGCGGCGATGATGTCGACGCAGACTGCCATGATGATGAAGCGAACACTGAAAGGGTTTGCTCAGACCACGGCGACCTCGACGATCGAGCGGGACCGGTCGATGCGGGAGGCTGCTGCTGCCGTGGGCACCGAAAGCGCTGACGTCGCGAACGACCGTCATCGCAGCGTCGAACTGCGCTGCAACTGCGGACAGGCGATGCACGCCACCGCGCTCGGAAAAAGCTCCGTGTCTGCGATGGTGTCGACCAACTTTATTCGCAGGCAGCTAATCCCCTGCGGTAATCCCGAGTGCCGGCAGTGGCAGACGCCGATGTGCACCGTCTGCGGTGAACGCATGGAGCACCGCGCGACGGAGCTACCGCCCGAGCGCTTCTTCGCCTGGTGCAGCGTCTGCTTGCATGGCGGACACGCGTGCCACTTACGCGAGTGGTTCGGTAAGCACACAAAGTGCCCCGTCGAGAACTGTCCGTGCACGTGTTGCGACAACGCACTTAACACACACACGTCGGTTCCCTCTTGACACATCGCCAAAGCGAAAGGAGAGCCTAGACAACGACAGCGACCTGTAGCAAGCAGACTGTTTTGTTCAACAACGAAAAGCGACATTTTCGGATCGCGTCTCGACAACGTACTCAATCGTTCAGAAGATCCCGAACAACTACGCCTTGTGCGCCAGTCTAGGCTGTTCTCTCCACGGTGGCCTCTTTCGGCGCCTCACACGGAGGGCAGCTGGAGTGCAATGGCGCTCGCACACGGACATCGGCACGACTCACGGTAAGTGGATGGGCAGGCTGAGATGTCTCATTTTCAGCTCCTTTTTTGTCTGGTCAAAGTGGCTTCTTTTCCTATAATGTGCCAAATGCGTTTCAACGCTGTCGTGGCACGCGGTGCGCGGCGCGTTCGCGGTGAGTGCGAGCAGAAGCCCGCGCGTCCGCGTTCGCGTGGATCGACGGCGCGTGGCTGCGGCGAGCGAGTGCGCACCGGCGCGACGCTGGAGGCCGACTGGGCCGCGGCGACCGCTTGTGTGCTTGTGTGCTTGTGCGTGTGCTGTTGCATGTGCGCGCGGCCGCGACGGCTGCCTGGCGTGCACGGCACCGAGCGCGGCTGAACCCCGCTGTACGTGGTGTGTGTGCTGCCCTCGCCCGGTGCCCCCTTCTGCGCCGCTCTCCCCTCTCCGTCTCGCCCACCTCTCTCTCCTCCGCTGCCCCCTCTCTTTCCTTCTCTCCCCTCTCCGCCCTGCGCGTCCCACACCCGCGCACACGCGCACAGATAATTCTCCACCTCGCGCACTATTCTTCCCCCGTCTCCGCTCGCCTCACCCTCGTGCACCGCACACATCGCGTCTTTCTCTACTGAGCGACCGTCCCACACCGTTCCCACACCCCCTGACACCCCCTGACACCCTGGCATCGCGTGACCATGGCCCAGAGTCTTCGCCGCGTTGTGCTGGCGGCCATAATGGCTCTCGTGGTGCTGCTCTTCACGAGCGGCGCACACGTGAGCCGTGCCATCGTGGAGGAGATGGAGCTGCCGTTGGAGATGGAGATGCCCCGGGTGCCACGCGTTGAGGCCCTCGCGTCCTACACCTTCACCTATGCGCAGCAGACCAACACGCTGAAGATGCTGCAGGCGTTCGCTGATGCGATGCCTGAGCTGAAGGGCGTGTGGACTGGATCGTCGTTCTGCGACTGGGAGGGCGTGAGCTGCTTTGGGTCCTCCGTGTACCTTATGACGTCGTCGCTGACTTCCGGCGGCACGCTGCCCGACGTTCCCGCGGACGTGGACGGCTCGCAAGTGATGCTGGACACGATTTCGCTCCAAAACCAAAGGGCTGCTGTGAGCGGCACCCTGCCTGACAGCTGGTCGCGCCTGACGTACCTGACGGTGCTGGACTTTTCGTCGACGAGTGTGTCTGGGACGCTGCCCGCCTCGTGGTCTGCGCTAAAGAGGCTGCAGTTTCTGTCGCTTTTCTCCACGTCGGTGGGCGGCTCGCTGCCCCGTGAGTGGAGCGGCATGACGTCACTGACAACGTTTGCTGCGTACGGCACGCAGGTGAGCGGTGTGCTGCCCCCTGAGTGGTCTGTGCTGCCCGTCTTGACCATGGTTCAGCTGCACAATTGCAAACTTTCCGGAAGCCTCCCTGCCTCGTGGGCGGAGATGCCCAAACTGACGCGCTTGACGCTGATTGGCAACGGTTTCTGCGGGTGCGTTCCGGGGTCGTGGAGGACATCGAGGACGCTGCGTGTGGCGATCGAGCCGAAGTACTCTGCGAGCACCTGTGCGACTGCGCTGCCGTGCATTCCCACGACGACCACGACACCGGCGCCGACGACCACCACGACCACGACACCGGCGCCCACGACCACCACGTCCACAACCACGACCACCACGACGACGCGCCACCCAACTACCGCGCGTCCCTCTGATTTCGCCGCCTTTATGAAGTCGATGTGCAACAACACGAGGGGTACAGCGGATGCGCAGCTGAACACGTACAAGGCCGGCATCTGCTGCAGTGACTACAACATCACTGGCGACGCGTGGAAGTGCGGCGATGCCGTCTTCGACATGTGGAACGCCACGGTGAACTGCTCTGCGCTTCAGCTGAACAAAGAGTTCATTTGCTGTGCGAACGTGGATGAGTACGGCAACCGCGCCTGGGTGGGCTGGTCGTGCAACGGTGCGCACGGCGTTGTGTCCGCGCTGGTGGCGGTTGTCGCTGTCGTCGCCGTGGTGATGTTGTCGGCGATGTGAGACGAGGCAGCGGCGTGGGCCGTGCTGCGGTGAAGCCGGGCGGGAAGCGGACGCTGCTGCCTGAGGCGTTTGGCGCCGTGGGGCGGAGGGTGTGCGGGTGTGTGGCGCGGACGTCTGCACCCGAACTGAGGTGTGGGTGCTGCTGCCGAGGAGCGCGCTCGTGCATGGTGTGCGTCTCTTCTCCCCTCGGTCCCACTCGTGGTGAGCGCGCTTTGCCGCTCAATGCTGCTTCTTCCGCGCACACGCTGCGGATCGTCCTGCTCCTGTGCGCAAGCCAGTGCGAGCTGCGAAGCACGCCGTCTGGCTTCGTCCAGGCTGCCTCGTTTTCTATTCCTTCTCTCTTTTTCAAGAGCTGGCGGTTTTCCGTTTTACGGCTCCCCCCTTTGTTTTCACGGCGAGAGTTCTTCATCGTGGCTGCTGCTTCCACTTCGTTACGATGGGCGTTGAAGTTGATCTCGCTGGGAGGTTTATTGCCTCGTTTTTCTTACCTTTGTCGGTGCGGCACCCGTAGAGAGGCGGGGGTGAAATGCGTCGGTGGCGATGGCGACAGAGCTCTCTCGTGCGGCGAAGCACAGTGACAAATAACTTTTCTTTCTTTCTAGGGCTTTGCCTCCCTCCTTTCTTTTTAACTGCGCTTTGTTTTCCATTTTATTGTACTGCAAAACTGGTAAGTGAGCGGCGGAACCGGATGGCGGCAAAGAGCAGGGAGGTTTCTCTTCTGTGTCTGAGGCTTTTTTGAAACCTTGTTTTGTTTCTCATCGTGCTTTGGCCCCTGCGGTTCAGCTTCTCTGCTTATTGTATGCCTTTGCAGCTGTGCGCCTGCGCCGCTCTTTTCGTTTATTCTTTTTGTTTCCACTATTCATTGTCTCTTTTTCTCAGCTTCTTTATCCTTTTCATGCCTGCTACGTTCGTATATATATGCACACACGCACACACGCAGGCGTACGCGCATCTATTGAACTTGAGATGCACGCTTTCCGTACGCCGCACACAATCGTGCCTGCTGCCATCGCTGCTCTTGTTCTCCTCGGCTGCGAAAGGTGTGCGCTGGATGTGCTGCGGGAAAGGAACACGATCGCAAATTTCGATGTTCTTTCCCGTGAGTGGGTCAACGTGTATCTTTCGATGGAAGTTGTATGGACGGCGTCACCAATAGCTGAGTTCGCGGAGGCTGTATGCACTCATGTTTGATTTTGTGAGTAAAGGGCTTTTGTGAGGTTTGGGTTTTGCGGTTAGTAGCAGCAAGCGCTGTTTCCGGGGCACGTTTAAGGTGGGGACTGCGGAGTTCTGCATCCCGCAGACGCCGGCAATGCGGTAGCAAAGTCGCTGAGAAAGCGTACTTTGTGTGTTACTCTGCGATGCACTTGCGTTCCTCCACTCTTTCGTTTCGTCTTTTCCGTTTGCTCAAGCGTAAGTCTGTCTCCTTCTTCCTTGCCGCACCGCTTCCCTTCTCCGCGACTGTCCTTGTACGCCTGCTCTCGACGCGCACCGAAGCACCTTTTCTTGTTGCGATCTTTCTGACAGTACTCGCAGCTACAGGCACTTATCATTTCCTGTTTTGTCACCCCCTTTTTTTACGTGACTTGCGTTGCACGAGGCCGTCTTGAGGTGAGTGCATTGGCGCCTGTCGCAGGTGTGCTTCTTTGTGTGGTGGGGCGGTGCAAGTATGTGTAGAGTGAGTTTATTTGTTTTTCAAGGAAAGCGTTCCTGTGTCGGCTCGCTTTCGCTTACAGTTTAGCAGCTTCATGGTTTTCTCATTTGGCTTTGGGATTTCGCGTGTTCCTCTTTTTCCGCGCGCTATTTCTTTTCTCGCCACGGCATCGATTTCTTCCGTTCTCCTCCCCGGAACGGACGTGCTCACGATCTTCTTCTTACTATGGTAGTGCGTTGACCGACGCGCTTGTGCGAGCGCGCGGGGCTTCAGCGCAGACACCTATAAATGTCGTGGTCTTTTTCGAACGGTGAAACCCCTCTTTTAAAAATACTTCTACTTCTCTTATCCTTGGACTGTATCCCTTGTTGCTTGAGGATCACTGGAATGAAAGGTGACCTGGAAGGAATCTTAGTGAGACGCGAGCAAGAAATACGAGATGTTGAAGGCCAACACAATGCGGCCACGCAAGTCAAAGCGTGGGCGGTTGTGGCGATCAACATGGCCATGTAGTATCGTTGGACAGTGTGTGTTGGTGTCTGTTTGCCTGTTTTCTTCCACGTGAGCATTTCTCTCCTTTCTCACATTTGTCGCTGTGTGGATTTGAGATCTTTTGTTATAGCTGGGGCCATGTCGTGTACGTGTGTGTGGGATGGGGTGGCTGGGAGGTCCCGGTGACTCCTACGGAAGAATCTCTTTTATGAAGTGCTTTTGCTTTCGTTTCTTCTGTGGATTCTCGTAAACGCGCTGGCGAAGTTTCCCTGAGGTCCTCTTTTTATCATTATTTTCCTTTACCTCTAGGTAAGCACACAAGCATATTTCTATATTAACCCTCCTTTTTTTTGGCTCGGCAACCTTGCTGTTTGTGCGAAGGCTCGCGATGCCGAAGGTGAGGGAGTGCGGCGTGCAACAGCAACGCAAGACGTTTTCCTGTTCCTGCTTTTCCTTTGTTTTCCCTCCCCCCTCTCACTTCCGAATAGGAACACCTATGTCCCACCAACGTGCCGGTGGAGAGAGTTACCTATAGAAAAGGAACGTGAAAAAAAAAGAATGCACAAGAGATCAACGGTGGCGGAGCGCGCGCGCACACACAGGCTGTTCTCTTCCTCTTCTTTTTTGTTTTCATTCCCTTTTTTTTTTAAACTCCTTTGTTCTCTGTATCGTGGCTTGTCTCGGTGGACGGTTTAGACGAGCTTTTCACGACTCCCCTCCCCTCTCTCTCCATCTTAAATAAACTCCTAAAGATAAAGAAAGCCGAAGAAGTGACTGCCCTTCTCGTGTTCCCTTTAACAGGCACACGTAAGAGGCATCGATGCCAGCCTCTTCTGTCGCCTTCGTCGATGCCGTCTATGCAGAGGGCGCACTCCAGCAATATGCAAAAGCAACAGCAATTGTGGGCGTTTCTGCACGTCTTGCTTGACTTTTGCGTATTTGACGCCGCTGTCCGTCTTTTGGCGACATTGTGGGCCCACTGGCCACTCTTGCATCTCCACTGGCTACCGCAGCGCATAGGAGAGTCACCTTGTTGCCTTCCTTCGCGTCTGCTTTTGCTATGTTTTGCGCCATCCTTGCAACGTGTCCTCTTACGAGGTCGTTTCGCATCGATACGTTGATTGCTGCACCTGCTGCTGCTGCGGCGGCGGGCATTGGAAGGCGCAGGGTAACGACTCCTTTCCGTGTTCGTGGTACATAACTGCTTTGTATCGTTCTTTCTTTTTTCCAACTCTTCCTCTTCTCTTTTCTTCTTTCACCGTTCTTTCGCTCCTTATCTACTCCATCATCCGCGCAGGGGGACAACAAAAATCGTTCAAAGGATAGTTTTTTTCTTTGTCTTCTAGATGTGCTCTTGGAAGTTTATGTGCTGCCTCTTCCACACTCTCCTCGATTGATTTGGTCACACACAGCCGCGACATCAGAGAGCGCAAGACAATAACATCACGAGAACAAGAGGGGCTCGCCAAACAAGCGAACAGCAGTAATAATAATAATAATAATAATAATAAAAACGGACAAAGAGTAGCACGCACAGCAACGTACGTACCTCCACGTAGATACGGCCACATCATTGCGCTTGTGGTGCAGTTGAGAGAGGGAGAGAGAGAGGGAGTGAGGGAGGGGGAGAGCAGTAAAGCGTTATTGCTGCTGCCTATGAAAATTGCTGCCCCTTTTTTTTGTTTCCTCTCTTCGTCGCTATTGGTTGTTTTTTTTTCCCTTCTCTTTTCTTGTCTTCTCCGTTCAACCATTTCCGCCATTCATTCGCATACGACTCTGCGGCATGGTCTGTTGCTGAAGTTACTGCGTTTGTTTTTGGTTTTGTCGTTGTTGTTGTTGTGAAGAGCTTCGCACTTCCTTTTTGATACTTTAGCCTAGACAGTTGCAAGGTTAGCAGGAAAAGAAAACATAGGATATCACGTTTCAAAGCTTCGTCATGAAGTACTTCTCTTGTCAACCAGACTCTCACAACGCCTTTGGCTCTCTCACAAACGGTGTCCTGACGTACTTCACCGTGGACTGCGCACGTTATAAGCGGCTGTCACGGGCTAGCGGAAACACTGAAAGAGCGGAGTCGGGGGCGGCGGTCGCGGAAGGGCCACGCAGAACGACGGTGGCGCACACATCACGCAATGCTGCGCAAAGCCTTGCGTCGGGTGGTGTCGCCTCCCCGCCGACGTCCACAGCGCAAGCGAGCGCAAATGCCGGCTTCGATGGCAGCGAAGCGTACCAGGAGCCGCATTTCTGCACCGACACGCGGATGCACATTCAACGCACGCTGACGCTGCCCGGCGCCTTTCAATCCACTCAATGCTGCTTCAGCATGGCAAACCGAACTGTTTTCGGCACTGATATGGCCTTCATCGGCGCGGCGAACGGCCTCCTTGCGCTAGTGGTACTGCATGAAGACTTGCTACTGTACGTGCGCGGCAAAGACCCGCAGAGCCTGCGAGATAGGTGGCAACGGGGACAGAGAGGCGAAGCCGCTCCAGCAGCGACGGCAACCTCGTCGTATTTCCCCTCCTCCGCCGCCGCGTCGCTGTCCGGCGCGACGGCCAGCAGCACCACTGCCGCCACTACGCATCTCTTCACTGGCGCCGCGGCTGCCCCGCCGTCTCCGATGTCTTCCCTGGGCCCGGCCTGTGCCAGCAGCGGCGCGTCGGTCGGGGCCGCATCGCTTTCTCCTGCATTTTCGTCGACGACGGCGTCACCGTCGTTGCCGCCCAACGCCGGCGTGCCATCCACCATAACGTGGATGCGGGACAAGCCTCTCGTGCTGGTGGGCTACTCAAACGGCCAGGTGGAGTGGTACCGCGTGTCCCTCTCCGTCGCACGCAGGCAGGCGTTGATGGACCCGTCAAAGGAGCTGCCCTTTGGCCCCTCCATGGCCTCTGGCGCATTTGCTTACCAGGCCCTCAACCGCGACGCCCACACAAGTCGTGTGGTGCAGGTGGTCGAGGGCGGCCACGGAGACGGCCTGCGGACAGAGATGGTGGCGCACTGCCACCTGCCCGACGCCGGGGCTCTCCTCACCAGCGACTACTTCCCCGCAAACGGCACCGTGGCCGTCGGTGGTGAGCGGGGCGGGCTATACCTCTTTCACCCCGACCAACTCGCGGCGCCACTGTGTCAGCTGCACCTCCGCACCCCAACCGCAGGCTTCTTGTACTGTCACCCTTTCCTCCCCATCGTTGGGGTGGTCTCCTCCGTGGTGTGGGCGGACGCGACAGGGGCGGCGCGACGGCGACGCGCAACGCAACCGCAGCCGCCAGCCCTGGCCAGCCCCACTCGCGTCTCCTCACCTGCCTCCTCTACGAAAGAAGAGCGGACGGATAGGCAGGGGGGAAAGGACGGTCTAGAACGTTGGCGCAGCAGCCCCCTCCGTCGTGGTGACCGGCGTACCGGACAAGAGAACGCGCTAATGCCTCCCGCAGCCGCTGCAGAGGCGGTGAAAACGGAGCGTCACGTTGGCTGGTACGACGCAGGCGTGGACGGTGCTGCAACGTTGGGAAGGGTGTCGAGGGCCTCTGAGGCGCCGACTGGCTTTTTTCGTCCCTCCTCCTTTGTTGACGATGAGGTGGTGCGCTCTGGCTGCGTCTTCACTCTGGTGGAGTACACAAAGAAAGTCCCGCCCCGGCAGCTGGCGCGGTCGTGGGCCGGCGATCAGCCCCTCTCGACCACCCATCGCCTCTCCCAGGTCCTTCAGCACTGGATGGAGGCCGCCACCACCCGCGACGGCGCGTCCTACACCTTCTCGTGGAAGTTTAGCTTCGATTTGGAGGTGGTGGTCAGCAACATAGAAGAGGGAGCGCTGCGGGTGGTGCGCATCAGCCGTGCAACGACTTCTGCCGATTCCACCACGCCCTCGCAGAGCCATCGCGGACGGGCAGACGGCGGGCCTGCGACAGACAGCATCGAGGGCAGCGTCGTCATCGCCGGTGCCGAGAACGAGAACGGCACTGACGCCTCCTACACGACCACGTCGACCGCAGACACGGCCACCGGCAGCAACGGCCCTCATCCGGACGCGTACCGTGTCACGCAGGAGTACAACGTTCGACTTCCCCTCCACTCGCTGGTGAACGTCGAGTACATCTCGGCCGCCACCTCCGCGCTCAGTGTATGGGACACCGCTGCGATGGGTGACAGCGGCAACGCTGAGGGAAGCGAGCAGCAGCGCGGGTCGATGACAGCGTTTCAGCGCGAGGCCGAGCGGCACCGCCGTCACTCCGCGCTGCTCGCCGCAGCCGCACAGGCGGTCGCCGACCCCCGCTCGCGGCTCGGCTCCCCGGTGGGCGCTGCGGGGCAGTTGTGCCGCCCCGCTGATGCCTTTTGGGCTGGCCTCGCGGTGGTCTCTCTGGCGCACCAGCGACGACACCTGACGGCGACGGCGGAAGAGGAAGAGAGGAGGAGATATCGAATCGTTGGCGCAGGGGGACGTATACGGGGGGCGTTTGACGGCGCTGCTGGGCGCTGTGGAGGCGACGGTCGACTGCAGGTGGGCGGCGGGTCTAGTGGTGTGCGCAACGGGGTTGGAGAGGTGGGCGGCGGGCTGCAGCTGAAGGAAAATGCACTGGCCGTGGCGATGCTGCAGCCGCTACGCGGCGAGTACGGCGGTGTGGGCAGGGGACGGCGACACCGTAACCGGCACGGCGCGGACGCGAGCAGCAGCAGCTTCCACACCGGTACGGACGCAGCCTCCTCCAGTAGGCTGCAGTCCTCCTCGTCCACGTCGACGCCGCAGCGCCGTCACCGCCATGATCGCGACCCGCTGGCCCCCGCCATCACTGTCCCGAGCTACGCCACACGGACCACGCGGAACGAGATAGCCAACGCGGTGCTGATTGCGGCGGATCACCGCGTCGAGTTGCACGACCGACTGCGCATTGGGGCTGGCAACGTGTCCTGTGTGGTGGGTATGAACGCAGCAGGCGAGGTCGGCTCTGTCCCGATCGAGGTGCGCGCCGTCGCCACGTGGCATGAAGAGGGCAGCATCTTTGTCGGTCTCGGGCCGACTACCTGCGCAGCGGACCTCGTGTCAATCCAGGGGATCGAGCGGCTGATGCGACTGCGCCACGCCGCCGGCTTTGGCATTGCCGCGGTGGCCAACTTGGCGGCGGCGAAGAAGGTGGGTGGGTACGGGAGTGAGGACGTGGTGCTGCTCTTCACCTACGTGGCGACGCTCGAGCGGGACGGCATCGCCGCCTCGACCGGCTCCGTGCTTTCGTTGATGGAACTGCTTCGCGTGTCGTCGACGCGCAGCCGGGGCGGCCCTGCTGTTCTCCTCCAGTCCCCGCCACGACTGGACCCGCGACGGCGAGCCGCAATGCACGACTGCAGCTTTCACGATGATCCGCGCCGTTTGTTGGCGCTGCAGGTGCTGGGCTGGCTGCCCCCGTCTGTCGCAGAGGAATGGAAGGTGTCGGCCGCAGCGACCCATGCTCCGGAGGTGCCGGAGTGGCTGCAGCTACCCTTCGAGGCGGCTCCGGTGCTGAGCGAGACGCACACGAACACCGACGTTGAGCGCGCAGCGGCGATCGAGGCGAGCCACTCGCGGTACGGCAAAGCGGCAGATCTGCTGCTGCGGTTTGCGCACCGGTCACCGAATTATCGCGCCGTGGCGACGCTGCTGCAGCGCCCCGCAGAGGCGCTGGCGATGGTGCGTGACAGCGACGAGCGCGTCTGTGCGGCTTTCCGCGCGTCTTTGACACCGTGGCTGCTCGTCGTGTTTCACTGCTTGTGTAGCGCTGCGGGCAATGCGCAACGTCCACCAGGCGCTGCTTCGACGAGTCGAAGGGCGATCAAGGGAACTCCTTCGTCCCCTCCATCGACGGCGCTTCCGCGGGAGCTGTACGAGCACCCCGCCTTTCTCCTGTGGGACCGCGTGGCGTTGGCCATCGTGATGGAGGACGGCGCCAGCGGCGGGGCCCTTGCCCACGTCCTGCGAGATGTCCTTCTGCCACAATGCAACCCCGTGCAGGCCCTCCTGCTGCATCACGGCGTGCACCGCCGTACGTGTCCGGCGATGCAGGAGATGGTGGACTGCACGGGCGACTTCCAACTTGGCGCGTGTCTATTTGCGCGTGTTGGCGTGCTGACGACTGCGGCCGCGCTGGCCTTTCCATTTTTGTTGGATGGCGTAGTGCAGAGTGCAGCCGCGGCGCCGACGACGGCGGCGGGGGACTCGGGTGCGGATGCCTTAGCGATGATTGGTTCTCCGCGTATGCCGGGTGGTAGTGGTGGTGGTGGTCACGACGTGTCGGTGCCGGACCACCCATTCCGTGAGGCGTCCCAGGGCTGGTGGGGCGATGCAGACGACGTGGCGGGGGCGGAGGGGGAAGAGGAGGGGGACGCGGACGGCCTGCAAGAACGCAGAAACACTACTGCCCTTCCTCATGGCAGCCGCATCAGCTCCTCCCCGTACGCGTACCTGTACGACGGCACTAGTCCGCAGAGCAGCCGACGTGCGAGCCCACCTCTCACGTCTGCCAGCGCACCACGTGGTGCATTGGATGGCGGCGTGTCGCACACGGCCTGCCTGGTGCGCAACAGCGCCCTCCCCCCGCCACCGCCGCCGCAGAATTTGTTACTGTTGCCGGCGAGTGACGCGAGCAGTCCCACGTACGCCTCCAGCCCCCACGCGAGTCCGCCGCCGCCGCCGCCGAAGCAACGAAAACGAGGCGACGGGGGCGGCGTTGATGCTCGTAGCCGCCACCGCGACCCCGCCGGCGCCAGCTCGAGCAACACGGAGTTGACGAAGGCGGTAAAAGCGAATGGCTTGGCCGGGCTCTACCGCGGGGCCCGTGGTCGCGTTGAGACGGACACCGAAGCGGACGACGCTGACATCGACTCCGACGCGTGTGGCGACGAAGAGGGCGAGCTGACGGATGAGCCGTGGGTGTGGTGGGCTGCCGCCTATCGCTCTTTCCTGGATGACGAGCAGGCATTTGTGCGCCGTACCACCTTCGACGTGGAGTGCCAGCAGCTGCGCATTCAAGCCGCTGTCCGTCTAGCCGCACTGTTACCAAAAGAGGGGTCTTTGGGTGGAGGTGCTGGCGGTCGCGGAGGCAGTGGTGTGGCGTCCAGGATCCCCAGTTCGCCCCCTCACCGCTCTTCTTCGCTGGGGGAGTTGGATGAGACAGGGTATCGCTTACTCCTTTCCTCTGACGGGGGTCAGTTGTCGCTCTCTAGGACGCGTCGCACCGGCGGCCGACTAACACAGCCGAACTCTTCTCTCGGCCAGGCGCCGCTACCCTTCTCGCTATCTTCCCTGTGCAACTCGTCGGTAGCAGGGGTTGCAGCACGCGGCTACGGTCATCTTGCCGGCTTTTCTCAAGCTGAACTTGTCGTTGGTGCACACGCCGCCACAGACAGCGTGGCTTCTACTGACGGCACCACTGGGCAGGACTGCGTGTGTGGGGAACGGCACGAGGGCACCCAGCTCATTCGCTCCTTGATGAACCTGTGTAACACGACAACAACACGCTGCTCCGTCTGCCTCGAGCCCGTGCGGCTCGGCTCCTGTGATGTCAGCTCGGCCTTTGCGTGGTGCACGTCGTGTCGACACGGCGGGCACGCGCACCACCTGCAAGAGTGGTTTCGCACACACCGTCGGTGCCCCGTAGACGGCTGCGACTGCCACTGCGATGAGGACTCGAGCTTGTTTTGAGTCCTGTGTCCGTGCGTGAATGGGAGAGTGTGGTGCGTATACGAATATCAACGCGATTTGGTACTTACCTTTTTGAAGTTCCCTTTCCGCCCTTTACTGCAGCGAGGTAAAAGCAAGCTATCGTGTATTCGCTTCAAACCCTTATTGAGAAAAAAGGGAAAAAGGCTCTTTATGTGTGTGTGTGTGTGTGTGTGATTGAGGCGGGGACGGCGTTGAAAGGTGATTGCGCCTCACTGTTTCACGGGCGTCTCTGTGGTAGACAAAAGAACACGAGTAACACCAGGAAAGCGATGTCGCTCATCATCTAAAGAGGGCAGCTAAATCGTTTGCTTAACGAGAGAGAAGGAGAAGGAGAAGGAGAAGACGGGTGCCTGCTCGATGATGTCTGATACACAGCTGCTTTGTTTTTTTCCTCTCTTCCTTTCTTGGATTGTATTGTGCGCTGCCGACTTAGCGGTTGTGCTACAGGAACCAACACACGCACGAATCATACGATCACCAAGAATCCAAAAACAAAAACCACGCAAACCGCTTCATCGCATGCGGTGTGGTAGACATCGCCTCCCCACCCTCGCCCCTCTCTTCTGCTCCTCCACGCTCAGCACTGTTGCTCGCGGGACACGCCATCTGCCTTCTCTGACGTCGTTGCCGAGCAGCAGCGACGATGCCCTCGGCCCCCCCAACTCCGCCGTCGCACACCCACACGGTCCCACTGACCGACTTGGGGTCGCCTCGTCTTGTCATGCGGCAGCCACGGACGGTGCGCTTCGCCGGCCGCTGCGGAGTGCAACGTTGCCGGAGGTGCGACTGGCGCCCGCCGCCGCCGCCTTGCTTGAGGGACGCTCGCGTGATAGCGTAGTGCGGCAGGACATGTGTGCGTCCGACTTGTTGTATTTTATGAACGCCGAGGTGCACGCAGCGCAGCAGCGAACACGTGCTCCAAGGGGTGCCGATGAAGATGAAGCTTCATCCGATAGGGCAGACGCCGTTGAAAGTCGTCGAACAAAACTGTCGACGTCTGAAGCTGTTGATGCTGCTGCCGCCTTTTTGGACTCTCGGGAGCAGCAGCTTGCCGACTTTATGGTGGGCCGCCTTCCCCAGGAGCACGTGAAAAATGCAAGACGGCGGAGTGGGGGCTCTGCAGTGCGGGATTCTCATAGCGTACACAACGTTACTACCTCCTCTCTCTATCGCCAACAGCAAAAACTGTTTGCACTGCGCCGCCGCCTCGCGTATATGCTGGCCGATGACTACACCGAACTGCGCCATACGCCCTCTGAGAGGAACAACGAAGGAGCCGAGAGACCCCATTCTTCACTTAGTGCAGTGGGGCGTCGAGCTGCATTGGCCTTGTCGCTGGCACAGGACATCCTCCACACCTCAGAGGCCTATCACCGCGAACTGCAGAGCGCAGGTGATGGAGGAGGCGGGGGAAAGGGACGGGGCGACTCGACGGAGGAGCCACATGCAGGACGGCGGGTAAGCTGGGAAGAGGGCAGCGGTGCGGAGGAAGAAGCGCTTGCTGTCGCCACGTGTTCCAGTTGTAGCGACTGTCGTCACCTTTACCACCCCGAACGGTGCGCGTTTGTCTACCGCAGTCTCGCCCAGCCGGTGGAGCTGACGGGGGGCGAAATGGATGCGCTGCTTGCGTGGTGCGGCGAGCACGTGTGCGCCTACGCGGGCGCCGTGCGTGAGGTTGTTCAACAAGACGGCCTCTGTGGTGGCTGCGAAAGCGGTGCTTTGAGCAGCGATGCGAACCGTGCTCCGAATGGCGATGTCAACTTGGGGACACCAAGACACGGGCAGCGTACAGACGGGACCTGTCCGCCACCGACACTGCAGATGGCCGGCCGGCAAACAGCTGCTCGCGTTATTAGCAAAGGCGAGGCGACTACGAAGTGGGCTGATTTGAAGATCAACGCGCCTTCGAGCGGCAGGTGCAGTCACGCAGGGCCACTTTCGCCGGAGGTGTGCGAGAGCGTGATCGCGGCGGTCACCGCCTTGCTGGAGCTCGCCGGAGTGTTTGCACAGATGGTGGCGAAACTCGTGCTGTCAAGCAACACCGGCGTTGTCGAAGCTTCACACGATTTACCGTTTTACAGCGAGACTAGGGAGGAAGGTCAGCAATGTGAGTCATGTGATCTGGAGACGCTGCGTCGCGGCCAGATTGTGCGCCACGTCGTCGACGCTGTGTGCGACGCACTCCATCTTCTTCGCCGGTCCCCTGTACTGGGCGACTACGTGTGCCATGAAAAGAATGCGGCGCCTGACTCTGTTGTATCCAATCTTAAAAAGCGGCACGCAGCGACGAGCACCTCAGCAGCTACTTCCTCCACAACTTTCCGCGCGTCCGATCCGTCGACGGCACGCGTGGGGGCGAGCTTTCATCACTTGTGCTTTACGGATGCTTTTATGAGGCATGTGCTGTGCTGCATGTGCGAGTCGTGGCCGCAGGCGCTGCAGCTAACGAGTCAGATGCATGACTGGAATGTGGCGTTGCAGGAAGCACTGGAGTTGCCCTTCACTTCCACACCGATCGGAGAAGGCACAGCGTCGGCGAAAGCAAGCAACGACGCCAAAAGGGGAACGGAGGCTGCTACCCCGTTTCACAACGCCGACGCAACGGGGGAGCCTTTGTGCACGCTGCCTTTTGAAACACTTCTCACGCTCTTGTACATCCTTGCCCAGCATGGACGTCTGGCCGAAGTGTTCGACTTGTGCCAGCGCTGCCTGGCGATGTCCGCGGCGCATCTCCTGACTCCGTCTCCTAGAAAAGTCAACGCAACGAGCCGATTCTCTACCGCCTGCGACGTCACTGCTCTCCCGGTACCCGCGCCCCCGCTGCGGTTCATTGTGCATCTCGCCGCGGCGAATGCAGATCCTGGCACGGCGGCGCGTATTTTCTCCTCTATCGAGACCACCACCACCACTACAAGTCCTGGCGACGCCTCGACCTTCGAAGGTCCCGCCGCATGCTTCACCCAAGCGACTTGTTTGGAAGAAGTCGTGTGTGCAGGAGCGATGCCGCAGCGAGTGTTGAGTGTCACCGAGTACGCCATGCTGCTGCGTCGCATCATCGGCGAACGCCTACCGCAACACCGCAGTAGCACCAATGGCGGCAACGACAGCTGTTACGGCACTGCAGAAAAGGATGCGAAGAGGTCGAAGACACACCGCAGCGGCAGTGTCGGTTGGTGGCTCTCGCCTTCTCAGGTATGGCGGTTTGGTGCCAGCTGCCCCCACCGCGTACGCACCACGCTGTGTCTCATGGGCTTCCAGGTGAGCGCGCGCCATGGCTTTGCGGCAACGCTCAGCATGGAAGACTTGTACGTGGTGCTGAGTATTAGCCGCCAGCTGATCATGCGACACAAAAGAGAAGCGGCGGAGCTGCTGGATGTACTTGGAAAGGCAGAGGAAAACAACACTGCGGCACTGGAGTGGAATACCGGCGAAGGCGCGACTGGCGCGGGCGCTTTCATCATCGCCGTTTCGGCGCAGCGGCGACGCGAGCAGCGCTGGACCAGCTGGGGTGTAGAGGAGTGCATGCCCTCTTTCCACGATGCGGTTCCGCAGCAGCCTCAGCTAAGGCAGCCTTCTTCCGTGCCGAAACAAGGTGAGCCAATGTCCGCATCCTCTTCTTCATCTTTCAGTAATACTGCCGTCGAGGAGAAGACGCGATGGCGGTTGCTCCTCCTCGCACGCCGAGTGGCAGCGCCGTACAGCACACGTTACATGGAGTGCTTGTGCGCTGCCTTTGCCGCTGCCCAACGAGGCACGCTGCCTTTGTCAAGCAGTCATCGTACCTCGCAAGAGCGTTCAACTTCATTTTCTACCGCCTCTGCTGCCTCTGCTGACTCCGCCACCACCGGCAGCGCCGTCTTGCTTTCCCTTGTCTCGAAGGAAATGCTCCACCTCCTGCAGATCCTACGGTACACTCGACAGGTTGGCAGTTATTGGGAGACCGCGCTGCGCACCGTGGCGGCGCCGCTGCAGGCCTGCGCGGCGGAACACAACATCGCGGCGACACTCCGCCCGACGTTGTTGCACAGCACCGACTCTACGGACAGGGAGCTGCGTACCGCGGAGCAGGTTGTGGAGGAGGTGGCCTATGCCCTCGCCCAAGCGGCGGAGTCGACCCTAACGGAAAGCTTCGCCTCGACGCAGCGGCTTGTGGCGCCACTGCCCTCCCTCGCCCCGTACTTGTCCGCCTACGCCGTCGGGGCCCTCGTGCAGCGTCCGTTCCGGCGTGCCCTTACGTGGGAGCAGTGTCTGGCGCTGCTGCCCTACACCCCGCTCGGCTCGCGCAGTCAGCTGTGGCTGCTGCGACGGGTGGCGCAGGACGGTGAGGGTCGCCGACGGGCGCTTTCGGCTCCGGTGCCTATTACGTTTGCATCTTCGCCCACCCGGCCAGAAAGACGGAAGCGCCCGTACCACACTTTGCCGCCACAACTACCCCCCTTGTCGTCTCCGCTGACGTTCCCACAGACCGCCGTGCAGACGGCGCAGCGGCTGATCGAGATGCAGCACAACACACGACGTCTGCAGAGCCGTTTACACCTTCGCGAGAGCATCAGCACAAGACGCAGCGCCGGCGAAACAGAGGCTCCATGCTCCTCTTTTCCTGCACCACCGTCCGTCGTTGCCGCCACGATGACAACGCCTCCGCCGAACACGACGGCCACCGCCGATGGGAGCACGGACGCCGATGCAGCCCTCCTCACGCTTCTTTTGGAAAGCCACTGGAGCCGTGCGTTGCGCATCTTCGAGCACGCCTCCTCGCGGGTGCAGGCCGCCGGAGCCCCGCACGTGGTCCGCCTCCTCATCAGCGCAGACGTCTGGCGTGACATCGCCGACACCCAGCGCCGTCCGTTGGTCCGTCTCGCCGTGCAGAGCTCTGCCCATTCCAGTAGCAGTGGGGCTTCCGCGTTGCTGGAGGAGGTGCTGCAAACTTCGCTGGAGCACGGCCTGTGGCACACCGGACTGTACTTTCATCAGTGCGTGGCGGCGGAGCAGCCGGAGTTGGTGCGTCAGTGTCGGCGTGCGCAGGTCTACGCGGCGCAGCTCTGCCGCGGGCTGCTGGAACGGACGTCGATGATGCGGGCGGTGGCGCAGTTGACCATGGCGGCCCGTCAGGGTCAATGGGCCGAGGCCGCTGCGTGCTTCATGCGCTACGCAACTGGGCGGGATACGTCACTGTATGCCACGGGTGTGTCCTCTGACGAAGCGGACACGGCGGACGCGCCGCCGCGTTCTTCACCAGCTGCAGAAGCTTTCCATCAGGACGTGGGTTTCCGGAAGTCTTCCACTTCCGTTCCATCCACCAGCGCGGAGGAACTTCGCGTACTGACTGCGGTGATGAACGGGGAGGGCCGCCGTCGCAGCAGCAGCATCAGCAGGCGCGTTGCTGGAGAGGACGCGGGAGTCGCAGCCCCTCACGCCCTCTCTTCACCACCGTTCCATTCGTCTTCTCTCTCCTCCGCCGCCACTGCCTCAAGGGCGTTTTCCTTTTTCGCCGAGAGCGGTGGCGCGGTGCCCGCTGAACTGGCGCACGTGGCGCAGACTGTTCGCTACGCCATGCTCCGCACACCCGCCCTTTGGATGCACGCCCTGCGGTGGTTGCCGGTCTCCACGCTGCCGCTGCCCTTCAGTCATGAGGTGGCGATCCACGCCTTATGCGCCGATAACCCCGCGAAGTTGCGTGCCCTACTGCCCGAGCGGGCGATGGTGGACACTGCAGGCAATGCGATCAAAGGAAAAGGTATCGCGGCGGGATCTACGCCGAGTTCAGTGCCATCGGCAGTCGTGTCGACGGCCACGGCTACTGCGCTTTCCATTGTCGCGGAGGCCCGCCGTGCACACCGCCCGCAGCACCCGAATGAGGTGGCCAAGAACAAGCAGGCTGCAGTGGCGAACGCACTGCGCGTGTTGCAGCGCGCCGGGGCCTGGGAGGAGGCCACACTGCTCTACGACAAAGCCGTCGCGTCGAACTGCATGCCCTACGGCGCGTCCACCGCCGTGTTGGCCGCCGCGGCCATCGGTGGTGCGCCGTGGCAGGTAACGCTGCTTTACTTTTTCGACATGGCTCAGCGCCTCCGCCCGAGCGTGGCGGCCACCGCTGTCGCGCTGCAGGCGTGTGCGGAGGGCGGTCAGTGGGCGTTAGCCTTTCGGGTACTGCAGCAGAGTGTGCTGACGCAAGCCGCGCCGGTGCCTCGTCTTGTGGAGCTGGCGGTGACCACCGCCCTGCACTGTGGGGTGTGGGCGCGTGCCTTGGCGGCGGCGCAGCAGTACCGCCGCACCCGCGATCCGCGGCTGGCGCACACCATCCTCCTCACCTTTGTCCGCACCCAACACTGGGATGACGCGGTGAAGTACTTCTACGACTACACCCGCCGCGGACTGCGGCCGCTGGATGCGTCGCTGGAGCTGGCCATAATCGCCAGCGAGGCCGCCAGTGCAGAGTACCGCAAGACGGCGCTGCTCGTCGGCACAATTGCGTCCGCGCTGGAGGACTTGTTTAAGCTGAGCGGTGCCGTGCTGGAACACATTCTGTTTGTGCAGCGCCACGTGCGGGATGCGTCATCTGCCGGCAGCCACCGCAAAAGTAGTGAGGACGATGGCGGTGTTGCCTTGTACGACTCTCCTGAAGTTGACGAGGTGTTCGTGTCGCGTGCCTCGTGTACCGAGACGCAGCTTCGTCACAGCCGGTCTGAACAAGGTGTGCCATCACCACCGGTGACGGTACCGTGTACCGAAACCGCTCCTTCCACCACCTGTTCTCCTCATAAGAGAGAGTAAGAAAGAAGAAAACGTTGACGTTGTCTGCCGCGAAAGCGGTTTACCTATCGTATATCCTCTAAATTTAATCTTGGTGTTGGGTGCCACAGACAACCCATTCTTGCTCGTGCGCTTTATTCCGATAAGGAAAATGCTTCAATACGACAGCATTGTGTTTTAAATAATATCCCTTTACACAGATGGTGCACCACATATGAGATGATGAGAGGCATGTAGCGCTGACATTTTTTTTCTCCCTCCTGCTTTGCGAGTGCCGCAACGCACACGCCTCTGCGGCTTCTTTTCATGCCTTTTTTCTCCACGCACGTGAAACCCAATGTCGTCTCTCCGCTCACGCGTCTCTCTCTCCCCCTCCTTTCCTGTCTTCTTTTGCGTTGTTTTTGTCAGTTTCTTCCGCGTCTCTCTGCCGCAGTTTCACACGTAGAACACAACGGGGGGCCGAGCGTACCGTGCACCTCGAACAAGGTGCCACTACCTTTTAAAAAAGAATTTCTCTCCCCTGTTCCGCCCTTTTTCCATCCTTACCGTTGTTGAGGAGCGCGCAGGAGAGATCGTCCTTCCTGTGGATTAAAAAAAAAGAAACTGCCTCCCTGCTTCCTGCTCTGCTTTTGTAGGATGCGCTCCTTCGTTTTCATTAGCGACATCCCCGACTTCCTCCTTCAGCCCATCTACAAGAGCGAGGGAAAGGAAGGCGGCGGCGGCGGCGCGGATGGGAGCACCAAGCAGGCGCTGACGGCCTCGAAGTTTGACCTGCGCTATGAGAGGCTGCGCCGCCTTCTCGTTGAGTACTCCACCGGGGTGATGCTCGTGATGCACCTTGAAACCAAAGGGTACGCCTTGGCCCTCTACGCGTCCGAAGGGGAGGCGCTGGCGGCGTGCAAGGCGGACATCACACCGGAGCAGCCAGGGCAGAGGTTTCGCCCGCTGCGACTCCGCATCCTTGAGCGGGAGAAGCCTCGCCCGCCGGAGCCAGTGTACAACCCGTACCTGAACGTTGAGGGGACGGAGGTGCGCAAGGTCGATCTGGCGGACACGCGAGGGCTGGAGTTGGTGTACCGCGGACGTGCGTTGGCCAAGTGGTGCCCGCGCACCCTTGCCGGCGAGGACTGCCACTTTGGCATCGCCTGCCTGAAGTTGCACAAGTCCGCTGTACAGCGCACTGTGCGCAAGCGCCCCCGCATCGACGAGGAAGACGCGGCGGCGCACTTGTCTGCTGAGCAGCAGCAGACAGTGCAACGACTGCTGGCTTGTGTGAAGGACGCCCGAGCAGCCTTGGCGCCCGTCTCGCTAGAGTTGAAAGGGTGCATTTACGTGCCGGTGACAGAGGCGGAGATGGAGGCGATTTTCGGATCGCAGACCGATTCTACAACCGGCAATCACAGTAGCAGCGTCCATCAAGAAACAATGTACCAGACGGTGCTGCAGCGCGTGGAGGCAGCCATGGCCTCCGCCTCCTCTGCCTCTTCAGCGGGGGTTTCGTATTTTCCTCGTCTGAGCTGCCCGGGAGGTGCGCCATCAGATTGGGCAATGGAGAGCGAAGAGGGACGGCGTGCGCTGCAGCGCGACTGCCCGCTCCCTGCCAACGGCGCCCCAACACCACTGGAGCGTGATCTTTACATACAGAAGCTGTGGTACCACATGAACCAACTACACCGCTGCCGGACGGCGCCGGAGGTAATGCGGAGGCTGCGGGGCAGCCGCCGCGTGCGGGATGCGCTGCGTCGGCGCGTATCCGACAAGCACGCTGCCGCGTCGCATTTCCTCCCTTCTCATCCACACGCAAATGCTGCTCTTGCGTCCCCGTCGGAGGCCGCCGCGGCCCCGCTGTACATCTGCCTCCAGCCGTGGCTTTACCTGCCCACCGTTGGCTGCGAGGTGTCGGCGTTTGTGGAACGGGGTGGTCGACGTGTGCGTGGTGTGGTGCAGCGCTACGGGCAGCTCCGCCTCATGACTTCTGCTGCCCTGCTGGCGACGTCAACGTCTTCGCGGACGCGCACGAGAGGGGAAGAAGAGAAGGAAGGAAGGAAGGGTGCCGAGGCTGGACGCAGTCCGAACGCAGAGCCCACATCACCGCAGCAGCGCGAAGGAAGAGGTGACGACGCTGATGGTGATGCTGCTGATGATAGCGGTGATGTCGATGCACTTCTCTCCCGTTACGCCGTGCTCGACTCGGGGAATGACAGCCTCGCTGAGGCGTCCTTGGCGAAGGAGCTTCGCGCCTTCCAGCGGTGCATCGCCGCAGCGGTGAACGAGCTGCGCCGGCACCTGCAGCAACACCCGAGCTCGACGGGTGGCGAGGGTGCGGCGTGGTGTGTGCATCTGGCCGTGCTGCCGCTTCCGCCTTCTACCTCGATGTCGTCGTCGTCGTCATTGCAGTCCGCTCCTGTGACGGATCCTGCGGGTGTCGCGGCGTCTTCTTCACCTGCAGCGCCATCGGTGGTGCTGCTGTCGTGCAGCGCCTACCAGCGTGCCTTGGAGGAGTGTCCTATGTACTCCGCCTTGGCGCCGTCGACATCCTCGTCTGCTGCTGCTGAAGCCGCAGATGCACCGCGGCCTGGCCAGGTGGAGGTCACGTGGAATACGCAGCGTCACCCTTACATTCCGCTGTTCAGCCGTGAGGTGTTGGAGAAGCTGCGCGCCGATGCCACAGAATAGAGGGTAGCTATGGGGGGGGAGGGGGAATGGATCACACACATACAGACACAGACAGAGACAAACAAGGCCCAACCATGATAGCGTGCCGATCAACTAAATGGCCATTTAAGACAACTTTGGAACTCAACACCTCGCGAGAGTCATCACATTTAGAATACGAAAAGGCGTCACTGCTCCGCATGGCTTCGTTGTTTCTTCTCTGTAAAGAGCGCGGTGAACGACTCCCTTCATTTTCCCTTTTCTCCTCTCTTTTTTTTCCCTTCTCTAACTTCATTTTTTAATCACTTGTATCCTTCTTACAAACATTGCTTTGCGAGCTCACAAACGCACCCACACATACATATATATATATATATATACACGTCAAAGCGAACCTGCAGCAACTCGCAAACAAAGAAACCTAGAAGGAGAAAGGACTTGTTATGCCACCCAAGAAGAAACGCACGGCTGCGGCCGCCAAGGCTCCTGCCATGACCAACAAAACACCGTCGGCATCATCCACCAAGCCCACGTCGTCGTCGCCCTCGCCGCCGTCTTCTCCGCCCCCCGCACGCGAGGCGTCTTCCCTACTCAACCCCGCATCTCAGAACGGGTCCACTTCGCCGTCCGCCAAGCAGGACGGCCGCCGCAGTCAGAGCGGAGGCGAACATGCCATCACGCCGAAGCGCGCGTCGGCGTCGCAGCCGCAGCCGCAGCCGCAGCCGCTGCGAACCCCCGAGCGCCAGGGCAGTCACGGCCACCTTTCAGCCCTCCGTCCGCAACGCAGCCGCGATCGCGACAATGCCGCTTCTCCGTCCGTCCCACCGGCGCCCGCCACCACGCCAGTTCCAGCAGCGGAGAGGACACCACGTCGTGAGGGCAGCAACGGTCGCGACCACCAGCGCAACAGCCGCAAGTCTACTGGGCTGTCTCTCTCCGCTTCGCCGGTGCCGCCGCCGCCCCCACCGACGACACCGGTGCCTGCGGCGAAGCGTGCATCCTCCTCATCGCAGAAGCAACAGCAGCAGCAGAGAACGCCGTCAAGAAAGAGGAAGGATCGCACCGCCTCAGCTCAGGGAAGAATGTCACCGGAGACGAAGAAAAGGTTGATGACGACATCATCGGGTGACCCGGCAGCTACAGCTGCCACCACCGCGAACACCACCACCACCTCAAAGCCACCCAAGAAGAACGACAATGTCAAGGGCAGCTTGGAGGGCAGCGGAGGCAGCGAGCAGACGACAAAGAAGCACAAGCCGCTGAGCCGCAGCGTCCGCCGATATCGTAGTCGTCATTCGGAGAATGCGTCACCCCTCTCCTCTCCGTTGTCGCACTCCGTCCAGAGCGTCATTCGGGAGTCGAAGGTGATCGCACCGGATGTGAGCGGCATCCGCTGTCTCGCCATCCACCCATCCGAGCAGCACGTCGTGGTGGCGCGCGAGAACGGGTCGTTGGTGCTGTACGACGTCTCTTTCTTTCAGAACATCCCGCAGTTCGTACAGCGCCGCCACACCGGTGGCCAGACGCGGCGCACCATCACAAGTTTGGCCTACGTGGCCGTGCCCGCACCAACCTCCGCCTCGACGACGTCCTCATCGACAACAACCGCGGCTACCACGGCGCCGGCAGCGTCGACGCGGTACGTCCTCCTTGCGTCTATGATGTCGGGCCAGGTGGTGATCTACGACGCGGAGCTGCTCGTTCCGCTGGCGCTGCATCAGCGAAGTGGAGGCGCTATTTGGCAGATGACGGCGGCCAGCCCCGCGTGTATCTACGCGGCGATGGCAGATAGCAGCTGGCAGCAACTGCGCCTCACGTGCAAGCGGGACGGGGCGGCGCCGCAGTTGGATCTGGTGCGCGTCGTGCCGGGCATCAGCGGTGCCGATCGCGCTCTCACCGTGGCGACGTCGGCCTCGCTGAGCATGGCGGTGGGCACTGATGATGTCGGCAACGTGCACGCTTGGCGTCTGCCCGCCGCAAACGACGTCAACGACGACGATGCGGATGATGACACACCGGCGGCGCGCAGTCGTGGGCTGGCAGAGCACGAGTCCCTCTGGACGACGAGACTGGCGAAGGGCGTCGCGCTGAGCTGCGCGGTGGTCGGCGGCACGCGGCGGCCCTGCGTGGTGGTGGGGACTTCGATGGGGGATGTGGTGCTGCTCGACGCGGCTCACGGACACGTCTTTCAGACCTTCTCGCAGCACAAAGGGCCCGTGACGACGCTGGTCGTGCAGAACGACGCGGTGGTCTTCGCCTCTGGCTGGCACGAGAGCCTGCGTAGCTACCGCTGCAGCGGCGAGGGCGACTGGCACCCGGCAGAGGTGAAGCGGCGCACGCACTACCACGAGGCCAGCCAGCTCGCTTTGATGCCGGGCCGCCAGTTAATCCTCTCCGCGTCCCGCGATGGCACCGTGCTGTACGCGCCGACGGCGCAACTGTTTCACACCCCGGCGATGTACGTGGTGGTGACGACGCAGCAGTTCGCCTACGCGGCGGGTCGCGGTGTGCTGCTGCAGTCCCGCTTCGACACGGTGGAGGCGTTCTGTATGGACGAGGCGGACCGCCACTGGGTACCGCTTTTTGGCCACCGCCTCGAAGGTCGCTTCCACCTGTCGGGCTTGTGGTGCGACGAGCAGCTTCGGTACATCCTCTTCAGCACGGAGGAGCGTTTGGGATTGCTGAAGGTGGGGTGGCGCGCGCAAGCGGCCATGGCGATAGTTCGGATAGAGGAGGTGCTGGAGCTGCCAGCGCGCACGGGTGTGGTGGACGTGTGCTGGGGCGGACCTGCGCCGAGGAACAGTTCCGAGGTCAAGGACCAGGATGACGAGGAAGTTGCGGCGGCGGATGCGTCGACGTCTGCCACGGCAGCCGCGCCGCAGGTGCTGTACATTTTGTATGATGACTGCATCACGAGCGTCACCCTCGCCGAGGGCTACCCCGTGGTGAACACGGCGGTGCTGGTGAAGGGCAAGGGTCTGCCTGCCGACTCGCTGCGGCCGTACCGGGTCTTCAGCCGACACATATCTGTGAAACCCGGCAAGGCGCAGAATTCTTCTGGCGAGGTTGCGACACGTGAGCTGGTGATCTACGGCCACCGTGGAAGCTGCCGCCTTCCACTCCTGGCCGATGGCACGCCGGAGGCGGAAAAGCTCGTGGCGGATTTGGATGACGTGTACGAGCTGGTGCAGGAAGTGCCGGTGCTGGCAAAGCAGAGGCAGAGCAGCGATGGCGACGGCGACCGACCCGTGAAGAAGGCGAAAGGAGAGGCGGCTGACACGGAGGCTGCAGCGGCATCTGAATCAAGTACGGTTACGACTGCCGTTGCGCTGACTCCGTCGGCTCTCGTCGGTCTCTCCGCAACGCAGGAGCGATACATCGTCGGCGCGACGCTGCACTCCTCCGCGGCGGGGGCAGTGCCGCTGCCGGCGACGCTGCCGCACGATGTAAAGTGGATTGCACGCCTTCCGGCGTCGTCCGCGAGCGCGTACACGTACCTCGGCTACTTTAGCCGAGGACTGTTGGTGGCGACGGGGGACACGTGGCACATGTTGCGTCGCATGAACGTCGAGGCCGCCTTTGTTGTACGGGGAGGGACGGAGGTGCTGGTGCTGGAGCGCAACCTGGAAAAAACGTTGGAGTCGTTGCCCCTGACATGGAAGGTTCGCCGGTTTGGCAACTAATGGCTTGCTCTGTTTTTGTGGATGTGCAGCGAATTTTTCTTTTTCCTTTTTGCCGTTGATTTACTCGCTCGTTCTTGCTGGTGTTTGCTGGTACTGTTCCGTCCCGTGCTGCGGCGTTGACGTTTGTTTGGGCAGTAGTGTCTGTCTCTTTCTCTCTCAACGAATAACGCGTTTCGATGACGCTTAAGTAATTTTTATTGTTTTTTTTTTAATTCTGGTTAACTTCAAGTAATGCGCCGGAGTGTGCTGTGTAGCGTGAGTGGAAGGCGAAGTCAAAAAGAGCAAAGAGATCCAAAAAGTAAATGAATGGAAAGCCAAACGGCTCAGCAAATGGCACGACGGGATTAAACGCCGCGACTCGGTGCTGCCGCGTACTCGGCCATCATAGGTGGTACGCATGCGCGGTACGTGGTGGCCCCAGCAACCGATTGTGTCTTGTGGTGGAGTTCTCGATGAAGGTCGATGTTGTTTTCCTTTTCACCGTGAAACGTTCGCATACGCGAATGACTGCGATCTGCGGGGGCTCTTCTAATTTGCTGGTTTAGAAGGTACCTTGGCAAAACTCGGAATGGCAGATCCGATGAGGTGATGTGCTGGGCTTTCGGCTTGTCCCCCCTTGTTTTTGCGCTACTGTCTTGGCATCCTTCGTTCTTTTTCCCTTTTGCTTTCAATGTGTTTCTTTCTGAGCGCGCGCGTGTGCGTGCCTTCTGCTCCCTCCCTCCGTCGACTGGACGCTGCCACGCTCATTCGCACTCGTGTCATTGTTTCGTAGCTGAGGTAATGAGCGATACCGCGAACGGCGCTCGTGCCATCCAGACCTCCTACCCGGTCTCTTACCCAGCTGGGGTGTTCCTCGTGTCATCCACGCAGCATCTGGACCGGTACGTGTCGTCTTTGCGGGCCACTCGTAAACTCAAAGCAGGCCATAATGTAACCGTCTTTGACGCGGTGCACTTTGCTGAGGCTGCTGTTTCTACGCACTGCACCAATAGCGCGCCGACGAACACTTGCCGTGCTACAGAACTCGCCACTACGCGCGCGATTTCGTCTGAAGGTGTTGCGGTCGTGCATGTGTACAAGGATGAAGGCGGAGAGAAGGGAAAGCCTCTGCAGGGGGAAAAGGCAAGGGGCCTCTTAACCTCACACGTTCGATTGCATGAGACAACGACAGACGAGGCAGCGGCGTTCAAGGTAAAGGCAGAGGAGTTATCTCCTCTCGCATCGACCTACGAGGTCTGCTCGCTTGTTACCCTACATGGTTCTGAAGGGGGCCAGCGTCTCCACGACCTCTTGCGGATACCCCGTGCGCAACGCACCGGCACCACGTCAGCGCATTGGCCTTCCTACATGGCCGTTCACGTCACAGGGGAGCTGTCGGATGCAGAGCTGCTCTCTTATCTCCGACCTTGCCCTTCAGCTGCTGCTGCTGGTGCTTTCGACGGTGCATTGGCACCCGAGAAGCCACCTGTCCAGCCGCCCCTGCCCCCGCCACCACCACCCGTCGCCTTTCTGCGTGGTGTACGCCGCTTTCATAGAGTGTGCTGCCCTGATTTGAAGGGGTTGCCCTCCGCCCTAGCTGCATTGCGGCAGTCTGCTTCACTGCAACGGTGCCGCGTTCGCAGCGAGTACACGGAGCTCAACGTTGTGAAGGGTGCAGACGAACCTGCGAAAAGCGCAGCCCCCGATGCACCTTCGATACTCCAGCAAGTGGAACGGCGAGATCAGCACGGGCTTCGAACAGCACCCGACTTGGCCGACACCGCGACTTTCCCCTTCACCTTTTCGGAGTTGTTTGGTGGCATCGGTATGTTTCGTACGGCGCTGGAGCGGGTCGGTGGTCGTGCCACCTTCGCGGTTGAGTTTGCCCCGCCTGCGCAGGTGGTGTATGCGTTGAACCACTCCTGCTGGCACGACTGCCCGACAAGGCTGCAGCTGCCGAACGCAGGAGGGAGTACCTCACCTTCCTCTTTCTCTTCTTTTACGCCTCCGTTGCCAGCTCTTCTCGTCGGGGACATCACCGAAATTCCTACCTTCTTCTTCCCGCATCACGATGTGCTGACGGGCGGGTTCCCGTGCCAGAGCTTCGCCAAAGCCGGCGCCGCAGCGGGGCTGCATGCGGACAAAGGGTGGCTCTTTTATGAGGTGGTGCGTGTCCTGGCGGCAACGAGGCCAGCTGCCTTCTTGCTCGAAAACGTGGAACACTTGACGGAGGTGGAGGCGGGGAGACAGTTGGAGGAGATCCTCTGTCGACTTCGCCGGCCAATCTCCGCGGTATCGTCGCCTCCCACGACGCCGGACAGGAGCGACTCCAAGAACAGCAGCAGCAGCGACAACCGCACGGATCTGCAAACGCCGGACCGTACAGGAGAAGAAGAAGCTGTGGAGTACGAGGTACACCACGTGGTGGTGGACGGCGGTGCCCTCACACCGCAGACGCGCCGCCGGGTGTACTTCTTCGGGTTTCGAACAACTCAGCGAGTTGAAAAGGAGGACGAGACGACTGACTTCGAATATCCACAAGCGGGCGAGGAGGCGGCGGCGGTGGCGGCGGCGGTCGTGACGGATGCTCTTCACCGCGTTCAACACGTGGCGAAGACTGCGCCGTACACCTGTGTGTCGGACCTGCTGGTGGCGCCGTCGGTGAAGGGCATCCCTATGCCTCGTCAGCGCACCTCCGGGTGCGAGCACCAACCTGCGCGTCTTCTGACGGACCCGCTGCAGCTTAGCCCCGCCCAGTGGGAGGCGGTGCGTCGCAGTCGCACCTTCCGCCAAAACCCGCTGTGGCGCCTGTGCGACCTAGGCGGGAAGGCTCGTACGCTTCTCGGTAGCTACCGGACCAGCTATCAGCTCTATTCGGAATTCGTGCCTTACGCACCCACGCTGACGCTGCAGTCCGTAAAGGATGCACTGCGGACGACAGACGATCGCAGCGAGGCAGACGCGCCACCTCCGCTGCGCTTCTTCGCACTTCGGGAGTGTGCCCGGCTTCAGGGCATCGACGATGCCTTTCGCCTTCCCCACGTTGAAGGGCTCCCCGCGTCCTCATCACCCAGAGATGAAGATGCAATCCCCCCTCCCGTGCTGCGTCAGGTGCCGAGTGGGGCGGTGTACAAGCTCGTCGGGAACGCCGTAAACCCGCGTGTGGTGGAGTGCCTTGGCGGCGCCATCGCCGCGTACTTGCAGAGCCGCCGCAAACAGCGCCACAAACACCCCAGCAAGCTCCCCGACGCTTCCGTTTCAAAGCGATAACGCATGAAAGGGAATACAAAATCAGACCAATTTACCCACACTCCTCCGCTGCTCAACAGCGAGAACGAAAACGGAAAATATATATACGCCGTGTGGAGCAGCCACAACGCAGTACCAAAAGGAACCCCACGCTGCTTTCGACGGCTTTGCTTCTCTTGCTCTTTTCTTTTTCGTTTTCATAGGAGCAGAAGTGTTATGCAAAGTTCATTCATGTCACTCCCCGTCATCCAGGAAGCGCGGACGCACTCCCGTTCGGGCTTTTTCTTTTCCTTTGATGTTGCTCCCAACGTGTCTACCTGCTGTGTCTGACGGCAACTTCCTTCCTCCTGTCCAATCCCTTCCCCCTTCCGTGAAACACGCCCACACATACCAACAACTCTTTGATCATCGCACCCGTGAACTTCACCGTCGCCGTTCAACACCTTCCTCGTCCGCCCAACTTCTGTGCAGTGAAACTTCTCGTTTCTCATTTCTCATCCCACAGTAGTACCTCCGTCCCCCCAGCTTTCCCCTCACCGCATCAACCATGCCGCCGAAGATGGGACAGACGAAGAAGGCCAAGATGGAGGCCGCCAACAAGGGATCCAAGAAGACGACCAAGAAGTGGAGCAAGGGTCAGTCCCGCGAGGCCCTGCAGAACGCCGTGATGTTCGACAAGGAGACCTACGACAAGCTCCGCACCGAGGTGCCCAAGTACAAGCTCATCACCCCCTCCATCATCTCCGACCGTCTGAAGATCGCCGTCTCCATCGCCGCCGCTGGCCTCAAACAGCTGTGCCGCGAGAAGCAGATCCGCCTGGTGTCGTGCTCGAACAAGACCCGCGTGTACACGCGCATCGTGCAGGCCGCCCCGGCTGATGCTGCCGCTGGTGCTGCCGCCGCTACCCCGGCCCCTGCTGCCGAGTAAGGAGTACGCGGTTCTGTTTGTTCCAGTCGAAAAGCCATAGCTCTCCTAGATACCTGTGTGAATGTGTGTGTGTGTGGGGGAAGAGACTCACTTGAAGTTTTCCGACTCTTCCTTTTTTTTTATTGTTTTTCGTCATTTAGTCACTTCTCCAATCATAAGATATTACGAACGTCTCGGCAGCCCTCGAGGTGAAGCGGCGCTGCCCAGGGGCTTTGCCGGGGCGGAAAAGCGGGGAAAGGACGGCCGCCTGCGCCGTCTCCTTTCTTGTGCTTTCGCTTCAACCTTTTTTTGGGGTGTGTGTGGGTAGCTTGAAGGGCCGCTTCAGTCGAACACGCGTCTCTGCGAACGGTCTTTCCTGCGCTCACCGCACATGTGCACGTAGGGCTGTTTGACTTTCCGGAGACACCGGAGTGAGCGCAGTCGTTCGCTTTAGTTTCTACTTCATCATTCACCGATGCCAGGGAAAATCGTTTTTTTTTTGCTTAGTTTCTCTGATGCACGTAGCCGTTTGGTGATGGCTTCTTTAAAAAACACAGCTTCCTCCGGTTCCGCAACACCACTTCCTCTCTTCTCTGTGCTTTTCCTCTTTTCCTCTTTTTACTTTTTTCGTTTCTGGCCAACTGCCACTTTCACAGCTCACGAGTTCCCATTACAAGTAGTAGTAATAGTAGTAGGTAGGTTTCTTTTGTACTCGAAGAACACCACTCCACCCCTAACGGAAAGCTTCTCCTTCCATTCAAACGTTCTCTGATAAAAGAAGACTAAACAACACGCCCCCCCCCCCTCAGCCTCTTCGCCATATTACTCGAACGATGCTCGCTCGTGTGCAGTCTGCGATGGTGCGCCGCGCGGTTGGCGTGCGCGCTGCCTCGACTGCCGCCGCCGCCACCGCCGCGAAGCCCGCGGAGCACAAGGGTCGCGTGGGCTACGTGTCGCAGGTGATCGGCGCCGTGGTCGATGTGCACTTCGCGGAGGGCGTGCCGCCGGTGCTGACGGCGCTGGACGTGACGGAGCAGCTGGGCCGCGAGGAGCCGCTGACGCTGGAGATCGTGCAGCACTTGGACGCGAACACGGGCCGCTGCATCGCCATGCAGACGACGGATCTGCTGAAGCTGAAGTCGAAGGTTGTGTCGACCGGCGGCAACATCTCCGTGCCGGTTGGCCGCGAGACGCTTGGCCGCATCTTCAACGTGCTGGGCGACGCCATCGATCAGCGCGGCGTGGTTGGCGAGAAGATGCGCATGCCGATCCACGCCGAGGCGCCGAAGCTGTCGGACCAGGCCGCGGAGGACGCGATTCTGACGACGGGCATCAAGGTGATTGACCTGATTCTGCCGTACTGCAAGGGCGGCAAGATCGGCCTGTTCGGCGGTGCCGGTGTAGGCAAGACGGTGATCATCATGGAGCTGATCAACAACGTGGCCAAGGGCCACGGTGGCTTTTCCGTGTTCGCCGGCGTCGGCGAGCGCACCCGCGAGGGCACGGACCTGTACCTGGAGATGATGCAGTCGAAGGTGATTGACCTGAAGGGCGACTCGAAGTGCGTGCTTGTGTACGGCCAGATGAACGAGCCGCCGGGTGCGCGCGCGCGTGTGGCGCAGTCTGCGCTGACGATGGCGGAGTACTTCCGCGACGTGGAGGGCCAGAACGTGCTGCTGTTCATCGACAACATTTTCCGCTTCACGCAGGCCAACTCGGAGGTGTCCGCCCTGCTGGGCCGCATTCCCGCCGCCGTGGGCTACCAGCCGACGCTGGCGGAGGATCTCGGCATGCTGCAGGAGCGCATTACGTCGACGACGAAGGGCTCGATTACGTCTGTGCAGGCTGTGTACGTGCCGGCCGATGATATCACCGATCCGGCGCCTGCGACGACCTTCTCGCACCTGGATGCGACGACGGTGCTTGACCGTGCGGTGGCGGAGTCCGGCATCTACCCCGCCGTGAACCCGCTGGAGTGCGCGTCGCGCATCATGGACCCCGACGTGATCGATGTGGACCACTACAACGTCGCGCAGGACATCGTGCAGATGCTGACCAAGTACAAGGAGCTGCAGGATATCATTGCGGTGCTGGGTATCGACGAGCTGAGCGAGGAGGACAAGCTTGTGGTGGACCGCGCGCGCAAGGTGACACGCTTCCTGTCGCAGCCGTTCCAGGTGGCCGAGGTGTTCACCGGCATGATAGGCCACTACGTGCAGCTGGAGGACACGGTGGAGTCGTTCTCCGGTCTGCTGATGGGCTCGTACGATCAGATCCCCGAGATGGCGTTCTACATGGTGGGCGGCATCAAGTCCGTGCTGGAGAAGGCGAAGGCGATGGCCGAGGAGGCTGCGGCGATGGAGAAGCACCGCCGTGCCCGCCAGGCCGCGACCGCCGCGGAGTCCAAGTAAACTCCGCTCGCTTGTGTCGATGGATTACGGGATGCACACGCACGCACACACACACACACACACACACACGTGTCCCACGATAACGCAGGTATCTACGAGCTGTGAAGACGGCCTGATGAGGGGATTCGGCGCTGATTTGTTGTTACTTATCGAGAGGTCCACGTTGTTGTTTTGTCATTGGAGATGGCACTTCTTCACGCACGTAGCACAAGGCTTGACAGGCGTATGCGCGCCTCCCCGAATGCACGCACGCAACCGCAGCGTCTCATGAGGAGAGGGGAAAAACGAAAACGGAAAGAGAATGTGAGGTGTAGTACCCATTCTTTGTTTTTTGTTTTCTCCTATTTGGCCGTAAATGATGCGTCGCATCGCAATCGCCCATGTGACTTGCCGCTTTCGTGTTACGGCACGACTGCCTTTTTCTTCTTCTTACCCTTTTCGTTTCTAAAGAAAATGAAAAGACGAGAACTCTGCCTGTTCTGTTCCGCTCTCTTCTTCTCTGCTCGCAGCCTCCGTGTTGAAAACGGAGCGGCTTCGACAGTGCGCGGAGTAGCACGAAGAGGGTTTCGTATGCTGGCACATTCTCCAAAGGCGGTCGTTGCTTCTGTCTGCGGAGTGGACGGCTCCATTTTTTTTTTGACACTGGTTTTCTCTTCTTTCTTCTTTCTTTTTCTTGTAGTAGGGGATGGCCAACGGCAGCACTGAACGACGAGCAGAACCAACCGGCTCTCACCTCACCTCCACTTTCGTGCTGGAAGTTTTTGTTTTGTTTGGGTTCACCTTCCGCTGTTTCGTTCGTGTTCTATAGTGTTCCCGTGATGCATTGGCTTTTCCTATTTCTTCTTTTCCTCTGTGTTTTAGTAAGCGCTTGGTGTGTTGTGTGCCGCCAACGCGCAACGTATGGACTGATAAATTCGAAGGATAGAGAGCAAGTAAGGAAAACACACGCAGCCCTGCTTCCTCGCTGCTCAAAGGGTGGAGCGGTGTGGCGCCGCTGACGTCTTTTGGCAGTTGCTGTGAACGACTCTGATTTCTGTGCTTCTGGGCGACGTTGAGCGATGCACGGCTGCGTTACCCAACTGGCCAGCTTGATGACGTCTCATTCTTTGTTTTCTGTTTCCCCTACTAAGACGGCAGCGTGAGAAGGAAACAGAAGAATGACGAACTCTGCTTTGCGCAGGCAAAACACGGTTTTGAGAGGAAAGAAAGAAACAAAGTTGTGCCTCCGTGACACCAATGCCTCTCTTCCTGTTTGTGCGTTTCTCACATTCCTTTTTTTTTCTCTTCAACACAGTTTCACTTCGTCTCCTTCGTTAACCCCCTCTCTCTCCCTTCTTCTTGTGTTTCACTCATTCGAAGTAAGGGATCGTAATTGCCTCCTCGTTTTCCGTTCTTCTCTTCTACCGTGTACTACCTCTTCGCCATATTACTCGAACGATGCTCGCTCGTGTGCAGTCTGCGATGGTGCGCCGCGCGGTTGGCGTGCGCGCTGCCTCGACTGCCGCCGCCGCCACCGCCGCGAAGCCCGCGGAGCACAAGGGTCGCGTGGGCTACGTGTCGCAGGTGATCGGCGCCGTGGTCGATGTGCACTTCGCGGAGGGCGTGCCGCCGGTGCTGACGGCGCTGGACGTGACGGAGCAGCTGGGCCGCGAGGAGCCGCTGACGCTGGAGATCGTGCAGCACTTGGACGCGAACACGGGCCGCTGCATCGCCATGCAGACGACGGATCTGCTGAAGCTGAAGTCGAAGGTTGTGTCGACCGGCGGCAACATCTCCGTGCCGGTTGGCCGCGAGACGCTTGGCCGCATCTTCAACGTGCTGGGCGACGCCATCGATCAGCGCGGCGTGGTTGGCGAGAAGATGCGCATGCCGATCCACGCCGAGGCGCCGAAGCTGTCGGACCAGGCCGCGGAGGACGCGATTCTGACGACGGGCATCAAGGTGATTGACCTGATTCTGCCGTACTGCAAGGGCGGCAAGATCGGCCTGTTCGGCGGTGCCGGTGTAGGCAAGACGGTGATCATCATGGAGCTGATCAACAACGTGGCCAAGGGCCACGGTGGCTTTTCCGTGTTCGCCGGCGTCGGCGAGCGCACCCGCGAGGGCACGGACCTGTACCTGGAGATGATGCAGTCGAAGGTGATTGACCTGAAGGGCGACTCGAAGTGCGTGCTTGTGTACGGCCAGATGAACGAGCCGCCGGGTGCGCGCGCGCGTGTGGCGCAGTCTGCGCTGACGATGGCGGAGTACTTCCGCGACGTGGAGGGCCAGAACGTGCTGCTGTTCATCGACAACATTTTCCGCTTCACGCAGGCCAACTCGGAGGTGTCCGCCCTGCTGGGCCGCATTCCCGCCGCCGTGGGCTACCAGCCGACGCTGGCGGAGGATCTCGGCATGCTGCAGGAGCGCATTACGTCGACGACGAAGGGCTCGATTACGTCTGTGCAGGCTGTGTACGTGCCGGCCGATGATATCACCGATCCGGCGCCTGCGACGACCTTCTCGCACCTGGATGCGACGACGGTGCTTGACCGTGCGGTGGCGGAGTCCGGCATCTACCCCGCCGTGAACCCGCTGGAGTGCGCGTCGCGCATCATGGACCCCGACGTGATCGATGTGGACCACTACAACGTCGCGCAGGACATCGTGCAGATGCTGACCAAGTACAAGGAGCTGCAGGATATCATTGCGGTGCTGGGTATCGACGAGCTGAGCGAGGAGGACAAGCTTGTGGTGGACCGCGCGCGCAAGGTGACACGCTTCCTGTCGCAGCCGTTCCAGGTGGCCGAGGTGTTCACCGGCATGATAGGCCACTACGTGCAGCTGGAGGACACGGTGGAGTCGTTCTCCGGTCTGCTGATGGGCTCGTACGATCAGATCCCCGAGATGGCGTTCTACATGGTGGGCGGCATCAAGTCCGTGCTGGAGAAGGCGAAGGCGATGGCCGAGGAGGCTGCGGCGATGGAGAAGCACCGCCGTGCCCGCCAGGCCGCGACCGCCGCGGAGTCCAAGTAAACTCCGCTCGCTTGTGCCGATGGATTACGTGAAGGAAGGGACTAGCACGTCAGCCAGCGGTTCGGGTAACGTAGCTTTGCTGTGCCAGTGCTGCGAGGCATTGGTGCTACTATCCAATCTTATCCCTTCTGTTGTTCTCGAAGCGTCTCGTGACGGGCGTGAGCAGCCTTTGACTGGTGTGGCTTTTTTTAAAGTATAGGAATAAACAAGAAAGCACAGAGCGGAAAGAGAGAACCGGTTTTGGTTTTATGTTCTTCTTTCTTGTTCTCTCGTAGTATGTCTCCTCGTATGCAGCAGAGCGACAACGTCAGCCACAGCACCACCAAGCCGAAAAGATGAGTGTGCGTGTGTGTGTGCGTGTTGCACGCACCGCCTTTTGCATCCCTGTCTCTTTTTAGTGTTTGTTGATGTGTGGTTGCGCTGTACTGTCTCTCTACGGAAATGAACATCACAGAAGCCCGCGCTTCTGTTCGGATGTGATAGTGGATTAGTGGACGCACAGACATGAAAGAAAACACAAAAGTACATAAATATGAAAGTGGGAATGAAGGCGGCTTGTGCTCATCGAATTAAAGTTTAGTTTGATATGGTGCTCCGAACAGTGCAACGAGGGTCGAGACGTGCTGCCTCACGTCGGAAGCCGTCTCTTCTCCAGGTCCGTTTTCAGACAGCGGGTGCGGTGCACTTCTTGACGGACCTGGAGAGGCGAAGAAACACACAGGGAAACAACAACACCGAGGCGAAACGTAAAGGCGGCGGCGGCCGCGGCGTTGGCGGAATGGCGCGCTTTCGGAGTGTCGCCTGTGTCTGCTTGGTTCTTTCTCGAACAAATTTTCTCTCTCCCATTTGACAGGCTTTTGTCTCTCATGGTTTATGCTCCGTGCGCTCCAGCTTTTCCTCCTCCTACACTTCCATTTCCACGCGCGTCTCCATTATTTCCTTCACTTCTTGTTTTGGTAAGTACACTCCTTCTTTTTTGTTATAAACGCTTTTCATTGCCTTGGCAAAAAACTGTCGCGGATTCACGGAAGCAGAGCTTCTGCTCTCTACTTCTCAGCTGATTCTTTTCTTCTTTTTTTTTGTCGAGCCTCTCGTCCACACGCGAGTCACGCATAACGCGCTGCTTTGGTTGCTTCTTTCCTTGTGTGTTCGTTTTCCCTCTGTATTCCGTCTGCTGCGAGTGTCGCCGTTAAACGAAGCCAGTGCGTCGGCGGCAGCAGATATACACATACGTACTTGCGAAACGGTGGAAGAAAGCGCTACCACCAAACCCGGAGGCGGCTGCACCTTGTCTTTGCTTGTTGGTTTCCTTCCCGGTGCTTCCGATCACAGCTCTTTCGTTCCTTTGACAGAAGCACATCTAGTTTCTTTCATCACACACACACACACACATACTTATACACAAGCACACTTCCATTCATGCAAAGATGCTCAATTGGTGGCTCATCGTTCTCATTGTGATCGTGCCGCTGATCTGCATTGGCCTCACTGTGTACATCTTCTTCTACTTCCAATCGGACGAGGACAAAACAACCGACTACATCCCCAAAGCAGTGGCCGGACTCGGTCTGGTGCTCGGCCTCGGCAGCGTCCTGCTCGTCCCCTACGATGTCGCCAACGCGCCCGATCCCACGGTGGCGCACAAGTACAATCAAAGTCTCAACACGCAGCTGATGTGGCAGATTGTGCTATGGGCAATGGCCGCAATGGCCGTCGTGATTTGTCCCTTTTTCATGTTCTTTTACGAGGCCTACGACCCCGATAAGCCCCGCATCGGCAAGCAGGTGGTCCACGCAGTCATCTCCACCGTCATCATCTTCATCCTCTTCGCCATCATTGTGGGGCTCTGCTTCTACTACGTCGGCGTGGCGGATATCTCCTTCAGTTTCTACGAGGCCTCGCCGCAGAAGGTCTTACCCACCGACGGCGCCGTCAGCTTCGTTAGCACCTACACAAGCGAGACGCTGTCGATCAAAGTTGCCTTCACCACCTACGTCATTGGCATGCTGTGCTTCTTTGGCTGGATCCTCTTCTTCTTCTACGGTGGCACGGGCATCATCTCGTACCCGCTGAGCCTCTTCCGCTCCTTTAAAGGACGCACCAAGGCCATCAGCGCGAGTCGCTTTACCGAGGAGATGGCCATCGTGCTTGCCAAGGCGGACGCTTTGTTGGAGCTTTGCGTGCAGCTGCAACGCGACAGCCGCGGCACCATCCCGCGTGGCATCAAGAACAAGATCAACATTCTGCGCAACGAGGTGTACTTCTTAGAGGCACAGCAGGACCAGCTGATCTGGGCCTACACCAAGGCTGGTGGGTCACCGTTCATTGTATATGGAAAGCTCTTCTTGGGTGTGGTGTGCCTCGTTACGGCGATCATGTGGATTCTTCAAATTTTCATCTACAACACCTTTGACGCCGACCCGTTCCTCAACACGCTACTGCTGAAGCTGAACAACGCCTTTGCGCTATGCGGGGTGTGCTGCTACGGTGTCTTTGCCTTTTACCTGACGTGGTCCACCTTCCATGGCCAGATTGCGCTCGGCCTGCGTCTCGTGTTCTTCCAGATTCACCCAATGAAGAAGCACGACACGCTGGTGAACTCCTTCTTGTTCAACGTCAGCCTCCTCCTCATCACGTCGTACGCCGTCATCTTCTTTGCCGCGCGCTCCTTCCAGGACTACGTAGCCTACACGGCCATTAATGGGCTCATGAACGTGTTTGTGATGCACCTGCGCGGCATTGGTGTCTTCATCAAATGGGCGCAGTTCTGCTTTCTTGGGATGGCCCTGCTGGCGTTGATTTGGTACGCGATTTGCCCGAAAAAGAAGCGCCGCGACCCGACAAAGATCCGCCTGGACGATCTTTAAGTTGCGGTGATTCACGGCACGAAGGCTGCGCGTCAACACTCGTAAACAACAAACAACCAAACAGGTAGAGGAGCTTTTCATCCCTCTTTTGTTTTTAGAGAAAGTATCTCTTTTCTGCCTTGCTGATGCTCTTCTACTTCTCTTTCTCTGGCAGTGCGGCCTCTCGTGCGTATAGCAACCTTCACGGGGAGCTGAAAAGCCCGGTAACAGCACAGAAGCGTTGTTGTCGTACACTGTCGCTCTGTTTCTCGTATCACCCCATCCTTATATATATATATTTATGTTATTCTGCTTAATCTGTTGCGTTTGTTCCCTTCACTTCTTAGTCAGCGAGCGTACGTCTGCTATTGCCCGAGCTCCTTACGTCGTGTCTTTTGGGCGTTGTAATCACGCTGCACTATTTGTGGTGATGCACCGTGACCGTTCCGATGCGAGGGAAACCGTTTTGAAAACGAGTGTTGTTTTCCTGTTCTCATGAACGCTTGCTTGAAGCGTCGGCGTAAATCCTGTCCTTCTGTAATCTCAAAAGGGAAGAAGAAAGGAAACGGTAGAAGAGCTCAACGGGAGCGTCTCCTCATTTGCAGCGCTTTAGCCTCTAGCACAGCTTTCTATTTTTTTTTTTCATGTGGATTCTGCTTCCAATACAAAAGATGACAAAACACGCCCGAACAAGGGAAATGAAGCCGTCCTGCGTCGTGCTCGTCGACGCCCGTGTCAGCCGCACCCAACAACGTGGACGGTGGCAACCGCTGCTTACCGACCAGCGTTAAAGGCCGTCTTCTGCATCCTTTCTTCTTCATCTCATGACCTTTTATTTTTGCTCCTCCTCGTTTTCTTCTGCTTTCTCGTATCTGCGCTTCACAGCTGCAGCTCACAACTTTTTTCCGTAATGTGAGTGTAAGTCTTTTTGCTATTATGATTTACAATATACAGCTGTCTTAGCACACAAAAGGAATTCCTCATTTCTCTATCCTCACACGTATTCGGTGAGCGGCATTTTTTTTGCCGGTGCCTGTGATTCTGGTTGTCATGGCACGGTGACGTCTCCGTGATCCTTTTGCCCATTGTCCCCATACCTTCTTTTTTTTTTCTCTATATACTTTTTTATTTGTAGCATTTCCCGTGTAGGTTGTAGACAACGTCTTGATCTCCTCAGCCGCTTCAAGAGGAAAAACCGTTTCGTACTTCTATCGCTGCTTTCCCAAACAATTGCGTTTGTATTTGGTTAGCCAGCACGTTTCAGTCGTTTCTCTTTCTCTCATTTCAGCTGCGACTCCCTCTCCCTTTCCTCTTTGTTTGTTTGACGTGCAGAGCTGTGCCGCTTGCTGTGCGAGTCACCTAGAGTTCATTACTGCTATCAACAAGAAGCATTCATCGTGTAGATACACAAACATCACACACCTTTCACAGCTGCGGGTTTCTTTTTCTTGGGGTTTTACGTTCAGAAAACCTTATAATTGATTCTTGGCAGACGGAGTAATGCGGCGTCCTCAGCCCACCAAAACCACGCTGGCCGACGAAGACGTCCCTGAGCTGGTCGGCTTGCCCGATGGAATTTCGAGATGGACGGGCGATAGCATCAATGATCTGCGGCAGTACGCTCGCACCGGTGGCGCCGACACAGGCATGGAGGACTTCGATAAGAAGCTGTGCCGCACCATCGACATCCTCGGTGCGCGCAGCCAGCGTGCGCAAGTGATCAGCACCGCCCTCACCTCTGTCGCACGGCTGCGGGAGAACAAGTCGTATCGGCTCTACTTGCTCACTAAGGACCACCGCGGTGTCGGTATTCTGAAGATGGGCGTCAAGAAGCTCTTCGTGACGCACCCACAAACGCGCTCGTTGGTTGAGGTAGACCCGCTCTGTGTGCTGGACATCTACGTGGATGAGAGCTGCCAGCGCCACGGCTGCGGGAAGGCGCTGTTCACGCACATGCTCAAGGCGGAGGGTGTTCGCCGGCCGGAGACGCTGGCGATTGATCGGCCGAGCCCTAAAATGCTGGGCTTCATGAAGAAGCACTACGGCCTGTCGGCGTATAGTCCGCAGGTGAACAACTTCGTGGTGTTTGACCGCTTCTTCGATCACACGAGCGTCACCGAGCGTGGAAGGCTGATACGGGCGACGGTGTCCCCCATTTGTGACGAGAACGCACCCCCATCGTCTTCTACTGCTGCCGTGTCCGGCGGCGCCCGCGTGGCAAAAAACAGGAAGCCCGGGTAGTTGCAGACATGTCAGACTGTTTGGAACTACCCGGGCCATCTCCGACGCCGTACCCGCTGGTCCCAGCGCTTACGTCTTGCCCGCCTGTGTCTGTGCCGGCCCTCGCCTACGCAGCGCCAGAAATGCCTGTTGGCGGAGGGGGGTTGGGCGCAGGGGCGTTGAATGTCGGCTGCACGGCAGCGCCGCCGCCGCCGCCGTTCTTCTCACCAAACCCGCATCGTGCCCGTCGCACGAACCCACCCGCGAGAACTGGCCTCCTCCCCCCGCCACGGCTGACGTCGCTCTCACCGGTTGTGGGCGGCGACGTGACGCGGTCGTCCCGTGGCGGCCACGTTTCGCTCCTCCCGCCTGGCTGCTTTTCGAATCGACCCACCGCTGTGTACAACCTGCCTCGCCTCTCCAGCTCTACCTCGGCGCCGCCTTTGCCGGCACGACAGCTCTCCCCTTTCATCGCACCCGCGCCGCTGCCACCGTCGCCGTCGCCGCAGGAAAACGGCAACATCATCTCTATTGGTATGTCGCCGACGTCAAGTGAGGCAGGGAGCAACCACCCCCTCCACCGTGATGATGGAGATAGTGGTGGTCGGGCGGCGGGGGAGCGACGCCCCCCTCGCCTCTCCGTACCGGTGCGACGCGATCAGAAATGGAACGGACTCGCATTGGCGTCCCCAGAAGATGAGCAGCCGCTGCGGGTCTCCGTCGTACCTTCCCCGCCTCCTGCGCCGTCGTCATCGGGGTTCACCTATCACAGAGGCGCACCGTACAACATTATCAGCAACCTTCCCTAGCAGAGAATTCAAAAAACAACAACACATGTTCATATATGGTGGAGAGAGGTAAAGCAACAAACAAAAATGCTGGTTGAGGAGCACTGTGGGTAGAAGGAGAAAAGAACGAAGCGATGAGGCGCAAGGTCTATCTCGAAAAGACGGCCAATCGCCCCAGCGTGGACGCCATCTCCTCCGCTTTCCCGACGCCGACGCTTACAGGCCCACCCATTTGTGAACGCTTGACAAACGCCCTCACCTCCACACAAACATGTACAGGAAAAGCGTAATTATTGAATCGCACCTACAAACGAGTTATACGTACATCATACTAGAAAAAGGGGGTGTCCGTTGCCAGCGAGGTCTGGCGTATCGGACAGCTTCACTTTCCTTGCTGCTGTTTTTTCTCTTTCTCTTTCTGTTATTTGGTCCGCTTCGTCGCCATTACGATGGAGTTGAAAACGAGAAAGACTCCTTCCAGTGAGCCGGCGCGTGTCCGGTTGTCGTAGAACACTTGCGATGGAGCATGAGCACGCATCTCTCGGCATTCTCTACCTGCCCTCTTGTCCGCCTCTATCATTTTGCGTTCTTCTTCTTTTTCTGTTGCTTTCAATCATCAGGTGCGAACAAGCAAATCCGACGCAAAGCAAGCGCCTAACGCACGTACGCCGGCAGCATCATCAAGTACCTCTTTCTTTTCTATTCCTTTTTTGTGAGACCGTAGCCGAAAACGTACACAACTGATACACGTGATCCCCCAATCCTCCTTACTCGGCGGTATAGTAACATAGACATTCCGCGCCACCAAAGACCAAGATAAACATAATCAAGCCAGCAAACGGGAAAAGGAGGGGAAAAAGAAAGCGAGGCATCGTAATTCTCCAACTGAGACCAACGCGAGAAGTTCCCTCCTGCTTACCAAAAAGAAAAAAGAAGAACCCTTACGCTTCACTTTTTTGTTTTGTACCCACACACGTCTTCCCGTGGAAGCAAACAACGCGAACCCGATAAAGCGTATTTTGGCTCCGCTGCAAAGCTACGTACGATCCTTTTTTCTTTTTGTTTCCTCTCCTCCGTGTTTTTCTCCTTCGTTCTCTTTACCTTCTCCACTTGAGCAGGCCCGTTTTGTCAAGGAGAGGAAAAGAAGAAAGAAGAAACGAGTATACATATATATCTCGAAGCACACGCACGGTGTGCTGATATACATATATATATATTTCAGGTGCCTGCATTCGTGTTCTCTTTTTATTCGATACACAAACATACACACGCACGATGCCGAAAGTTCCACGTACGGCAGACGTGGCGCGGCGCCTTGTCGACGCCTACGTGACGAGCCTGCGCCAGCACCTCCCCACTTATTGCATCCGTCAGTTGGACAAGCTGCCCGGCGCACCGGAGCATCAGCTCACCCGACTACGCCAGTCCTACCCGGGGACTCCGACGGAGCTGCTGTACTTTCTGCAGCGCGTGAACGGGACGTGCTGGGAGCCTTTGGTCGCGCCTCCTGGATCGGCGCCCCCTTCCGCATCTGCCGCGGCTTCTGCTGCCGCTGCTGGTGGGGAAGACGCAGCTGCCGCTGCGTCGGGAGGGTGTGTGTCCACCTCCACTGCAGCCACAGCAACAACACCCCTTGCATCATCATCTTCTAACACCTCCGCTGAGCCAAATAAAGCAGCAAGAACCACGGCAGCTGCGACGGCGTCAGCGACCAAGCCCAGCGCAAAAGCCACCACCACCGCCGCCGCTGCCTCCATCGCCTCCGAGGCAGCCGCCTTCATCAAATCCACCCTGGCGAAGAAGGTAACCGGCAGCGCAGCCCGGCCGCGGCGCCTGCCACACTACGTCGCGCTGCCGATCCTCGGCTCCGCCTACACCGGCTGCCCCTACTATCTCAAGTCCGTCGAGCACATGCTGCTGGCGGAGCAGCAGTTCCCGCCGCCGTCGGCCAACTTGCCGGATGAAGGGGAGGGCTGGGCACCGCCGGCCACATCGGCGACAGCTTCTACACCTTTGACGACGGCGTCTCCTCCCCCCTCCGCAACAGCGACGGCGGCTGCGCACGAAGGCGGGCTGTCCGATGCCGCGGTGGCGGCGGCAGGCGTGCAGCTCAACACGAACACCATCGCCTCCGTCTTTGCGGGCTACAAGATTCTGTACGGCGCTCCGCCGTCCTCAGATGCGAAGGCATCAGCAGGAACGGCGACGTTAACAACGGCTGCCGCCGCTGGGGAGGCGGGGAATGCGGCTGCGCCGACGATGGAGGTCTCGCCGTCGACAAATCCTGTAGCGGCTGTGAGTGATGCTGCTGCGAAGACGCAAGGTGATGAGAAGGTGGTCTATGTGGACCCACGCATTGACATTCACGCCAACTTTTATCACTGGCTGGTCTTTGCCGACAGCGTGCAGCCCCATGTGCGTGACCCAGTGCCTACAATTCCGGATGCTGATCCCGCTAAGGTAGCCGCCGCCGCCGCTGCTGCTGCTGCCCCCTCCGCGTCTGCTCCGTCTAATGATGCTGACAAGACTTCCGCAGCAAACGCAGCGCCCACCGCCGCCACGAACACCTCTACTGCGACTGCTGCTGCTGCTGGCACTGCGGCGAAGGCGGCAGTACCTGTGAAGGTGTTCGCGCCTTCGCGGCTGTACATTGACTTCAAGCCGGTGGAGCTGCAGGGAGGTGTGTACGGGCAGGTGATTCAGTTTATGCATGGGCAGCCCAGCAGCTTCACGGTGATCGCGAACGACTTTGGCAGCTACTTGAAGTACATCATGAGTGAAGAGTATGATTTCACAAAGGAGCTGGAGGACGACGAGGACGATGAGGAAGATGACGGGGAGACAGATTTGGTGACGCCGAAACCTCCGAAAAGCGAGTGAGAACACGGAGAGACGCGTCTGCTGCCTCCGTCACGGATTTAGAAGGGGCGTTCATGCGGAAGAGACGGCGCGTTCGAAGTGCGCGTCTTCGTCTCCTCTTCCAACACTACGCGCGCAGAAACGGAGGTGAAGCAGCGGACTTCAAGTGTGGTTTTTGTTTTCTATGGACTGTCTTTTGTTTGGTGTTGTTTCTATCGCCGTTGTGTTGTGCGAGCACCGGCGCCGTTGCGCGCGTGCCGGTGGAGACGGATTTCCCTCGCCTTTCTCTTATCTGTTCTCCTTTTTTTTCTTTGGTGCTTCTCATCGAGTCTTTGCATGCTTGACAAATGGGCGGCTTCTCTGGGGGTTGACTGGCGTGTTGAAAGAGAGAAAGACCTTGTGGTGTCTGTGATGCTGCCCGCTTCCCACAAGAAAACAACGCAAGACAAGAACAACAAACAACACAGAAAAGCCCGCCACGGCCCAAATGCGTGAGCGCTTGCGGTCGCACCGTTTTCCAACTCCGCGTCAACGCCGGATGCTGAAATGCCTGCCACCTGTCTCACGTCGTGCCGTGATGTGCGCCTCTTGGGCCTTGCAGAGACACCACCGCCAGTTTCTGCTGCTGTTCAGCGTTGGTGAGAACGAAAAAACGCGGTGATTGATTTTCTTTTCGTTCTGTGGCGTCCAACTGCTCTGCCTGCTTCACGACTCCCTTCACTGTCCCTCGCACTTTCCCCATTGCTTCCCTCCTCTTGCCATGTTGCTGACGTGCTTGGTGGCGTACACCCAACCGAAACTGCCATTCACGCGCATTCCATTTCGGCAGCCATCAACAAATAGTATTCCCACAAAAGGAAAGTAGTAGCTCCCTTTTACTATTTTTATTATTTCTTCTTTCTCCCGTCGTTTCTTATATTTCTCATGCCTCGTCCGTTTGGTGTTTGGGCTCCGGCCACCACCCTCGCTGAGTACCGCGCCCGCATTCCGAACCCGCTCGCGTACAGCTTCAAATGGGTGTACTCAATGAAGAAGGAGGTCTTCTACCCGCCGGAGGCGCTGGCGCACTTCAAAGATCCTCAGCAGTTCCGCGACGCCGTCGACACCGTCGTGGCGATGCGTGTGTCGGACAAGATCTTCGGAGAGGGCCAGAAGCTGCCTCGCCACCCCGTCATCCTACTGGCCATCGTTCTTGCGGTCCACGGCACCATCATCTACAGCGGTCTCAAGTACTACTACGGCACCCACATGCCGGCGAACAACCCGACGTGGCGCAAGACCGTCAACAAGGAGTGGGAGGAGGCCATCAACAACTCCCCGTGGGACCACATGTCGCACGTGTGGCAGTACAGCGACGAGTACGCGGCCGTGCTGGGCGATACCGCCGCGCCGGGTCGCCGCAAGTTCTACATCCCTGCGTAAGACAGCTTTTGGTACGCGCTTTTCTTCTTCGTTTCTACGTGGATGCCTTCCCGTCGTGCACGCAGGTACGTACAAGAAGAAGGAAACCCTCACACGCCGTTCTTTTCTGGTCCGCCCCCGTCTCATTCGCGCTCGCTTGTCTGCTCATGTGAGGGGCGAACCAGACTTGTGTTCTTTTGCTTCTTTTCGCAGGTGTGTAGCGGCGCTGCTGTGTGGGGGTTTTGGGTGCTGTGGTGAGGCATTGAGACCGACTTTGATGATGGAGTCGACCGGCTCTCTTGGCGGCGCAAAAAGACAACGTTTTTATTTTTCACCCTTTTTTCCTAGGAAAGAGAAAGTTCGGTGCCTATTCGCGGCTGCGGTGATCACCACAGTTGGCAGTCTGCCGTGGGGAAGAGGGCGCAGGCGACAAAACGAGATGCACGTTCTCTCTTGACCGCAGCGACGGCAGAGGACTGCTAGGTCAATCAGCCAGTGCAACTGGCACCCACTCACGCACCTGCAAAGAAAACAAAAAAAAAGGGCTGAAGATAAAAACCGAGTTCTTTGTGTTGCGCGGTTCAGTACAATAATCTCTCTTTTCTTTTTTCTTTCATTAGTAGGAAAACAGGTAGCCGGTTGGGTGTGTAGTGGCGTGTTCGTATGCGTGCGGTTGCAAATGAATCCGTGAGTGTAGTTTCTCGGGTTTATATTGGGGCCAACCTTTTTTGTCATTGTTTTCATTTGCCACGTGCTTCCTCGTGCGCTGGTGATGCGTGGTGCAGAGAGAATCTACATGGATGTGGGCTGTTCCATCGAAGAGGTGCCCTTAGGACACACAGCCGCGCATCGGGACACAAGTTTCGGCTATCCGTTGTGTAGTACTCCCTTTCTTTCCCCTCTCGTTTCTGTTGTCGTGTCTTGTTGGTCCTCCCCCTCTTTCGCTGATCTTGGTCGATTTCGTACTATCTGTTTGTTTTTTTCCATGATGAGGGAACGACAGCGAAGCGAGTGGTGGGTAAAGACCGGTGAGAAACGGTGCTCTGTGAGTGGTGGTGCGTGCGTCTGCGTGCGTCTGCGTGTGCGTGACGGCAACGAACTTTGGATGTCGTGTTTTTGGAGCTGATGAAGGAAGGAAGCGTACTCCGTTACAGCTCCCCCCGCCCCGCCCACGCGCTCCTACGCAGGTGTACGCGTGCCACCGGTACAACAAAAGGAAAGGAAGGTTGAAACAAGGTAATTAGAAGTCCCTTTTTTTTTGCTTTCATATTATGTAGTTCTTTACTAGTTTTCTTTTTTCTTCTTCGCTCCGTTTCTCTTTTCCCTTTAATTTGTTTTCCTTCGTCGACTTTTGTGACAGTATATTTAGGGGTTACGTCAACCACACAAAGCAGAAGAAAAATACAGTAATTCTGTCTGTCTCTTTCTCCCCCTCTCTCTCTGCAGACGCGAGTTTCGTCTTTGATAGTCGCTGCTCGGCTCTTGAGAGCTGCCTTTTTGCTGTGAAGGCGTCGCCGAGAGGAGGGGGGAGGGGCAGGCGGCGAAGAGTTGCGATGAAGCGTGAGCCGCGTGTTTCTGCCTTGCTGCTCACGCGTGTCAACGCTCATTGGCTTTTGCTTTTCTTCCGGATTGCAGCGTTGCCTTCGCCACTTCCAAGGCGTGTTTCCTTCTCGCACCAGGCGCATGCGATGACGAACTCCTGGATGGCGAATCCCTTGACGCCGGGAAACGGCGCGGTCTCGCATTCAGTGCACGCACATCGCATCCATCCTTACTCTTCCCCTTTCCTTACTCTTCCCCCCTCCTCCCCCTGTGATTCGTAGTTCCTGGGGCGCCTACTCGCAGCAGTACCACTTTTCCCTTCCTTGCCAGATTGTTTTTGCCGCCCACCACAACACAACCGGCCCCCTTTTCCATCTGTGCTTCGCTACGAGCATCGCTCTTGCTCTCTCTCTCTCTGCCGGCCTTTCTCCTCTTCACACACCGACCCCGCGTGAGTCCATCTATCCGTCTACCACCGCCATCATGTTGCGCTCTACGCTTCGTTTCCTGGCGATGGCCCCCAAGGTCACCCACATCCAGGATAAGCTGCTCATCAACGGCAAGTTTGTCCCTGCGGTGTCGGGCAAAACCTTCGAGGTGGTGAACCCGGCTGATGAGACGGTGATCGCGAACGTCGCCGAGGCGGACAAGGCGGACGTGGACATCGCCGTGAAGGCCGCCCGTGCCGCCTTCGAGACGTACCGCATGTCGGAGTGCCACTGGCGCCGCAACACGATGCTGCGCCTGGCGGACATCCTCGAGAAGAACAGCACGGAGATGGCGGCACTCGAGAGCCTGGACAACGGCAAGCCGTACGATGTTGCCCTGAACAGCGATGTCGCCTTAGCCGTGGACTGCTTCCGCTACTACGCAGGCTTCGCGGACAAGGTCGATGGCTACGTCCCGCCGCGTGGCGGCAACTTCCTCGCCGTGGTGAAGCGGCAGCCCATCGGTGTGTGTGGTCAGATCATACCTTGGAACTTCCCGCTGCTCATGGCAGCTTGGAAGGTGGCCCCTGCCTTGGCCTGCGGTAACACCGTCGTGCTGAAGCCGGCGGAGCAGACGCCGTTGAGCGCGCTGCGCCTGGGCGAGATGACGTTAGAGGCTGGCTACCCGGCTGGCGTGGTGAACATCCTGCCCGGCTTCGGTGCCACGGCGGGGGCCGCCATTGCGAGCCACATGGACGTCAACAAGGTCGCCTTCACCGGCTCGACGATGATTGGCCGGGAGGTGATGCGCCTGGCTGCGGAGAGCAACATCAAGAAGGTCTCGCTCGAGCTGGGCGGCAAGTCAGCCCTCATCGTCTGTGAGGACGCGGACGTCGAGCAGGCCGCGCAGGTGGCCACGATGGGGATTTACTTCAACGTGGGTCAGGTCTGCACCGCCTCCTCGCGCATGTACGTGCACGAGTCTGTCTACGACGAATTCGTCTCGCGCCTGCGCAAGCACGCTGAGTCGCGCAAGATCGGCGCGGGCAACAACACCGACAACAACATGGGCCCGCTTGTGTCGAAGAAGCAGCATGAGCGTGTGCTGTCTTACATCGAGGCCGGCGTGCAGGAGGGTGCCACGGTGGTCACGGGTGGCGGCAAGGTCGGCGACAAGGGCTACTACGTCCAGCCGACCATCTTCGCAGACGTGAAGGAGGACATGAAGATCTGCAAAGAGGAGATCTTCGGTCCGGTGACGTGCGTGATGAAGTTTAAGGACATGGACGAGGTGGTGAAGCGCGCCAACGACAGCATCTACGGCCTGGCCGCTGGTATCTGCACGCGCAAGATGGACACGGCCATTCGTTACGCCTCCTACCTCGATGCTGGTACGGTGTGGGTGAACTCATGGAACAACTTCGACGCCTCGGTGCCCTTCGGCGGCTTCAAGCAGAGTGGTATTGGCCGCGAGCTGGGCCGCGGCGCAATTGACCTGTACACGGAGACGAAGGGCATTCATTTTGCCCTGGAGGGTCCTATTGTCAAGCCTTAAGGAGGGAAGGCAAAATGGTGTGAGACTTTGTTCTCCCCAGCGACATCGACCACTGGCTGACACACACACACACACCTCCCTTGAGAGGAGGTGGCAGAGAACCGTTGAGACGAGGGTAGCATGGGGTGCGCAACATCCTGCTAGCGTTATATATATACCGATCAATTCGATTCATTGTTGATGCCCTATTCACTTTCGTTTCTGGCGTGCCTGTGGCTTGTGCGTACGTGTGCGGCCGGCATGTGAGGCTCATTCGTTTTTTTGTTCTTTCCTCTTCCTACTTTTTTCTCTTTTTTTCTCCTTTGTCCATCGTAGCTGCATTGTTCTCGCTCGCGCTCTTCTTCCACTCTCGCACTTCTTCTCACTTTGACCCCTCACCATCTGCGTAAATCACGGCCCCTCTCCTAAAACAACGGCAACCACAATTCGTTCCATCGCGGTGGCGGGTGAGGCGGGGAGGGGAGGCGGCAACAACAAGCGTCGATTGTGGGTTCGCTCACTACCTTTGTTGTTGTTGTTGCTGCTGCTGTTGATCTTTTGCTTGTCTCCTATGTGCTCTACTGCGGCGACGCGTTCGAAGAGGAGAAATTAAAAAGAAATAGCAGCGAATTAAAAACCGAAGCTCTCTTTTTCCTTTCTCCTGTTCCTTTCTATTATATTTTGTATCCTGTATATATATATTTCCAAAGCAGCTCCGTCACCCCAATACACGAAAGGACCACACGCGGCATGCTTCTCTTTCCCTGCCCCTTTCGTGTTGATTTGGTGCCTTTGCAGCTGCGTGGGCCATGACACGTCGGTGTGTACTCCATGTTGTCTTCGTCGAATTTATTCTTGCTCCTTTTTTGCTTCTCCTTCAGAAGTACGAACTGTGCACAACCGTCAGTCACCACATACAAATATATATTCTGATGTTATGTTCGAGGTTTTTTTTTCTTACCTTTTCGTTGTTGTTTAGCTGATAGTTGCTTTCTTTTGTTTATCATTCTTCCTTTTTTTTTCAGGTAGGGGCTTTCCTGCATTTATTCTTCTTTTACTGTTGATCACAGGGCTGGCTCTACTCAACAAGCAAGCGTTACCTTCTCTCTCTCTCTAAATTATTATTATTTTTGGTTCTCACACACCATGTGAAACTGTTAACTAAAGCGAAATACCAAACACAACAGGTTCTCTCTCTCGTATTTCTGCATTTCTGTATTTTGTAGTGTAGAACGACAGCGGAGGGGCAAGGGCAATGATGAACACACACACACACACATATACAAGTGAATGTGCGTAGCTGCTTCCATTCCCTTACAAATTCAAAAATAGCGCACCGATTGGTACTAGCTTGTCGTAGGAGTGAAGCCAGTGAGCTCCGTCAGCCCCTCGCGGAAGCGTGGAAACAATGTATATATATATATATATATAAGTATTTTCAACGGAAAAAGGTTTGGCAGAAGTGCCTAACACCGTGTCCGAGTCGTAAGTGATCTCTAATGCATCCCTGCGCAGTTATGCTTCGACAATTTTCCTCCCCAACCTTCATCATTGTATCGCTGACGGAAAATGATAGCTAACAAGTTTTAGGTGAGTAAGAGTGTCCAAGACCGAGCACTAAATACTTTAACGGTATACTATCAACACTCACATTCACAAAACTTGCACAAAATGTCCTCACCCCCGGACGCACAGATTCCATTCTCGGCGGAATGCGAGAAGAGGCTTAAAATCCTTGAAACACATCGTGCAGTTTACACAGAGGTGGAATACAAAGAGGAGCGAAGGAAAATTCTCGCCCTTTTAACGTCGCCTCCCCAAACGACAGTTTCAAACGATGTCACTCTAAGCAAAACGGTCGCGTCCCACTGGGCCGAGGAAGCCCAAAAAGCCCTTTACCCTTGGTGGTCCCACAAAAAGAAGGCCGAGAACCGCCAGGCGGTGATCGAGACACAGTTCACAAAGGGAGAACACTGGGAAAAGCTGAAGGAGAGTTTCCTGACAAACGCCAGAAATAAGGAGCTGCCGGCGATAAACGTACTTATCGGGCATTATCTCATGTACGCTGAAAACCTTGAGGCATCGCGCTACATCTTGATGTACATGCTCACCAACTACACCTCACAAGAGTGTGTGGAAACACACAATTGGTACATTGCCAAGTTATGGGACGAAGGCACGATGATCTCTCGCGGCGAGCAGATTGCCGAGTTGGCGTATCCCCTGTTTCCGGCCTCCATGAATGAGCTGAACTCAAAGCTGATCCGGGCGCAACAAAAGACGGGGACCACGATGGCGGGAGGAGGCGAGGACCCCGTTAAGGACTTCTACAAAAAACACGAAGAGGATGTCCTGCACGGTGGAGGCTACATTCCTGTCTACGATGCCCAAGGAACCCAGGTCGGAGTGGGTGACCTTGCCGAGTTGGAAAAGCAGCTCAACACGTTCACAGAACAGATGCATTGCAACCTGCAGAGGATGAACAAACAAATTGAGGACGTCAGAAAACAGCCCACTACCCAATCAACATACGCTCGGAGCTACACGACACGTGGAGGCATGAGGGCCTACAGCGGCCGAGGTCGTGGTTACGGTCGGGGTGGATACCGTGGCGGCTTCAGAGGAGGAAACATGGACGAATGCATGGAAGGCGAGGACGAGCCAAAAACCGTGGCAAAAAACTGAGGCCGGGCTGTCATTTGGACAGCCCAACAAGAAGAAAGACAGAGCAGGATGTACTCAGCGGTGGTGATCTACTAGAAGGGACAACGACCAACCTGGAATTAGATAAACTACTCACGCAGTACATGCCTAGAAAGAGGTACATCAAGTGCACGAGGTTGTTTAGCGTTACAAAGGATCGAGTAAAGGCAGTGGTAAAGCAGGTGCGGGAGACCCGGGAGAACTTCTATTTCCCACTCCACACGAGACACCACTGGCTGGCGGGTATCCTGATGCTGGACAACGACCCCACGCAGTTGCGACTCCGAGTTTTTGACTCCGCTCCGTCGCACGTGGTCCGAAAGGAGGTAAAACTCGCTTACAAAAACATCGACCCTACCATTCAGATTTCGTTCGTGAAGTGCACACGCCAGGAACGGAACAGCAATGACTGTGGCATCTACATGCTGGCGCACATCTTCTCCGACGCCATGAAAGAGCGCATTGTTGATCCCACAACGGCCCCGGCCCGAGTCCGGCCTTTTCTCTACAAGGCTCTGAAGATGAAGCCAGGTAAGAAGGTCTTCTTGGAAAACCTGCGTAAGCTCCTCGGCGAGCGAACGGCACAAAAGACAACGACAACGAGCTGCGTGATGAAAGGAGGCGCCTCAGACTCGGACGAGGATGACATTCTCTTGCGTGATCTGGTGGCGGAAAGGCGGTGCGACGCAACTCGCAGAGCGGAACAGGACGAACGAACCCAGGAGATTCTAGACGAAGCGGAGCAGCACAGGGAAGCGCTGGTCCGAAGGAACATGACAGGCTTCATGGCCTCGGTGGCGCTTCACAGGCGGTGCTTGGGGGTGAAGATCGCACTCTCGGTTGACGCGCTCAGTATGCGAAAGCTACGGATGCATATCGAAACTGATGACCCAAATCAAATTCTGGAAATGCTCCCGACGGCTGTCCACCCGTACCGGGGTGAGGTTGCTGAGGAAGACGCGGCGGCCCGCCCACAGGACGACCCGTACATTCTCCGGAAGACGGAGGACGGGGCACTGCCGCGAACCCTGCGAGGGGTACGTTTCGTACTCGGGATTACAACCAGAATACAAGAGACCACACCGGCCACACAGCGAGGGAACTCCCGACCGAGGTCCTCCCCCAGTACACCGCGCGACGTTGAACCGCGCACAAACACATACTTCGCACTCACGGAAATCGCAGCAGAGGCGCAGTGGGGCTTGTACATGCCAACTGCAGAAACCCCACCAAGTGCAGAGGAAGTACCGGATCGAGCGCGCCTTTTAAACGAAGAGGCACCGGGTTTAAACGGGAGGGGCAGTCGTCCGCGTGGGTACGTCTGCCCCCGTCACTGGCGTGTTTACGCTGGAAAACCCGCGAAGACGTCGCAAGCAGCCTGGGAGAAACTCTCGCCGCACACACGGAGGCAACACCGAATCGCGATCGAAGATCTGGCGAACATGCCACACGACCTTCTGGCACTCGATCTGGCAGCCGCGGCCATCAGAATCATACACAGGATGGCGAAGCTGCGGAAGTGGAAGGCGTCCACAATAGTGAGCAAGTTTGCAACGATGCACGGAGCGCTGATGCACTTGCCCCTCTACACGGACCAGCCACATCCGATCAACCTGAAAGAGTCACCAGAGTGGACGTCGGCTTACGGACGGTGGCACCAGCTGATGAACAGCGACATCCCAAACCCACCACCGTTTATCCTGAAGCACCAGGTGGACGCCGCTGCGTACCAGCTCCTATCAGATCCCGAGGCTCGCCTCTTCCTTATGATGATGTGGAGTTTCGCAGCGAGGCCAGGCGACATCGGGGGGTTGAAGCCGACGGACGTGCACATGCAGACCCCCACTCGCGAATCGTACCCAGTGGGCCTGACGTACAGGAAGGGAAAGGCGACACATTTCCGCGGTCCCTACCCGGTGGCCTCGCACCTCAGCAGGCAAGACGGCGCGCAGCTCGCGCACCTGTTGTCTCAGCGACCCGCGAACAGTCCCCTGTTCAAGGATCCACCGGCGATGAAGAAGAAAGTGCGCGCAGCGCTGAAGTCAGTGGTCCCGGAGCTGGAGTTGGCGTCGTTACGGAAAGGAGCGGTACACCGCCTGGCGAGGGCGAAAGTGGCGGAGGAAGACATCATGCGCCTGACGGGCCACACATCCGTCATCACGTTGAGGCGATACCTCAACTATTCGGAGCAGCCCACCCGGGAGGCCGCAATGGCGCAGGACAGCGCCTCAGCCCTCCTCCGAGACCCAACGCCTTAGGTCACTCACGCCCCTCGTGGCATGAAATGGGTCTGTCGATCAGCGAGCTGCACGACGAGATCCGCCGCATGCAGGGACTCCCCCCGGGACAGATACACGGAGACCCCTCACGCTGGCCACTGCACCTGAAAGACGTGACGCTGGCGGATATTCCAGCCATCAAGGCGATGCCTTCGGCCAAAACTTCAACAGCCGTTGACCTCAACCGAGCACTCGAATACCTCGAAGAAGGTATCTTCAGGTTTTATCACACGGCGAGGACAATCTCGTCGACGAAAATGCAGCAAGACGACCTCCTGATGGCGGTACGGAAGGGGAAATTCGAAAGGTGCCCTGTGGGTTTCGAACAGCCATTGGCGGCAGACACGCATTCGATGGCGGTTTTTTGGGTACCAGAGCACAAGGGCAGGCGCAGGTTAATTACGCAGCCAGCTCTGAACGGACCCGTTAGAAAGGAAACAGTGCCGAAGATCCTGCGGCCGTCGCGTCTAGGCATTCGACAAGACTTGGCGGCGGCACGGTATATGTTTCAGATCGATTTCGACGCATTCTACGAGGCCATTCCGCTTCCCGAGTCGGTTCGGAACTTCTTCGTTTTCCGCGTGCGTTCGCAATTCTTCCGTTGTTGCACTTTGCCCACAGGCGCACGTTGGAGCGTGGCGGTGGGGCAGGCCATCACTTCCAAAATTGTTGACATTGATACCCCCGTCTTCATCCACACCATGATCGACAATATCTTGATAGCGGGAAGGATAGGCCAAGAAGGAGCATTCTGCAGTGCTGTACGAAGGATAGTAGAACGGATCAAAACCGCTCGTTTGAAGACGACCCCGTCGACGGAAGAGGTAGAAGCGTTGTCGGACGCGAGGCTGCTGGACCTGGCGAAAGGCCCCAACACTTTTCTGGGGGAGGAGTACGAGTGGAGAGAGGACCGCCGGGTGGTGAGAAACTCGGTGAAATCAGTGGCAAAGCTCAAGCTGGCGTTGCAAAAGACCGCGTACACAAATCGCCAGTTTGTCAGCATGATCGCGTTGATTATGTACATGCTACACACGACACGCCTCAATCCCGCAGGATCGTACTACCTCATGTCGGTGTACAGGGGTATCTTCGCGCAGGTGGATAGAGGGAGACTGTGGGACGAACCGTTGGCTTTCGTGTCGGAAAAGGCTAAGGAGGCGCTGGCGACCCTGGGAGAGAAGCTGCTCCGCAACGATTGGTGGGACATAGCACCCCGAATCGCCACCCCGATGGATGACAGCGCGTATGACCTGATCGTGTACACGGATGCGTCGCGCATGGGTTGGGGAGCTATTCTGTCGTGGAGAGATGGAACGACTGAGAGCATGCAGCAGCGTTGGTTGTCGGAAGGCCAACCAGTAAATGAAGAGGGCCTACCTGCAAAAGGGCTTGCAACACATTTTGCGGCAAAGCATTCGGCACACAGCGAGCCCAGAGCAGTCGGATGCATATTACGGGAGCTACGAAGAGAAGGTATACCACGTGGAACTCGAAATGCCATCGTCACGGATCACAGCGCCATCGCCTACGCACAGCGTCGGCTGAACGGTTTTGGGGGCATCGGAAGGGGTTATGCCTTGAACAAGCTGTATGAGCAGACTAACCAACTTTTTCACGAAGAAGGTGTGGTCGTTTTGTTCTTCTATATCAACGAAAAGAGTAACCCGGCTGACACCTTCTCGCGGAACTTTGGGGCTGACGTAGAGGAGGGGGTGCTGAGGCGTCTCATAGACGGGCCTAGCCTACCGCAGTTAATCCAAACCGCGGCTTTTGGGTTGGAACGCGCAGAAGTGCGCACTGTGGGGTTCGAGGCTTCCCGGCCATAAAAGGAAAAGAGAAATTGAAATTTCCGGAATGGGCTCGTCCGCCCAAATCGCAAGAGCATCGTGAGATGGTCACGACAGGCAGGAAAGCCCGTTTCTTCTTGCCCCTTCATCCTCCGTCCGTAGCTCCAGCAAGACAAAAGAAGAAAAACAAAACGAAGGGGCAAGGAGGCCACACTATTACGGTTGTTATATTTTGTATTCTCTTCTCTTTCGTTGCGCTCACGATTTGTTTCCGTTTCGGTCGGTCTTCACAGAAGACACAACAGGCTGAACGGGCGACGAAGAATAAGGAAAGGACAAGAGAGAATGAGCGGTACTCAACAAGAACAGACACCATAATTTTCTTCTTCCCTCGTCGCAGGCGATGCTTTGTCGATTCTTTTTTTTTGTTGTTTTGCGTTTTTTTCCTCTTCTTCTTTTTCCTTTACAGCGGAGCTGATCCGCTTTAGCAGTCATTTTCGAATGTACATGTAGGAACCTCGCTTCTATCTAGGCTTGCGTGCGCCACGACTTTACGTTCTTATTCATGTTCGGTTTCTTGGACACTATAAAGTATCGAAGGGAGAAATAAACAAGAGGAAAAGTCGAACAAAGAAGACACGGCGCAAGCGCTTCTTTTCATCGCGCTCGTCAATTTCTGCCTTCTACACGCACCTCCTCCTCCTCACACACTCTCTCTGCTGCTCTGTCCCTCGTGCTCCTTGCGCTTGGTTGAGCGTTTCTGTTTCTGCTCGTATGCGAGAAACCTTCCAAAAGGAGAGAAAAAGAAAAGGCTGAGGAGGAGTGCGTGGGAGAGGGAATGATAGTCGTGAAGATGGAAGGAAAAGAAGGAAAATAGTTCAATAGCGTCAAACAATACACACAATCAACAACGATAACAATAGCTGAGACGATGGAGGACACAACCTCTTCAGGATGTGCTTTCTCAAAGGAAAACAAAGGACACGCATGCGAGCTGTCACAAGCTACTAGTGGAACTTTGCAAGCCGCAAACGAATCTTCTCTCTTTTGCTCCTCGAACTGCGCAGCGCAGCGGCTGGGAGGTTCGTACCGTTGGGATGGCGCTTCCTTCTGCTCTCCACGACTTATTCTTTTGTTTGTCTTCTCCTGAAGCGAAGCGCGAGTGCAGCGGCTTCCGAAGGAACAAATAATAATAATAATAACAACACAAAAAAAAGCACTTCCATGTTCTTCAACCGTCGCTGCGGTGACCACCTTCTTTATTCTCCCTCTTCCTCTCTGGACCACGAACCGTCTTCGAAAGCGCACACGCACACAAGCACGCACGCAAAAAGAACTGCTACCGCTTACGTCGATGGCAGCACCGCGCTGAAGCACACTCGTTTAAACGCCCACGCCATATTGATAGATTGTTTCGTCCTATTATTATTATTCGTTTCGCGAGATTCCATTAGCCACTTCACGAAGATCCCCCTCTCAGAAAAAACAACAAAAAAGAGCGGGAGGCTCGGCAAACACTTCGAGGCTCTTTTCTTAACTGTACAACGGAAGAAACAGGGAGGAAAGTGAGCACTCCCATCCATCTTTATGTGATATATCTATTAAAGCTCCTCTTCTTCTTTCAAGTTCTCGTTCCCTTCAGCATTTACCGTCCTGCAGCCTTTTTAGATTCTGCGCAGCAATTTATTTCTTCTCTCCTTCTTTTACATTAGATCGAACTGCAGAGGCGGTCTCTTCTTGTACCATATATATATGTATATGCGTTCTACCCTTTTCTTTTCTCCTCTCTCTCAACTAAAGCGAAACGGAGCATAAAGCGACAATGGAAAACGACGAGTCTCCTTTGATGCGCTCGTATCCTGGAGAGCGCACGTCTTCGTCAGGTGAGGCGGACGTCGACGTCGACAGGAGCGCCTCCACCGCCTCGGGCGTGGCAGAGTCCTCCGTCGCGACGACCACGACCATCGCCAGCAGCAGCCTATCGACCTTTTACCAAACTGTTGCTACAGAGAGGGTCGAGCACGACGTGGAAGACGCGCACGACGGCGGCGTGGCGACAGCGGCTCCCTCCCATTTTTCCTTTCTGCACCCCGCCGCTCCCGGCCCGTCTTCCTTGCCCTTTCCGCAGCGTCAGACATCTCTGCAGTCGCCTTTGCTAAGCTCAGGGGCACACAACCCTGTCGCTGCCCCGATGCCAGCGGTACCAGCAGCGCCGTCAACGGTGCCGCCACCTCCCCCTGCTGCCGACCACGGGCATGTCGTTACTGCTCCATCACCTACGGACCACAAAGGTGATGAAGGGCAGCGAAGGGACACCGAAGGCGAGTCCCACGGTGATGTTCCGTTAGCAGACGATGAAGATGGGAAGGAGGTACAGTCAGTGGAGGCGAATCCTCCTGCGATCAACGATGGCGTTGAACGGACCGTTCCGCCGCTGGCAGCAGTGCCAGAGCTGCCTCCTTTGCAGCGCCTACCCTCAGTACACGATCCCAACCCTCCTCAATTCTCTGCGAGTCTTGCGCAAGTCGATGAGGCTTCCGCGTCCCCCCATCAACGAAGCGTCGCAGAACAAAGCTCTCGTGGTGACGACCTCCACCACCGCAGCGAAAGCCTCAATCACGAAGGGCGCAGCAGTGGGAGCAGCAACGGCAGCAGCGGCCACCACAGTACAGATCCTACCTCCACCGCCGCGTACGGCTCTCCGCGTGGCCGCCCCGCTTCTCTCGACTCCACCAGAGAGAACGACAACGACAGCGACGATGGCGCCGTGGGTGAGAGCGAGGCTGGCTCTAAGCAGACGCGACGCAGCCACGACGAGGAGGAAGCTGCTGGCGGCTCTACCGTTGAAAAGAGGCGCGCCCCCATCGATCGCGAAGACGAAGACTACGAGGAGGGCTCCGCAGAGGAGGAGGAGGACGGAGACAAAGGAGAGGTGGATGTGGACGGCGACGAGCAGGGGAGCACCGAGATCACGGCCATCACGCAGCTGCCCGTGAGAGACGACGCAGCGAAGCGTAAAGCGCCATCCCCACCCACTGGCACCTCGCGTCGACGCCGTCACCGTCGCTCACAGCGCCGCCCGCTGCACGCCGGCCCACGAACCCCCGCCACGGCTCTTCTGTCCGCCCGCGTGGAGAAAACACTTGATAGTGGCAGTACTCAAAATAGAAGACAAGGTGGTGTTGGTGGAGGGAAACGTGCTGCTGCGGTGCCGCCGTCTTCGTCTCCCCATCGCCGCCGCCTTCAACTCGCCACGGCGGCCCCGCCGCTGATCGCCGTGGATGCCCCGGTGACGACGCACACGTTGGATGTGGCGTCTACCCGCTCTAGCCTGCCCTCGCCGACGCCCTCGGAGGTAGTGGTGGTGCCACCGAGTAAGATGGGGGGAGGAGAAGACCCGTCGCTCTACTCGCAGAAGAAAGGTAGAAGGGACAGTAAAGAGGAGGGGTTCGCCTTCCTGGGGTCCGTACCACTGCCATCCCGCTCGCCGAAGCAGGACCGCCACGGCAGCTGGCCCACGCCGCTCTTCTCTAGCAGCGACAGCGGAAATGACGAGGAGGAGGGCGGCACTCCGGCACCCCCGCCTCAGCCAGCTCCCCTTGCGGCTCCACCGGCGGAGGCCGAAGAAACGGTGGTGGGCGAGACGAGCGTCTTTCCTGTGCTCCACCGCACCCCAGCTTCCACCGTTGCGGCGATCACAAGCACACAGGAAGCGATACCCGCTTCACACGCGGCGAATGCGGACGCTCCACCGGCATTCATATCGGCTTCAACGGCAGCAGCGCTCCCGACTTTATCATCATCATCATCGACTCCCCCCGCTGCGTTGGTGCCGCTCTCCGCCACCGAGGAGGAGGAGGCCCCACTGTCAACAGATCTGCCCGCCGCCTCGCGGGCATCTGTGAAGGCAGCCAATAGCACCGACGTCACCGCTTCCGCACCGGCCACACCGCATCGGCTCAGCGCGGAAGACTTGGTTCCCCCATCGCCGTCGGCGGCGCTGCGCACATCACCTACCCCTCCAAGTCTCCCCCTTACTGTTGGGCTGACCATGACGAACGCGGTGGTGGCTGAACTGTCTCCGCCCCGCTTCTCCCCCGCCGGCTCGGTCGACGCATCCTTCAACGCTGCGACGAACTCGTGGACACTCGAGAGCGCCGGTCCGACCGGCCCACGGCTGTCGGTGAGTGAAGTCCCGATGCACTCTCTCATCAGTGGCCAGTCGCCGCTCACCATGGCCCGGTTTGCGAATCGCGGCACTGTCTCCGTTGACGGCAGCTTCCACGACGACGGCGGCGGCGATCGTGCTGGTCGATGCAGCATCCACGATGCGTCTTCTTCGTCTTCTTCCTATTCCTCATACTACTACTCGTACTCCTACTCGGGCAGCTCCAGCTACGGATCGTCTTCGAGCTACACGGGCTCGCCGCGCGCACCGGTGCCGACGCCGCGCAACGCACACGGCCCGACCAGCTACTCCTCCACGTCGCACAAGGCAGAACTGAGCATCACGCGGGTTGGCCTCGCCGACGACCTACGCGGCGCTGGGCGCGGTGTCAGCAGTACCAGCCGACATCGTGACGGGGGTGCAGGTTCAGCGGGGGGATACGGCGGTTTGGTCGAGCTCACCGCGTACGAAGACGTCGCACCGGACTCCGCGGTAAAGGCAGGTAAGGCGAGCAAGCTCAATTTTCTGCGAGGTTTGTGTAAGAAGCCGGCGGCGGAGCAGCGGCAGTGGCGCACGGAGGAGCGTGTCGTTCGTGGTACCGCTTCATCTTTGCCACATGCGCGACCTTCTGAAAACGCGCATGCGGAGACGGCGGCGCATGAGGGAGATACGTTAGCTGCGACAACAACGACCACCGCAACCACCTCCACCGCACCAACGGCGACACAGAAAGGCAATGGGCGGCACACAGCGCACACCGGAAGTACGATGGACATGGTGAGTCCGACGGCCTCGGCGGCGGTGGAGGGCGATGGGGAAGAGGAAAGAGACATGGTGGGCAGCTCGCCGGAGGGTGGCAGTGCGACTGAGGCGGCACGCGACCACTACAGCAACGACGCGAACGAAGAGGAGCAGGCGTCAGGCAAAGCAGACAAGGTGCTGCACCAGGTGGAGTCCGTAAACCAGGAACCGCCGGCGAATGTTGGGGAGGGTGTCGAACCACAAGAAGGTAGCATGGACATTACTACTAGGGATGTTGGTGCTGCTGCTGAGAAAAACAAGGAAAACGAAACCGCCTCCATTACATCGCAACTGCGCGATGCGCAAGACAAATTTGCAGACGGTGCCATGGTGCTAGCAGCACCCCCCGGTCACCCACCGCCACCACCACCACCACAACCTTTGCAGCGCGCTGCGGCTCCTCCCTCCTTCACCACACCCGACAAAGAAGCAAAAGTTTTGTGCGGAGGCTCGAGTGATGTTGTCGAAGACTCGTCCTCCTCAGCAGAACGTGATCAAGACGAACCGCAGCCACAGGATCTACGTCAGAGACAGGAGGCGGGCCCCGACGCAGAAGAGCTACCACCTTCCTCCACAACGACATCGTCCTCGAGCGACTTCGGCGACGCTGATAACTTGCTCACGGGTGCAGCTGTCCCGAGTAGTGAGAGCCCCTATGAAGCCGCTCCGGTCGCGGAGGGCAGCCCTACGATGCCGCCGGGTATGGCCGCAAATGCGGCAGAGGCAGAGCAGCTGGATGTAAAGGAGGAAGAGGAGAACAAGGCCGCCGTCGCTCATACCGTCCACAACGACGACGAAGACGACGGTGGCGGACCCGACCGTTCGATTGTAGCGGGCGCATCGCCGTCGTTGCCACCGCTCGAGCCGTTGAAGGCGTTTTACGTCTACGCGGAGGAGGCGCCGCGCTTTTCTGCGTGGGATGCCGAGCCGCCGATCCCGCACACAGACGCCGACGACGACGAAGAGCGAAGAGAAAAGGACGAGAGGTGGACGGACCGTTTACGCAGCGAGGCGACGGCCGCTGCAGCTGCGGCGCAGGCGGCTCTTCAGCAAGCGCTGTCTGACATGGCGGTGCACCCCCCACGACAGTGTCTCTTTGTGGAGCTTCACGGGCTGCAGCAGCTGTCTCGTACCGTGTTGTGGCCTCGTCATGCAAAGGTAGGCGCTTCTGGTACTGCTGCTGCTGTGCCGAACGTATCGCAGGATCACGTGCCGACCGCACAGACGTCTGGGGATGTGTGGCACGGAGACAGCTGGCAAGGAGACGCCCACAGAGGAGCGGTGCCTATCAACGGCGTTGCAGCCGCCAACGGTGCGGCAGCGGAGGATCCGGCGTGGGCGGAGGTGCGACTCGCTGTCTACTCGAACGATCGTCAGCGTCTCGTGGCGGCAGGGTCCATTTTTCAACTGCCGGCAAACGCGGCCGCCCTGCAGCGCAGCCACGGCCTCTTCGACAACAACGCCATCGCAGAAGGTGCTGCAGGCTTTGGCCGCGATAGCTGGTCCGATCTTCTCGTCTATCAACAGGAGAAGGAGATTCATTGTGGGGATGGAGGGAATGTGGGGCAACACGGCGACGATGTGTCCAATGCAACCATCACAGAAAGTGGACGCAAGAGCACCACCGCTACATCGCTGTCCGAAAATTCTGTCAAGGAAGTCGCCAGCGCCTTTCACACGGCCGCTCTGTATGTGCAACTGGAGGAACGCAAGGAGCGTTGGGTACCGGTGGAAGAGGAGACAGATGCTCAACCAACACGTGCATCTCCTCCGGCATCGACACGAGACGCTGAGGAAGCACCGGCGCCGCTGGTCGAAAGCGACACGAGCGTGAGCGTTGAGTGGAAGACGAACTCTGACGCGGACACCGCGTCGTCTCTGACGTCGCCGGACCCGCCCACCAGGCGGCCCACCAACGGACCGCAATCCGGGCAGAGTGGGGAGGGTGCCACCCTCACTCCTGCGGAGGAAGAGGAGGGCACAGAGGTGCACGCCGCTGTCGCCGCTGCCGTCGTCGAGGCAGCGCACGACGGAGACGAAGGGCCGCGACAGCCGCCGCTGCGCTTGGAGGAGTACTGGAGTTTTTTGGCCGTCTCCCCGCCATTGCCTATGGCGGAGCTTCGTGAACTCCCATTGGATGGACCGTCGTACGCCGTTCACATGACAATGCCTGCCTCTGTGCTGTGCGGGCAGGGTGCGGCACAGGAGACAGGGGTTGTGCCGTGTTGTGTACGCTGGGCAGTTGAGCCGCCACCTCTCCTTCCAAGTGAGTCACTTCCCGAAACGCAGAGGCGCGGCAGCAGTGTGTCTGTGTGGGCTTCATTGGGAGCTGCCATCGCACAGTACGAGCGCAGAAGAGGCGGGCTGGCGTTATGGGACGGTTACGGTCCGGCGACAAGCGACAATGCCACTCACAAAGATCACCCACGACCGCCGTCCCCTCCTCCGCTGACCGTGTTGTGGGACACCATCTGCACCCCCGCTGCAGCGCTACAGTGCCAAGAGGCGGACATGGAGGCAAACAAAACTCTCGCACCGCATCAACAACACTGGAGAAGCGGGCTCCTCGACGCCCACACAGTGAGCGCTCCATTCCCAACACCAAAGCCACAACGGCCCTCTGTGTGCTCGGTGCTAATGCGCTGCTCCGCTGCGGTGTTGCTGCCGCAGCCGTCCGTGCTCTGCTGCTCCGCATTTGACGGCGGTGATCTCGGACTGACCCGCACCTACTGCGTGCCAACGGTGCTCTCCGTCACGGGCGGTCTGAACGGGTTTGTTGGCCACACCACCGCAGCGGCTCGTGCGACCCTCGCGAGTCGCACGCCTGTAATGCGGTACGACCTCGACTTTCACGCGCTGCTCACGCGGGGCGAGGCGTCGTCGCTGCTGCTGACGGTGCGAAGTGCAGGGACGCCAGCGCACGTCTTCGGCTTTGCAGAGTTCAACCCGTTCGAAGACGCACAACAGTCGCAGCATCCACCGGGTAGTGGTAGCGCTGGTGGTGGTGGAGTGACGGACCTGTGGCTGCCGATGTATGCTCCTGCCGGGGCGGCTGTGACGGCTACGGCGTCGCAGGAGACAAGGATAAAGAGTCGTTCCTCGACTTCTCCTGTGCTCGCTGCTACTGATTATGGTAATGCTGGCGCCGGTGAAGGGATCCGGACTGACAGGCATTCCGTTACGGCGGGTGGTATGGTCCTCTCCGGCTGGCTGCACTGTGACGTGGAGGTCGTCTTTTGCAGTTCTCTCAGCGAGGCCGCGGCGCAGCGGCTGTGGAACGGTGCCTCGCACAGTCTCACCTCATTGGACGCCGCCGCCGCCGCGTCAGAGGCAGACGCATTTCCAAGTAATAGTGCTGATGTATGTGGCGAAAAGGGGTGGATGGACAATGTGGTGGACATCTGTGTGGTGGAGGCGGCGGGACTGCGGCCGCTGCGGGTGCGGTTTGGTGCCCCGTTGCCCCCTGCACCGTTGCTGCGGGAGGACGTAGCCAGTTTCGACGAGGCCGTGGCGGCGGCGCAGCGGTGCACGCACGTGTACTGTGAGGTGGTCCCTCTTCCCCGAGAGACAGTGCGGCAAGAACACCTCTTCAGTGAGAGGCACAATAACGCTGCTGCTGCTGTGGCTTCCCTGCACGGCAACAGACAGATCCGGGTAGATGACAGCTCCGCCCGCGGCATCACCACTCCACCGCTCCACTCCGCCGTTGACGCAAGTTCGCTCTCGCGCGCTTCTGAAGGGCCATGGAGCGCGTCCGTCAGTGCGCGAGGAAGACATGACGGGGAGCGAGCCGCGCACGTTGTCCTCTCCATCACCGCTGCGGTGGAGCACACAAACCACCCTCGGTGGCAGCACACTTTTCGTTGCGGCCTGGCCGCGCTGAGTAACCTGTGCCTGCGCGTGTTTGACCGTGCTGGGACCGGCACACATCAACGTGCGGAGGTTAAAGGTGGCGCGGACGCCGCACCTGCGAGGACCTCGGCTGCGAATCGCTCGTTGCTGCTTGGCACTGCGACGATGTCGCCGTGGATGCTGCGGCGCGTCCTCGCCAGCGTGTTCGATGGACCTGTACCCGGCGAAGGAAGCGCGTGGCTGCCGCTGCTGTGGACCCCGCCGACTTCGGCATCCGTCAGTTGGCGAAGCGGCGGTGTCATTGGTGGTAGTGGGAAGGACAGCGGCCGACAGCAACAGGCGTTTTTCCCAGCGGTGAGCAACGGCTATGTGCTGGTGCGGTGGCGACGGGCCTCGTCGCGTCCCCCACCACCTCACACTGTTTTCGCCGGCAACGACGCAGTGCGGGAAACGGCCTACTACTCTTCCGTCACGCGTCGCTGCCCACCGCAAAGGACGACTGCAGCAGCAGCATCGTTGAGGAAGTCTGCTCGCTCGCTCAAGTCAGGTGGAAGCGGTCGCCACACGCGTCGTCTCTTCACCTCGAGGCCAGGCGCGGTGTGCTTTCCTTCCGCGTGGTATCACGGAATCCACGCACGGCGGTCTTCGCCGAAGCTGACGTGGATGAGCCCAGAGGTGGCGCCGTGGCTGTGGGTGCATCGCCTCCGTCTGCAGTGGCCGTGGCTGCAGCACACCCTGGCGATGCGCGGCGGCCACGTGCGACTGAGTGTGCTGTACCTCGCTTCCACCGGTGAGCAGCGCGTGGTAGACCGATTTCTGCTGGTGCCGCTGTGGCAGCTACGGAGAGGTGGTGACCGCAGCGACGTCGACCACCACTACAGCAACAGCGAGGCGTCCCGACGATGCACTCGCACGGGACGGTCGCGTACGGGCACCGCAAACGTGGACGAGAACGGGGCTTTCTGCGCCGTGTCCGCCGCATCGTTCTCGTTGGATGCCCTTCAAGACCCGGCAGCGCCTGCGCCATCGCCGCTGGAGACGGCCTTTTGCCTCCCGGCCAGCCGGTGTGTGGAGTTCCAGTTGTGGTGGTGTCCCAACACCACGCCATTTGCGATGCCCATGAGCGCTACTTCTTGTCCACCTCGCTTGCTGGGCCGCGGTGGCTGGCGCTTCCCTTTTACGGCGGTGGACGCGTACAACCCCAGCGACGACAACAGCGACAGCGACAGTGACGGCGACTCGCGGAGTTGCACCGGAGAGGCCACCGACGGGCTCGACCAGAACACAGCAGCGTCTGCGTCTGTTTTGCAGCGCTTCTTTACTCCGCATGAGGCTGATGTGCGTCTGTCTGCGGTGCAGGGTGTGGACGCGCCACAGCACGTCGAGAGCGGCGTACTGCGGTGGCAACTATCATCCGTTCCGCGCCTTGCCTGTGCTGCATGGAGGAAAGCACAGGAGGAGGAGGAGGGAGAGGAGCAAACCCGCACAATGGCAGCCACGCAAGCTTTAGCTCCACTGCCACCACCGATAGCAGCGCCAGATCCGGCTGGGTATGCCGCTCGTGCTGGGTCTGCGAAGGACGCACCGCGGTGGCAGTGGCCGGACGTTGGCGTCGCCGCCTCCCTGCACGCGCGGGTGCACAACCTGATCTTGTTCCGCTGCGCCGACGAGGCAGCGGCAGCGGCTGCCGTGGGTAAAATGTACGTTGTTGTTGAGGAGCTGGAGCGCAGCGGTGCGGCCGCCAGTCGGCTTGCCGTTCGAGCATCAACAAAGGAAGCGTGTTGGCTTGCGCCGGAAGCTGTGCCGAACGCAGCAACGCCTCGTGTGCCGTACATTTGGTCAGGCAGCGATGACGTGGGCATCGGTGGTGATAGGGCTGGTGCGTGGTCGGACATGCGCAGCAGCACGCAGAGCAGTCGGTCACCGAGCTTCAGAAGGACACCGTCTCCTGCGGCCTCGATCCGCACGCATGAAGAGCGATCTGCACGGGCGATGCAGGGAAGCGCAACGGGTGCGGACGGCATCGGCGTCGCTTCACCAGCAGTAGAGTTGCGGTGGTCGCCGCGCCGCTTTGAATGGCTCAAAGACGATGTCCCGACTGTAGCTTTGTGGCTGTTGTCTGCGGAGACGAACAGCGTTGAGAAGCGTGAAGAGACGGAAGTGGAAGAACGTGTCTGGGGCGCTGTGCGGCTGCCTCGATTGGAGGCGTTTACTGCCAACGCCGGCGTGCTGTGGCTGCCTCTGTTTCGAACCTATGCAGCACCGTCTTCACTGGGTGGTGTAGGCGATGCGGAGCCTGAGGCGAAGGAGAAGAACGGTGAGGACGGCGACGCACACCGTAGCAGCGGGCGTGGCTCTGCGACTCGCTCTAACCAAGGCGCCGCTGGTAACGATGCGACGTCGCGCACGCCGGCGGTGGACGGAGGAGGCGGTGAGGTGGTTGTCGAACATGTCGGCTTTGCGGCTGTAAGTTATGGACACAACTTTGCTGCGACCAAGCTACCAGAGCAGCCGGAGGAGAATCAGCTGCGGAGGGGAAGTGCAGATGACGCGGCGCTCGCCGTCCGCGCCAGGATGTCGCGACTCTTGCTTGTCCAGGCAGGCCCTCTGCGCTGCCGGTACGCAGCTAGTAGTAAAACACGGCTGTATGCGGCGCAAGCGGAGGAGCAGACGAGGGAGACTGCAGACTTCGTGCATAGCACTGCGGCGTCCAATCGCTCTCATCCAGAAGGAACCCGCTCTGCTACGCTGCTACCACCAGCTGCCGCGGTGGGGGAGGGAAACGGCGTTTCTGTTTCGTACGGCGACAGCGACTTCGCCGTGGCGCCCTCCGCACCGGCAAGACAACCACCTCCGCCACTTCAAACTCCGTTGAACCCTCCTCCTTCCTCCCAGTTTCCTGCTGACGCGGGTTTCGCGGAGGTGCTTCTCGGTTTCGGAGAGTATCAAATGATTGTGTCGGTGAACAGAGCTAGGACGTGTTCCGACAGTTCCACACGCAGAGATCAGCGGACACCCTCTCCGCCGGTTGTGGTATTCCCCTGGCGAAGCGCCGGCCCGGACGTGCGTCCAGTGCGGGTACAAACGCGGGTTCCTGCGCTAGGAAGCAAAAGCATCGCGACAGCGAGCAGCAGGTTCCACGTACGCATCAGCAAAGAAGACGATGGGTACGCGCTCAACAGCGGTGCTCAGTGGGTGCCTCTCTTCATGGGACACAGCACCCTGACATCACGCCGTGTCAGTGTTGCTGCTGCTGCTGCTGCTGCTGCTACAGCTGGTGGCGATGGTGCGCCAGAACCGGCGGAAGGCGACTGCGTTGCTGGTGAGATACTCGTGCGGTGGCGCCTGGTGGAGCCGCCGCCGATGACGATGCCGGAAGGCGAACATCGTGCTCCTTCATCGGAGGAACAACGGCTGCATTGGTTAGTGGAGACGTACTGCGGCGGTGCTGGCGCTCCCTGTTCTTACGCGGTGTTTAACAGTCCTGCCACACGAGCATCAGCGCAGCATCCGTCCTTGAGGAGTGGTGGTGTGATGAGCGTTGCAACTGGTGGCGCAGACGGCAGTTGGGTAATGAGAGCCAGCAGCGGTAGCGAGACGGAAGGCAACGTTCGCGAGTGGGCGGCGAGCTGGCACACTGCCGCGGTGCCGTCTCGTGCGCCGTTGCAAGCGTCGGAGCTGTTCAATGTGCTGTGCAGGGCAGGACCGACACATCACCCCTGTGTGTATCTCCTCCTTTCCCGCATACAGCTGCAGTGCAGCGGCGCGCGTGTGCGAGCGTGGCGGGAGCTGATGAGACAAGACAACAACCACCGCAGCGGCGGTGTGGAGTACCCCTTCCGTTTGGAGGCGCGGATGGAGTGGCCTGCGGGCTGGCCTACGACGTGGCTCTGCACCGCGCCGCCGTCCCCAGCGTCTCCCCTCTTCGGGCACGAACACGAGCCAGGCACGGCGGATTCGTCTTCAAAGGAAGCACACGACAGGACCACTCCACACACCGGAACTATCGCGCTGTTCATGGACACCGTCGATGGCCTGTTCACGAGTGACGCGGCAACGCAGTTGCAGAGCACGACGAATGGTGCAGTGGAGCAGACTTTGACATGCACCTGCGCACCCCTCTGCCTGCCGCTGCCCTCACCGCAGCACATTCAGATGGCGCTGGGGCTGCCGGGGCTGGCCGCGCGCTTCCGTGTGTCTTTTCGTCTCTTCGCGCTGCGTCCACCTGCCCCAATTGTCGCCCAACCGGAAGAAATCATCGCAGATGCTCGCACAGAGGAGGCGAAGCGTGAAGAGGAAGATGAAGGTGCGGCGGAGGTGTGCCTTGGGGCCGGCGGTACCCCGCTGTCGTTCCCGCACATCACCCAGCACAACATTACATCTCTTCTCCCTCCCCCGGCAAAGGACGAGATGAACGGCAGAAGAAACAGCGGAAGCGGTCCAACGGCCGTCCCACAAGCCGACCCGCTTTTTCTATCTTGGCGAGCGCAGCTGTCGGAGAGCGTGCCGCTGCCGCGAACCTCTTCGCTCTCGGCCAGGGCCACACCAGCAGGGTCAGCTGTGCTTGAGGGATCGGAGAGTGATGACGAAGCTCTTTTGTCGATGTCAGATTCTGCTCTCCTCATGCAGGAAGCCAACAGCGACAAGACTCTGTTGCACCCTTCATCCGGGGCAAAGAGCAGCGGCCGTGGACGCAGGTATTCCGTCCTGGCCCGACTGACGGTGAAGCACATTGAAATGCTGGGTGTCGATGTGAGCCTTGCGTGCGGCGCGGCACAGCGTCACCGACAGGCGCTTGCCCCGGCTACCGTCGCGGTGATGGTGGGCGGTGAAGGAGAAGGGCGAGAAGAGGACGCGGTGGAGCGCACACCGACTCCTGGCAACGGCAACAGCAGTGGCAGCAGCACGCGTAGAAGGAAGGAGAGCGCACCGTTGGCGCCTTTGGCGAGGACGGCCGCACCGAGCGTTTTCCTCTCGTCCACCGTTCTGCTCACTCCCGTCCTTTCCGCGGATGCAGGAGGCGCCGATGCACCTTCCGCCGGACCACCGCCGGCCTCTGCTGCATCCGTGAGCAGACGCGACAGCCGGACGTGGACGTTGCTGCAGCGGCAGCGGCAGCAGCAACAGCAGCGCTACAGCTGGACCGCCGATGTTTGCGTGAGTGCCACGACGCAGCTCGTGCTGTACGTCCGCGTCGCCGAGGCGGACCTGCGCGCCGCTCGCGGCGAGGAGGTGTGGAGCACGGCGGAGCTTGCCAATTCGATGGAGGAGACAAAACGGCCAGGCGGATCGGCGCTGAATGCTGGGAGAAGCGAACTCGTTGCAAAGGCGATGTTTGTGCTGGACGCTGCATCGTGGGTACAACAGCAGCTGCAGCGGAGCAGTTCGACTGACGCTCAGCCGAGCACGCACGAGGTGCTGCTCGACTTGGAGAGCCTGACGGAGGGGCGGTGGAGGGGCCGGCTCTGGCTGGAAGTGGATTACCTCGCTGCCGACACCTTCCTGCTCGACCCGCGTGGCACCTTCTTGTGTACGAACGTTTGCCTTCAAGTCCGCAGCTGCAGCGGCTTCGTCGTCGGTGATGTGGCACTCACGCGCAGGGTCGAGGAAACCTATCACGCGTTGCGGCAGCGGGCGAAGGACGAGTACGAGCTGCGAGGCAGCATTCCCCGCGCACTGCGACATCACGTGAAAGAGGTGCGACACATGCGGCGCCAGTTGAGCAAACAAGGTGGCCCTCACGCCAGGGTGCGTCTCTCGTGTGCTGGGGAGGGCGCCACAAGTAGCAGTTCTTTCTCCTGGACCGCGCCGCCGTTTTATCTTCCCTCTGCGCGGTCACTCGTGAGGAGTGAACGTGGGGGAGAGTCACGCGAGGGCTCGTGGGGTGCTGGTGGTTCATCTGGCAAGGACGTGACCTCCGCATCTGCCTCAGGTCCGTTGCTGACGCTTTCACAGGTAATCGACTACCCGACGAGCGGCAACCGCACGGCAACCCCGACATCGTTTGAGCTTCGGTTGGTTTCCCTCGGAGATACCGACGACAGCACCAGTAATGAAGACGGTGATAACAGCGAAGCCGTTTTAGCTGTAGCTCAGGTCCGCCTGCCGCTGCTGCGCGCCGAGGAATCGTTGTCACGTGCGGCCTCCTACACACGGCACCTCTCCGTACCGTTGATCCTCGGCGCCGTCAGTGCGGCAGCACGGACCGGCAGCACAACGACAGTTAATACGAAGAGCGGCGAGCTGGTTCAGCAGCGCATGAAGATAATCAACACCGCCGCCAATGCACCGGGCACGCTGGCCGTGACGGCTACGTGGTCCGTGACACCGGCGCGCGGCGACACGTACGCGACCTGCCTCCTTGTGGAGGCCACCGGCGGCAGGTCCTCTGTGGGGGCCGGACATCGCCGTTGGGTGCTTCGCTGGGTGTACGTCTTTGAGACCTCTGCTCGCCCGGAGGTGGAGCACGAAGTGGACATGCCCCTCTCTCTGCGACCATCATCTCACGAGAAGACAGCACCGCTGCGGATGTCATCGCGCACCCCTCCCTCCGCCTCGCCTCTGCCTCGTGAAGGTGTCGGAAAGCACGCAACGGTTTTCTGGTCTGGTGCCACCACACGGCTGCCTCGCGTGGGATCGATGGGCGCCACCCTTCGCCGTGTGGAGCTGCTCGAAGCTACACCGGTGGCTTCCACCGCCTTTTCCGAAGTTCCGCCGACGGAGGACGGCGCGTACACGACAACCAGCCTTGCGGTGCTCAAGTGGACCGTGGAAGACGAGCTGCAACTGCGTGCAACGCGACGCCAGATGCGACAGTCGGGTGAGGATGCCTGTATGCGGCTCAACTTTGCGAGCAGGGCAGCGGGCGGCCGTCACGGCCCTCTCTACACGGTTCTACTGGGACTGTATAGCAGCAACGCCGTTGCGCAATACGAGTCGCATCGCCTGGCAAAGGCGATGGCGGCGGTGAATGCCACGTCCGCGACGACGATAGAGAGGGCAACCCGTGAGAGCCGCTTACAGAGCGAAGGTGCCTCCTCCGTCGCGTCGCTCGCTCGTTCGCACGTACCTCTTCTCCGTACGCAGGCGGATGTGAACGTTGCGGACTCGACGTACTCTGTAAAAGCAGTAGGATCTAAGGTGGACCATGCAGCAGCGGAAGTGGAGGGAAAGCGCAGCAAACAAGCAGTGGAGCAGAGGGGCGGTGTGGTGATGAGGGCGGTGTTCTTCCGCTGCGGCGACGCCGCGCTCTCGACGGCAGGACTGAAGACGGCAAACGACCTCACGTGCAGAATAAAGCGCGTTGCGAAGGGCGGCAGCGCCAAATTTCACACGAACAAAACTCAAGGAAAAGAGCAGCGGGGCGACGGCGAATGTGTCGTGCTTGACGCCGGCCAAGCAACGCGTGTGCTGCAGACACAAAGTTCCCCTTCTCAGGTTGAGGCAGCTGACACGAAGCCCTCGCAGGCTTCTGCCATGCACATCACAGCAACGTGGGCCCGCGCAGATGCTACAGGGTCCTTTGCGGTAACACGGCGCGCACAGGCAGGTTTCTCGCCAGCATCCGGCGCCATTCAATGGCCAATCCTAAGCTTGCTGCGTCTCGACATCCCCACCGGAGCGACGGTCAGGGGAGACGTTTTACATCCCTGTTCGTCTATGGCGGACATCACGAATGGCGGCGACAACGACGCATCCAGCGTTGCGGAGGCGCAGCTTTGCGTAGAAGTCTGCGTGCGCGACGGCGACAACTGCGTCCGCTACGTGTCTGACCCCTTCTCCGCTGGCTCCGTCCTCCACGCGACGGAGAGCATCAAACCGGACCTGCCCACCTCCTTTGGAGACTGTGTTGGCGGGCTGCGGTGGATGACGCACCTCCGCATGTACCGCGCTGAGACCGCGTCGACTGCGACAGCAATCACAAACGGACACGTTCCCAGCTACGCAACAACGCACGGTGAGGACATCGCTGCTGTGGCGGAGGCCGAGGTGCTGTGGGGGTTGGATGTTCTGGGCATTCAGTCGGTGCTGGCGGCGGTGCCAAGTCTGTTGCCGCAAACCGATATTTGTCGTCATGGTGAAAGCGGCAAGGAGGGAAGAGGAGGAAAAGCAAACACAGCCACCTCTGATATTGACAACAACGACGATGACGAGGAGGACGACACGCTGCAACAGCTGGAGAGTTGCGCCGCGTGGGTGGACTTCTTTGCCGCCCTGCGGGCACAGGAGGAGCTGCGCGATCAGCACACGCACCTACGCTACTGGCGATTCCGTATTGTGGGCGTGGAGGTGGACGGGTTGGCACTGCCGATGTGGTCAGCCGGTGGCGTGGACGGGGGTGAGCGAGGGTCGAGGCTGACCACACTCTTGGCACAGCTGAACTTCTCTACGCGGCGGGCATCAAAGGGAACGAAAGACGAAGCGAGAGAGAAGGCGAAGGCGACCCGCAGCAGCGCGCTCGAAGACTGCGTGCTTGGTGTAGCACGCACCACCGCCGCTCGCGTGGTGCCGCCAAACAGCAGTGACAGCATGCGGCCCATCACGGATGTGGACGGTACCGGTGACGCAGCCACAGCAAAATCACTTTCGGAGCGGCTGTGCGTGCCGACCGGAGAAGCGGAGCCGTTCCGTCAGTTTCCTTCTCGGACGGCGACGACGTATCGTGCGGTATTCACCCCCGCTGCGTGGTGCATCGCGTTGCATGACATGATGCGACACGGCCGCGTAGCCGCTGATCGTGCGAATGAGGATAAGAAGGCATCTGAAGACGGCGTGCGAGGCCCTGCTGTTGAAGCATCAACGCCGCCTGGGCTGACGCTGTGGCGGCTGCTCTCTCCGACAGCCGCTGCTTCCATCACCGGCCCTTCCTCTGCCACCGTTACCGCCACCACGCAAGCGATCTACGAGCTGGGTGCCGTGCAGCTTTCGTTGTTGTTTCAAGAAAGCGCGTTGTTTCTCGTTCGGGTCCTCGCGCGGTGGTGCAGTGGGGCCTGCACACAGGAGGAGCGAGATGCCCTGCTCGGCGCCGCCGCCTCGTTCCCCACGCAGTGGGTGGCTTTAGCGGACCCAACGTACCCGGAAGGTATGCGCGACACGCAGCGAAGTGCGGACCATTGGGGCGGTCGCACCAGCGGGCACGGCAGCAGTGGCCCTCGCGTGCGCTTCTTCTATTCTTTTTCGTATGACGGACCTCAAAGTCCGACAGCGGCGGCGTTGCACGGCGCGACGCCACCACTACCACCCTCTTCATCTGCAGCAGCACCTGCCATAGCCTTTGCGGTACCACCAGCTGTGGCGGTGCCGGCGGCGCTTGCCGATGCGGTGTACTGTGCGCAGCTGGACCACGTGCAGCTGGTGTGTCCAAAGCTGGCAAGTTTCACAGGTGGTCACGCGTCAACCGGGGTCACGACCAACAACAACAGTGAAGATCAGCTCGCGGCAGCGGCAGTGAAGTGGCTCAGTCGTGTGATGCTGAGGATGCGCGTCATGCTGAGAACGGTGGATGCGGCTGACGCGGATACCGTCATCGACACGCACGTGGTGGCCCGGTGGACAACGCGTCTGGCGCCTCTGCCCTCACTGCCTCGACTCAAACCGGAAAGCGAAGCTCCCCCTGCTTCAGTGGTGCCGCCGTCCACACAAGCGATGGTGGCGCCGTCGCCGCTGCTGCTGCTGCGATCCGCACCGGTGCCGATCCCTGTGCCCGTTCCTGTCCCCATCCCCGTTACTATTCGAGTTCCAGCAGTCGTCGACTCGGAGGGTACTCCTACACCATCTCCATCCCTGCCTCCCGCGGCGGCGACTACGCCTGCTGTTGCAGCACCCGCGCGTAGCGAGCCCGCAGGGGGCGGGAAGCCCAAGACAAGCGAAGAGTTGTCTGGCGCTGGCGACGCCGCTGTCTCTGCCGTCGCACAATCGCCTTTGCCGGCAGCCTCTATCGTCCCCACCGTTATTCCGGCACTTCCCACGACGAGCTGCTTCTGCTGGCAGCCCTCACCTGCCGAGAGCGGTGCTCACGCGAAGGCAGCGGCTGGTGGAGGGCGATTCGCAGCCGCGGTGAACACAGCGGTGCTTGTTTCCATCGAGACGGAGCTGTGCTTTCGTCCCGACGACAACGGCGCAGCAAATGCGAGTACGACTGCGCAGGAACTGAGCGCGTACGGGGACCGTGCGGGCCACGACGACGACGACGAGGTCGTCGGGCGCAGCCACGTCTACGTCGGACGCACCGAGGCGGGCGCGCTGCGCTGGGACGGGGCGGAGGAGCGCCTTGACGAGGGCTGGCGCCTCACCGCGCCAGTGTCGGTGCGCATTCCCGTCACGGCGCCTTTTACGGACAACGACACGCACCGCACTGCGCAAGTGCCTCCTGCAAGCGGTGATGGAAACGGCAGCGATGCTTCCGCGACGGCCCCACTTACGCCGTTGACGGCGCACGTCGTCTTCGACCTACTCGCCTTCACTGCTCCTAGCTGGAGCATGGTCGCTGCCCTGCAAGCGGAGCAGCGGGCCAGCAACGAGCGACGGCTGCGCAGCTTGACCGCTCTCCAGCGCACAGAGGCTCGCCTGTTAGCTGCGGTGGCCTCCTATTCGTCTTCCTCCTTTTTGCTGTCACCACAGCCGCTCTCGACTGCCGCTGTCGCGCATTCATGCCGCCTGCTGCGTGTGCCTCCGGCGGAGTACCGATTGGACAGCTTCGCCGTCATGGACGTGATTGAGCAGATGGAGAACGGACACACGAGGACGGGGGAGTGCGGCATGTCGGGGAGCGGGCAGTCACTGTGGTCAATGCCGTTGATTGTGGTGGAGAGCGGTGATGGCAAGTCGACACGTGCCCTCGCCAACAACAGCGGCAGCGAGAGCGTCTTGTACCGCAGGACGTTGCTGGTTGATGCTCTCTCAGGCGAAGTGCGCACGCCGAAGTGGCACCTTCTCCCATCGTTGACGGACACCGCACGGAGCAATCAGTTTAGCAGCAGCAGAGACAGCAGTGACGGTTGCTGCAATGCACACCAGCAGGGCTTGCGTTCTGCGATGAATCTTCCAGCGGGACGTCTGCTCTTACAGGAACGGGGGCGACTTCGCTTAGAGTTGTGTCGCAGCGCAGATGCGTGCTCAGCATCGTCTCTGGCAGGCCTGATTGGCGGGGCAGCCGTCTCATACACCTCCGCCAACGGTGACGCCTGTTTGTGGGTCAGCGGGGGGCTGCGCCTCGCGCTGGTTCCGTCGAGAGGAGCTGCGTTGAGGGCACAGGCGCCGCAGCGTGGCGAGGCAAGGTCGCCCGTACCCTTTCATCCCCCTTCTGTTCGTACGGCAGGTTTACCGAAGCTGTCGTCGCATCGCAGGCGATCGCACGTGTCCGGCCCACCTGCCCTCGCAGAGACAGAAGCTGCCGTAGGCGGACCGACCACGACAACGCCATTTTATCAGCTGTACGCTTCCCATTACCTCTGTCAGCAGTGCACCACGAAAGAGAGGAGCAGCGGGGAAGCCCGCGGGGCCGCAGGAGTTCCGCGATGGAAGTGCGAAGTGGACGCGCCATCGACGTCGGCGCCGGGGTCTGCGTGTCGTCGCCTGTTCCACACCGCCACGACGCTCGGCGAAAACCGCGTGTGGCTTCTCGGCGGGTGGAGTGCCGCCAGCAGTGCAGTGGCGCTGCCAGCCACGGAGGACTTGTACGCGCGTGTGCTCACGACCGAGATGCCGGTGGGCTCTGGGTTGGTGGAGCGCCGACGCAGCGAAGTGCGCCACGCAGCCGCCACCTTGGCATCGACGACGACGGCGGTGCTGCAGTGGTGTGAGACGGTGAGCTGCGTGCAGCGCATGACGGACGGTACACCGGCGCCATCTGTCGACGTCATCGCAGAAACCACGGAGGCGGGCAGTACGGATGTAGAGGCTGCTTCTGCGCGAGGGCCGTCGCAGCCACCACCGCGCATTGCGTGCCACGTCGCGGCTGCGTGCGGGCTCCGCCATGTGGTCCTCTTTGGCGGGTTAATGCCGGATCTGGAGGGCTCGCTGTGTGCGGCTTCTGCCACCGCAGTCGTTCACGCCTACGACACGGTGCAGGGGACGTGGACAAGCGAGCCCGCGTCCTCCGAGGGGCAGCGGTGGCCCGTGGCACGCTACGGCCACAGTTGTGCTGTGGTCCCCGGTACTGGCGGCACACAGCCATCCAGCTACTTCGTCTTTGGCGGCGCTAGCATCACCGGGCGGGGAAGTGCGTCAGCGACAAAGAACGCGTGCGCGCTGGTGCCGCCGGCAGAGCTGCTGTGGATTTGGACACCGCTGGTGGGAGATGGCGGGCAGGTGCGGTCTGAGTGGCGGCGAGTGCAGATGCCCACTGACGTGCCATCCCCTCTCACGGGTCGGTTCCTACCCCATCTGTTAGCGCTCTCCGCGGCAGAGGTCGTGACGTCTGCTGCACCGTCGGAACCGTCGGAAACAGAAGCGATGGGTTTGTGGTGGGGACCTGCGGACAACAGGGTGCCGGTTGCTGGGGCAGACGTGGGGCTCACGTCGCTGGTGCTTTGCGTCGCAGGGGGCATGACGGAGACGTCGGTGGCGGCTCGGGCAGTGCGTCCTCCGAGTGGTGCGAGCGCCGCCAATACGACAGCAGAGGGCGAGAGGAAAGCAGAAAACGACGCATGGGGTGCGTTCAGGCAGTACGTGGAGCGGTGGCTCTCATGCCCAGCAAACAACGTGACCGCCGTGCTGCTGACGTCGATGTGCGAGCGACCGGCGCTGTAGCCGCCGGACGAGGCGAAGAGCAGGCGTTGGTGCGGCGAGGGATAGCTATTTCTCTCTGGTTTGGCTTCATGTACACCGTCCAGGTCGTGCATATATTTGTTTGCTTTTCTTTTGTTTGCTTGAGGACAAGCACATCTACAAATCGACGTCAAGAGCGCTGATTGTTGCTGGTGCATTTGGCCACGTCAGAAGAAAAGCCCGTGTCGCGCCTTCCTTTTTGTCTTTCGAGACACGCGCCCCCGCAAACGGCTGTGGCGACCTTCCATGCCGTTTCGACATTCACTTCTCTCCTTATTCCCCTGGTTTTGCTATTACCATATCTTCTTTCTTTCTGTTAATGATTGGATGGATCAGGATCCGACAGGCGCGGCTGGCCTTGGCAGCTCCATTTTTGTTTTACATAATTATTTTGCTCTTCGTTGCTGCGTGCCTGCGTGGGAGGAAACTCGTCTACACCGCAGCGCTCTCACACCTTACACTCTTTAATAAAAGGCTTCCTCCTTCATAGTCGAACAGTACCGTTGACTCGTGTGCAAGCAACAAAATCCAAATTGTCACCGAATCGCCGAAGTGTATTTATATATGGTAACGGCATGGCGCGGCGTTACCGTTTCCCGCGTGCGGTGGTGGCGCTGCTGATCTTTGCATGGGTGGTAGGTCTGTGCGTTCAAATAACGCCGCTGCGCCACGCCAGCGCTACGAGCGACAACGACGCAAACACGATGAAGACGATCTTAGGCTTACCCGAGGATGACTTCTATGGCGTTCTCGGCCTCAGCCAGGCGGGCGAGGATGCCACGGAGAGCCAAATCAAGAGTGCGTTTCGCAGGCTCTCTCGCAAGTACCACCCCGACGTCGTCGCTGCGGGGGACGAGGAGTCGTTTCGCCAGGTGTACCAGCGCATCCAGCGCGCCTACGAGGTCCTCGGCGACCGTCGCAAGCGTCGTGTTTACGACATCCTCGGTGTAGAGGGGTTAAAGAAGCTCGAGCAGCCACAGCAGCAGCAGCATATGAATCCCTTCTTCGCCCTCTTCGGTGGCGGCGGCCAGGCGGCGTCGGACAAAGGACAAGACAAGGAGTTGCTCATGGTCGTGCCCTTGGAGGACGTGTACAAGGGAGCGACACATACCTTCCAGTTCACCAAGCGCAAGATATGCCGCGCCTGCCACGGCAACGGCGCCCGCAGTAAGGAGGATGTGGTGAGGTGCCCGCATTGCAAAGGCAGCGGGCGTCTCGTGCAGCGCATACAAATTGCACCGGGCTTTGTGCAGCAGATCGAGCAGGTCTGCAGCCACTGCAACGGCAAGGGCACCCACGTAGCGCACATGTGCCCGGTGTGTCGTGGCAAGGCCGTCGTGTCGGGTGAGACCGCCCTTAGCGTGGACATTGAGGAGGGCCTACCGGAGGGCCACGTGCTGAGGTACGAGCTCGAGGCGGATCAAACGCCCGGGCAGGTGCCGGGGGATGTCATGCTGACGGTCGTGACGGCACCGCACGCCGTGTTCACGCGCGACGGCAACGATCTCTACATGAACGTGACGATTACGTTGAAGGAGGCGCTGTTAGGGTTTGAGAGGTCTTTCACGCACTTGGATGGTCACGAGGTAGCGTTGCGACGAACCGGTGTCACGCAATACGCCCAGCAGGCCCGCATTGTGGGGGAAGGCATGCCGCGCCATCATGTGCCGTCGGAGCACGGCGACCTCTACGTGACGTACAACGTCGAGTTGCCGCGGACCCTTTCAGCGGAGCAGCGGGAGATGTTCGACAAGCACTTCAAGTGAGGGGGCGACTCACATTTGAAAAAAAGCAGAAACATTCTGGCGGGAATGGCGGTGTGTTTCATGTGGTTAATGGTTGTAGCACTGCTTGTTTTAGGTTGTTGTTTTGTGGTGTTGAATGGGTCTTTTCTTTTCTTTGGAGACGAAGGCGGTGCTGCGATCGCCCTCTTCACGTATTATCTCGTTAATTAAGAAAGTAATGCTGGGCTTGCGATTTCTCTATCTTGTTCTTTTCTTCCCCGTGAAACTGGTTTTACCCTGTCGATTGGAATGAGACGACGGCGATCGAAACCCCTGTGACCAACGCACGGTGCGGTATGCCCGAAAGAACACATCTATGCGTTACCACGTTAACTGGTGGATCTTGAAGCTTGTTCCAGTGCTTCCAACGCCGAAGCGGCAAGGCTTGAGTCGTCCATGCGCCTCCACCCTCTCTTCTTTCTGCAAAACGTGCTGTTGTTCTCCGTTGTGGCGCCAGAAGCAAGTACTGCGGATTCTGTTTGCTCTTGTTGTTACTCCCTCCACACACACCCTCTCTTTTCTGTCCTTATTCCCCCTCCGTCTTCCAAACCTCCTCTCCCCTGCGATTCTACGGTCACAAACCACACAAGCATGCTTCCGTCCAGTTTCCATCGCCTTCGCTTTCCGTAGTACTCTCTTCTCTGTATTGTTTTTTTTTTCCCGTTTCCTCTCTCATTACCTTTCTTCCGTTTATTCTGTACGTGTTTAGGTAACCAGTGTGCACTTTATTGGGATGATTCTCCTTCGCTAGCGTTGCACGGATCAGCTTCTCTGGTGCCCATCCGAATATCACTCTTTTATATAACTCGCTTTCTTTTCGTTTCTTTTTTCCCCTTTTTTTAAATGAAAGACACGCCCGATAACATCTAAGAAAACCGGCTGTATCGTGCTCTTCGCAGTCTTTCGCCTACACATAACTGAATAACAAAAAATAACACTTTTTTTTCCCTTTATTAAGTGCTGTACGTAGTCCTTACGCGTTGTTTCTCTTTCTCTCCCTTCTCCGCCTTTTACCTTCGTCTGTTCCCGAGCAAACTTTCGCCTCCCCCTCCCCTTCCTTCGCTTTTACCAGTCACACCTAACCCAGGGGTAAAGAAAAGCACCATGCGGTCCCAACTCGACGGTGTCACGGCAGAGCTGACCCCCACCTCGGGGGCCCTGCTCGCGGCGCGCAACCGCTTCCTCACCTTCAACCGCAACAGCGGCTCGTCGTGGTTTATACGGCGCGACGTGATGATGAAGAACGTCGAGGTGAACCCGGAGACGACGCTGTGGGTGGACATCGAGGGCGAAAGTGTCGCAGACCGGCGGGCGCTGATCGGCTCCCTGCCCTGGCGCGCCCCGCTCCCGGCGGCCGTGCTGGACGCGGTGGCGCGGCCTACGGAGAGCGACGTGGTGGAGTTGCAGCCGACGCTGATGCACTACGCGTTCGGCGTGCTGACCTGCGCCATCAACCCGCTGCACCACGACGCCGACATCGACGCTGACACGACCGAGGACGAGGACATCTTCCGCGGCGAGACTTTCGACGCGGCGCGTGGCTTTGTGTGGTGCTCGGTGCTCGTGACGGACAGCTTCATTGTCACGCTGCACGACAAGCCGTTCCGTGGACTGGAGGAGGTGGTGCGGGCGCTGGAGATGCGCGTGAGCCCGGCCGACCCCTCCGCCGGCTACGAGTTGCTCAACCCCAGCATCGTACTCGCCACGCTTGTTGCCTACACCAGCGAGATGATGTTGCCGGACCCGACGGCGCTGTTGAGTGAGGTGGACTGCATTGACGAGATGGTACTGCTCATTGCGCCGGGCGAGCGCGATCAGCCGGACTTGCTGCGACGCGTGGCGCTGCTGCGCCGCCGCATTTCGTCCTTCCGCGGTGTGCTGTACCTGAAGGAGAAGCTGCTCCGCGAGCTCGTGACGCCGTCGATGCGCGGCAGCTTCGTGTCCTGCGACATGCACCAGGTCATGCCGATTTACAAGGAGGCGCTGGACAAGAACACGCAGGTGGCAGACCGCCTCGACGATGCGCGCGATATTCTGAACCAGGCGAACTTGAACTTCGTGACCGGCGTGTCGATGCGCATGTCGCAGAGTTCGGCCAATATGGATTTCAAGATGCAGATTCTCGGACAGGTGGCCACGATTTGCCTGCCGCTGAACTTGCTGGCGTCCATCTTCGGCATGAACTGTGAGGTCCCATGGCAGGCCGACACCCACGACAACCTGAAGGCCTTCTGGGGCATCTTGGGCGTCATGGTGGGCTGGGTCCTCGTCTGCAGCATTCCAACGATCCGGGAGCTGCTGCGCGGCAACGCCGCCAAGGCGATTGTCCCTGCAGACAACTAAATTCAGTGAAAACCAGGTTCAAGAAAAAGAAAAGTAAAAGATTTTTTTGTGTTTGTTTACTATAAGAAGTAGCCTGAAATCAGTGTTTGTTTTTCTTTCTTTCTTCTTTTCGTAAGGGAAAAGTAGTGTGGGCTTCGTGGAGCACCGACCTGGGAAAAACACAAAAAGGAATAACATGAAGCAACGAGCGAGATTTGTTGGGCCGTCAACGCGAGTGCTCCGCCGTTGTTGCAGAGCGCCTCAGCGAACGGCGATGACGTCGCGCGGCTTGGTTCGCGTTCGCCCCGTGCGGGGGCCGTCTTTCCTCTTCCCGCTTCCGCATCCATTCCTCCTCTTCTCTTCTGTTTTTCTCTTTGTTTTTTTTGGGGCGCGCTGGTCTTCGTGCGCGGGGTGGGCGCGCCGGTCCAGCCGCGGCGCTGGGCCGGGGCCAGGGCCCCCCTCCGCGCAGCGACGAAGGCCGCCCGCCAGTGGGCGGCGCGGCGGCGGGGGGGGGGGGGGTAAAGGACGCGGCGGGGAGAAAGACGGGATGGTTGCCAAAGCGTTGCGGCGGGAGGGCCTGTGTGTGGGCAGCGTGCGCGCTTTCTGCCTCGCAAACGCCATGCGGAGAAACGAATGAGCGAGGACGTCGCGAAGAAAACAACAGCGGTGCGAGCATTTGGAAAGGGAGGTAAGCGCACACCCCCCCACACACACACCTGTCGGACAACCGCCAGCGCACTTGTTGAAGCCGCCAAGCTAGGCAGAGTACTGCGTTGCCTTTTCCTTTCTTTTTGTTTGTTTGCTGCTGGAGCGGTTTAGGGTGGCGTTAATAAACAAAGGTTAATGAAAGAAGAGCCGTTTCAAAGGTGCGCCGGAGAGCGGGAAAGCACGCAAGCCACCCCCACCGTAACCGTCGGCGTGCAAATCGTACATGTCCGTAACAAACCACAGTCAATAACAACAACAAAAATCGAAAGATAGCACCATACACGCCAGTTTTTTTTTGGTAATGAAACGGAGGAAACTTCAAGAAGAAAGAAAAGTGAAGGAAAATAAGAAGCCACGAAGAAATCCCACCATCGCGACGGGCACTTCGTCACGAGCGGAAAGAAACAACAACAACCCGAAAAACCACAGCCGAAGAGAAAAAAACCCGTCTGTTCATCCCCCTTCTTTCTTGTTCTCCCTTCCCTGTATGTGATGGGGTGCAATTCCTTCTCCCCTGAACGAGCACGCCTAAGGGGTTACCCGTCGTACCTGAGGAAAGGGAGATTAATATTACGGTGGATTATCGCTTAATCGGAACACCAACCACCACCACCGCAAACAAATAATAATAATAATAATAATAGTAAATAATAAAAAGAAACAGAAGAATCACACACACACACACACACACACACACACCAAATTGAAAGCGCAAATAAGCACACGTGCAGTTGTTACGCGAAGTAAGCAATTTATCGTTGCATCAAGACGATATGAAAGTAAAACAACAACAACAACAGCGAGAAACTCTTCCACGACAATCTGAGAAAGCAAATCAAAAACCAAAAAAACCTCGACGAGAGAGAGGGAGAGAGAGAGCCACACATCACCGTTCTGCACCTGCATGCCGAGCGCGATGGGGGGAGTTCGCCTATTCCCTCCCCTCTCTCACTAAGGCACCAAAAAACAATAAAACACAGATATGTGGCGAAAAGTGTTAATTAAGATTCACTTATCGGTTTTAAAAGAAGGAGGAAGAAAAACGGGAAGACGCGGCAACGGCAAAACACCACACACACATGAAGCACTTCATTTTTGCTTGTATGGAGGTTGCTTCTCTGTGTACTCCGCGATGCGACTAACGGCGCAGGT